CTGGGGGAGGTCCGAGGCGACGATCGCAAGCACAGTCGCCGCGTAATGCATCCCCTAGGCGCTCGAGGCTCAGCCATGGTAATAGTTGATGGAATGCTAGTAAAGCCGCTATATCCGTTAGGAACAGTCACCCCATAGGCCATGTTCTGAGGTCTGAGCCACGACGGCTACACCGATCGTTGCTAATTTAAATGTAACGTAAAGCGATGTTTAGTAGCTAAACGTGCAAGTTTTGTAAAGGCTGTAGAATTACCTTATATTGAGCCTTGTCGACTGCTGCGGAACATCTCAGGGACTTGAGGTCATCAATTTACACCTAGTCTTTATTGACTCTCAATTCTCACACTCTCTTGATCGAGTTGCCTCATTTTTCTACCAACAATGTTGCAAAAAGCCGCCGTTGGTGCTGCGCTTGTCCATGCCGCAAGCGCAGCCCTTTACGATACTACCATCCAGACAAAGTATGGACTGATTCAAGGCTACCCGGCCTTCAACAGCTCCCCGGCAAATATGTCTCTTGACAACTGGGCAGATATCGCCGTCTGGAAGGGTATTCCCTTTGGTGCATCAACCGCAGGCAACAATCGCTTCAGGGCACCTCAACCTATCGTCGCATGGAACTCAACTCTCGACGCCAAGTCGGTTGGCAGTGTCTGCCCTTCTGCTGTGGGCAGCGGTACAGATGCTTACACCATCGGAGAGGATTGCTTGAACCTCAACGTCTGGAGCGCAGCAAACTCAACGGATGCTAAGTTGCCCGTTGTCATGTGGAGTTATCCGGCCGGCTCGACTGCGGCGATGCCGCTATTCGACGGAGCAGGTATTGCTGACAAGGGCGTCGTATACGTTAACTACAACTACCGCACCGGGTCTTTCGGCTGGCTCGCAGCGCCTGAGCTCAATCAGGAGAGATTCAGTAGCGCTGGATCAAACAGCTCGGGCAACTACGGTATGCTGGACCAGTTTGCCGCTTTGAAGTGGATTCACGAGAATATTGCCAATTTTGGTGGTGATCCGGACCACATTACAGTCATGGGCCAGTCCGCTGGCTCGGCGGCTACCTACCATATGCTCAACGGCCCTCTGCATGGCGTTCCACTCCATGGTGCAATCATCCAGTCTGGCGTCCGCGACCCTCACGATCCTCTGTGCACCAGCTTGGCGGAAAACTACCGGACCCTGGACGTGAATATGGACACAGCGAGCAGATACATGGCTTCATTGAACTGCTCTGATATCGCATGTATGCGTGCTCTGCCGATGGATGACTTAGTCACCGACTTTCTCAATTCAGAGTTCAGCTTTACAGCTACTCTCGACTTCTACGCCATGCCGGATACTTATATCAATACTCTAAAGAAGGGAATTGCCCAGGATGTCCCTGTCATGACGGGGAACACTAAAGACGAGAGCGGGGCGGAATACGGCCTCAACATCACTCTTACAACCTACATCTCCGACTTGAACGAGACATTCAGCACATGGCAGGACAAGTTCCTCGCCGCATACCCTGCCAACGACTCGGCTACGGCTTCGGTAGCCGAGAACGCCCAATGGACTGACCGCTCGAAGGTGGGAACATTCTTCTGGTCGCAGTTGTGGCAAGCCAATGCTACGTCGTCGGTTTACAACTACATCTGGGATCACGCCCCGCCTGGGCAGACTCGTGGCGCTTTCCACATGAGCGAGATCAACTATGTCCACAATAACCTCTACGGAACCGACTCCCCATGGACCAGCGAGGACTACGAGATTGCCGAGGTTATGAACAGCTACTGGGTCAACTTTATCAAGACTGGCGATCCGAATGGAGACGGTCTAGACAAGTGGGCTCCTGCAAGCAACGCCAGTGCGACAGTGATGGAGCTTGGTGATGGTTTTCAAGCCCTTCCTATTGCCAAGGACAACCAGATTGAGTTGTTTGCCCAATGGTTCGATACCTTGGTCACTTACTAGGACATCGTCACACATGCCTTAGTGGCTTCACGGTCTTCAAGCAAATTGCACCAGTTTTCTTCAAAGGTCATGGACATCATGTATATATCTCATATATCCTTCAGTCATATACTGGGTATTCTCCATAGTCTTGGTTTTCAGCTTTTCCTCGCTTGCATGGGTCTCTAAGTGTACTAAGTATGACCGCAACCCGAATAAATATATTCATTTATAGAATCTAGAGAGCTGAGTTCTTCTTCGGCTCTACAGCGTTGCTTATTTAGGAATTTTAAATGGATGTGCCTCTGTGTTGAAGACATACTCATCCAGACTGATGAGGTCCGGTGGCGAGAAAATGAGGTAAAAGTACTTGAGGGTCTCGGCAAGCCAGAAGCTCTATAGAAAGAAGAAGTCAGCAAAACGTGTTGTCACTCGGATGTGAAGAGCAAGTAAATCGGATATCTATCACTCGACGTGTGCAAGTGCTTACCTCCATCTCGTCCAGTTTTCTCGTCTGATCAGGCGGAACTGTAACATCAGCTATAGCCGAATGAGCAAGGTCCGTCTTTGTTGCCTTCAGGATCGACTCAAACATTCGCCAGGCAATATCTTGAAGATCCTGTCGGCCCGTCATCCTGTACAACAGGAATAAACTCTCAATAGCTTCAGGGCGGAGGATATATCTTGGATCGCGCGCATTTCGGAAGCCCTTCTTCAGCCTTGGATCTCCCTCGCTCTTCCATCTCGATTCGTCCCAGAGGCATTCGTCATTCTTCTGGGTATCACCGGTTTTCCGGGCTTCGCAAGGGATGAGATTAAAGCTCTCAGGCATTACACCGGACGGAAACGCGTCATACGCCCATGCACATCCTCGCGCGACCCTTTCACCTAGAGCAACGTGATTGTCGACGGAGAAGAGCTTGCCTCCCAGACCAAGCATACCGCCCGCAAAGCATGCGAGGTGTTGGCCGTCGGATACGTGCTCAATCCGGTCAGCGTAGACGAAGGCATCACCAGCAAACAGGATGTCGTCTCGATCTGAAACCATGGGTCGGAATAGTATGTGCTGCTCTGCGATAGCCATCGCTCCGATGTACATCTTCTCGTATGATGGATCTCGACCGCCGAGTAGAGCAAACATCTTAGGTAGATACTCGTATAGCGAATCTGCTAAGGCTCCCAGCGTGAAGCTGTGATCGGTGTCGACTCGTTCTTCTCTGAAGTTGATCATCTTCGGCCACATCCCAGGAAGTTTCGACTTGAACTGCGTGCTTTCTAGGAACCTCGTGATGCGATCCACCGCGTCGAAGTATTTCGGATTAGCCGTCAGCTGGGATAGACGTGTGAACTCCATAGCTAATGAGCCCGGAGAGGCTGATGGGTCATGCGTGCCAGCTAGCTGGGTTCCTTTCCTAGCGTCTTCAAAGTTGACCCAAAACCCTGGTAGTCGATTTGGCGTATCGAACCCCATGTAAAGCATGTCTCCCAATTCTTTCGCCTTGTCAAGGAGGGTGGGTTCGCCGCTGAGATCGTATGCGCTTAGTAGACCGCCCAGATGGCGAATCGTGGTTTCGAACATGTTTACGCTTGTAGCTGTTGTGTTGGCCCAATCCAGCTTTACCGCAACATTGGCCGCGGCGCGAAACTCATCCTTGAGCTCCATAATCCAGAGGGTGTCGAGAGAATCCACCAGAGTGGCAGCCCATCCTCCAAATGTATCCTTTGCCCCGGCACTCACGGGCGCTAGCTCATCTCGACCCCAAGCAAACTTCTTGTAGCTGTTCCAACTTCGGATGAATACATCGCGGACGGCTTTCTGTCGCTTCGGTGCCTCTGGATGCGGATTGCCTACGCCAAACTCATGCTGAATTAATGGTAGGCCAAGTAGGTTGCCTGTCGGCAAAGGCTTGTAGGATGCGACGGGGTGATGCTGCTCCAAAGTAGCCCAGTCGAAAGAACTCTTGCGGAATATGATCTCCTCGGGCTGGCTGCTGCTGCTAGTGCTGGGGAACAAAAGAATCGGTCTAGACTCGTATGGAGGAAAAAGTAAAAAGACTGTGACAAAAGCTGCGGCGAGAAAGACAGCCAAACGGACGGGGCGCCGTGGCGCAAGTATGCTCTTTGAGTGCATGCGCATCTCAACGGTCTCAACACCAGACGTGCATCATGCGATCTTCCGGATCTAAGCAGAAGTGACTAGACGAGGGTAAGATGACTGTATGAAGCAGCCAATCTACCATTGAGACGAACAAACTGTCCTCATTGAGAAAGATCTGGACAGACACGAGCTTCATATAGCTCGGTAATTTCGGCCAGTTTCAAAGGCTATTTGTGGTGGAGGGTTACGCGGATCGTAGTTGTGGACACTCAGAGATTGGGCCGTGGGAGCTTCATGCCGGATAGCGTTTGTTGCAGGAAGGTAGCATTACCATGCTTCAGCGAACTCTGCCGACGGGAACATGGCGGACTATCAATTTAAGGTGCACTGATCGACAATGTCTGTTAGACGAAACAGTTTCGGTCAAGTTGCGGGACAAACTCAAATTCAATGCCGCCTCCTTGAACCCGTCAACGCCTCTCCTACTGGTTACCAACGCACGGGACGGAGCCGAAACCGACGAGGCGAGCACTCGCGTTTGGCTGAAAGTTGGGATGTTCCAGCAAATTGCTTTGTCTGTTCGTTAATTTGTCAATAATTCAGGCTCTTCGATGAGCTGATCATCCGCGTTGTAGGCCGGACGAACCCGGGAATTTCAAGACCCTACTTGACTGAGTTTCTGATCCCACTCAACTTGAGTTGTCATTGAAAACCTTATTCCCTCCATACAATTACAACAAGCTTTGTATTGAGCTATAACGGCCGGTTTCGCATTGCAGACTTGTCAGGATCAACATCAAGCAAAGTTTGCCGCACTCTGCTGCCTGCAATACGCGTCGCATTTAGAGTTGCCGAGTTCTTAACCTCTTGCAGAACCGCGCCGTCAACAACACACGAGATAATTTAGCAAACTCTACCTTACAATGCCGTTCATTTTGAAAGGGTTGTGGTTGATTTGAATATTCTTCTACTTTGCTGCCCTTGTTTTTCCTGTCAACAGTGCCAGATTCTGAATAGCTGCCAGACCATACAATGCAGTGCAATTGGTAGAAACCCAAGCAGCCTCATCTGCAGGCTCAAGAACATGGTTTCTGCTCACTGGTGTACTTTTCCAGACTGTTTTCGGACCGTAGTCCCGAAATCCATCCCCATTCTCAAACTCCTCCAACGCCCGTTCAGCTAAATCAGGCCTTTTGAGCTCGCTCGCCGCAAAGGCAGTTAAACGTGAGTGTCCTTGTCTTAGCTGTAGTCTGCCCCAGCCAGGTCTACCATATCGCGTTTCCTGTTCCTCTAAACTAGCGTTGAAAAAGGTGCAATACTCTAGCCATGCGTTCCTGAACCCAGTTGCGTTTGCTTTCTCTGGAAACTGCTGCAGGATATCGGCCGCCACCTCAAACAATCCGAACATCGCTGATAGATGGGACACTTTGACCACTCCATTGTTCTCAGGGTCCGAAGCAGGTGGCGAGATGGCCCCAGTTGACGGATTGTAAGTTGCAATCCCTGTGACAAAGCCGTTGCGCAGGGCACCGATCCCTTCGATGGACCTAAACAGCTTACTCTTGGCTTCAGTCCATCGTGACCTCGTCGCTCAAACTCGACAAGCCAGGAAGCTGCAAGCGATGCCCAGTCTGTTCCCAGACTGATTTCAACTGCATGTACATCTGGGCTGTAGGTTTCTCGGTCCTTGCGGACCTTTCTGTACGGATCAAGGACCAGAAACTTTTGATCCGTATCAAGCGTCTCTTCGAGAAGCTCTCCGACACGTTCGTCGCCGCCAGACAGGTAGTAGAAAAATCGGCGATACAAGGCGTTCGATATGCGGCTTTGCTTGCAGCTATCACTCCAGTGCTGTACGCCATGTCGTGTGCCGAGACCCCGGTACCGCCCAAGATGGTATACATCCACCTCCCCGGTATGACGTGTCAATGCTTCCGCCATATTGAACACATCAGTTCGGCCGGTCCGCAGAAAGTATAGCCAAAGCCATAAATCTGGCGACAGCTCTGAGTTATCCCAGGCATATCCGCCAACATCGTATCGCCAGGTGTGACGGTCTTCATCATAAGTGTGCATGATATCGCCGTGGTCCCAGAAGCCGTACCAACGCCTTTGTTGCACTTGCTTCTGGTAGAATTGAAATAAGAATTCGAGATGTTCATCGGTGGGTGAGAGAACTTTCGACAGTGGAGACCAGTACATACCAAAAGCTTGACTGAGGTGAATGGCCTCCGGGATAGGCAGTAATTTTGGAGGTTCTCGAACCAAGTCTATCAGTGACGAGAACTCACCACCATCCGGTGTTGAGTCCGTCACTGAGATCACCAGCTCGTTCGTTCGCGCTACCCCGTAAGGCGTCCCAAGCTCCGGTTCCCAATCCTCGTAAGTGATCTTTAGAGCGTCTAGCTGATCGTCAAAACCTTGCTGACCTAACCCGTCATGATAAGGACGAAGGTCCATAGGCCCAGCTTTGGGGTCGTACAGCCACAGTGTCACCTCGGTGTCTTCCTGGGAGGCACCAACGCCTCGAACATCGATCCCGGTTGGGTATCGTTCCCAGAAGTGTCTCGATCCTATGGCCAGCCCTCCTCGATTTGCGCCACCGACGTAGACAACCCCCTCCGCTTTGGTACCGCTCGCGGTTTTGATCCACGGGTGACCTTCCTTCAGTCGTTTCTCGAGCGTAAAACCATCTGGCGAGAGTTGATGCAAGCTAAAGTCATTCCAGATGGGCACCCAGCGCAGAGAGGCTTGGGGCAGCTCCGAATTCCAACTTTCAGGGGACGGCAGAGGCCTGCCCTGCACTTGAGCCGATCTGACTTCTTTTCCAGGGTCCTTCCAAAGCCCAGTAAGCCCCTGAGAAGCCTCAGCAAGAACGCCCCCTGATGCTCCCGAAAAGCGTACATGACGATCGAAAGCCGCTTCTTCCTGAAGAGGCATCTTGAAGCGAATCCCGAGGCCCCGAACAAAGCAGTTTGTATCGCCGTCGTATATGATGGTGTGGAGTATTCGGATATGGCTGGACCCGGCATAGAGGTAGAATTTGAGTGTGAATGGTACCCATGGTTGGTGGGTTCCAACAGCCGGCTCAGATTCTCGAGATGCTTCAACATGGACTCCGCGAACGGCTATGACAACACGAATAGGACCAGTCTGCTCGACTTCGACCGATGTTATCTGCCCGTAGAAGCTATGGTGCTTCACAAGAGAGTCCGGTTTATCGGCATCATAGATGCGATCTTGAGAAAGCAAAACCAGCCTGCCTTGCACACCAACCGTGCTGCCCTTGGCATTGACAATTTTCTTGATGATCTCGTTGCCTGTCTTTGCAAAAGAGATTTTAATCTTCCCAGTATCAATTGAGATGATGTTTGAGTCTTCCTCGACTATGAGCGCATTTGTAATCTGTATGACTGCGTCCGATGAGTCAATCGCAACGACGCGGTAGCTCTCATCTGCCGTCGCTGATGCAGGGATCGCATGACTTGTCCATTTCATAGATCCGTCAGGCCAGAATGCTGTTGGCCATGTCTGTAGTTGAACTTCGCCCTCACTCTCTGTTCTGCAAATGAAACTGGTGTTCGAGAGGTAGCAGACTCCTTGTCGCCAAGGTATCCCAAATGTGACCCCTGGATTTGAGGGTGGTCTTTTCCCGAGCCATCGAACAATTGTTTCTCGATTAGACTCCATTGATGAGATGAGAATTTCCAAATAGTTTGATTGCCCTAAAAGTCTTGGGTGTAGAGAATATAGCGACCCGATACGGAATTGGTACTGAGAAAAAGTACGGAGACGGGCATAGCAGGGCTGAGAAACGGCGTAGCGATGCGACCATCACTTCGAGCTTGCCAAGCCCTAAGATCATCTTTCACGATGTGGTGGACAGGGGCCTCGTGCACTGAAGTGGACTAGACTTAATGTTGTCATTCGGAGGATTCTGACGTGTTGCGGGGGACATCGCAAAAAGCCGGACTCGGGCGGAGAAAGCAATGGGGCCGGCATCAGTGGGTCTTGCCGATAATCGCCCTCCTTTCCGGGAAGGCCTCGGCTCTGGGCGCCGGAGCGATTTCCGAGTGACTGCTAGTCAGAGCATCCCTTACGTTTTGATTAACCCGCATCCAATTCATTATGATGGAGTGGAAACAGTGCACAAGCAGGCGTCTCTTCATAGTGCCCCTATTGGTGTGAGGTTTAAGGGCATTGCTCGTGTGGGTTTGGATAGTACTTTAAGTTACATTAAACAAGTATGGCCTAGACATCTTATATCCAATTCTACATTCCATACATGCGAAGTAGCAAACCAACGATAAAAGAGTTGCGCCCCTTACTTCAGCTGGAGCTGGATGTCTTTCAGTATTGTCTCAAAGACGCGATTCAGCTCAACCAATCCAAACCGACCTGGCTTCCAAGTCGGCTTCGCAAAGTACATGCCCGCTGCAACGACCCCAAGACCAAATGCCCATGGCATCACCTTCCGCAGACCAGTAAAGAAAGCGAGCTTGAAGAACCGGTTCTGTCTCGTTCTAACGCGCTCAAGATGCTCTTTCCTCTGGTTCGCCACAGGGAACTCAACGCTGCCCGGGACGTCTTCACCGAGGAACTCGCACAACGGCACCCAGCCGTCCTCCAACTTGAACTCCAAAAGCTGATCCTTGGGGACAGCAGCCCGGACCTCAGCATAGTGCTTCCTATAACGATCTTTGGCGACCTCTCTCATCTCTTTGACGTTTCCAACGCCGTAAAATCCTAGTAGAATTTTCCGCAGAGTCCTTCCGCCGTTCAAGCCCCATGCCGGCCCCAGAAAGTCAATGATCAGGTCCGCGCGCAAGCCCCAGGTGGTCTTGAAGATGGCTTCGTCCATGCTATGGAACCAGCTGTCGACGTCGCGCTCAACAAGGATAACTTTGGCTTCTGGAAACGCCTCAATGAGTTGGAGTGCGAAGAAGGAACCCATATCAGTGACTGCTTCGTATGAGCCGAAGAGAGATTCCCAGTCTTTGCGGGTAAACGGAGCGCCGTTGTGAGTCGGGAGTGTGGGAAACACCGAGTCCGCGGCGCGAGAAAATAGCGCCCATTCGCGAGGTGAAGATATAGCCTGTATGCCGTGGTGGACTCCTTGGTAGCCCAAGATTGTGAGAGCTTTGGTGACGGAAGCCGAGCCTGCGTAGTTGTTTAGTGCCCTGTAGGCATGTGTAAGTTACAGCGCTTTGGGGACGAACCAGTCCGTGTCATTCCCAACGAAAGGACTTTCATTTCTTTAGCGGCATGTGGCCCTGAAGCCGCTGGTGCAAGAATCTGAGACGCCATTGTTACTGGAGTTCAACGTTACTGCTCAGGAAGCATATGTTGTGAGCAACGATAGACTGAAGGCGAGAAGAAGGTGTTGAAAGTGAGAGATAAGTGACCAGCATAAAGAGCGACTGTGTTAAACACAATCAAACTGGATTCCAACCCTCTGGGAGAACTCGAGATAAGAAGCAAAGACAAGGATTAATATCAACAAGCAGCTTCAAGCACGTGGACAAGTGACAGGCGCTCAGGTCCTACTGTCGAGAGGGTTTCCGCTGAGGGCTCCCTTATCTTCAGGGGGCGAGTCATGAACCTCGCCAAAGCTTTTCAGTCTTCGCCCCCGTTGTCAGTGGATCATGTCCTTACCAAAGAGACATTCAGCGCTGTATTCCCCTCAACCTTGCAGGCCGGGGCCAGGGAACATCACCATAGTGGGAGTCAAGCTATCGGTATTACTGAGATGCGCCGGTGAGTAGCAATTAGTGATCCCTCTTCAAGGGTTTCAGGTGTGGCATATGCTTCATCTGTCATTCTATCATGGCCGGGCTTTGAGAGGTGGGAGCACTAGGATTTCAAGGAAGGTCTAAGTTGATATTTCTCTTCTTAATTGCAGCGAACCGTATCTGCCCGTTTTGTCTGTCGACATATTTACAGCCAGTTATTATAGGGCATGCACACACTGAAGTGAAACTAAAGCAAAAGTACGAAATAAAATAAAACCAAACATTTCTCGAACTCCTATTTCCAGCGATCTAAAAAAACTCAACATGCACTCTATGAAGCTTCTTGAACCAGCAACTTGCTCTTCCCAGCCAAATCTGCCGACAGCTGCCTCATGGGGATGTTGGCCATGATGTCAAATACGCTAACCTCAACCGCCACCTCCTTAGCAATCCAGTTCCTAACCTCAACAGCAACCAAACTGTCAACGCCATAAGCACTCAGTGGCTTGCCCGCATCGACATCGTCCTCGGGCATCATCATCAATTTGGCCAGACGCTGCACAAGAGCAGAGGTGATCAAGTGCACAGCCTCATCGTCCGCCTTGCCACAGCGAACCAGCTCGTCGCGGAGGGAAACGGTAGCAGAACCGCCGGCTCCGGAGCCCGCGGCGGTCTTCCTGAGGCCGGCGAACCGCTGGTCCTGAATCCAGTACCACGCGTCATCGTGCTCGTTGTAGGGTAGCCCGCACATGACCTGTGGCGGGTGCGCTTCGGAGCCCTCGAGCGCCGTGGCCATGAGGCCGTGGAGGTCGCTTTTGTGCATTACCTTGAGGCCCATCGCCTTGACGTGGTCTACATACTCGTCGTGCTCGGCCACGAATCCGACGCTGAGGAGGTAGCCGATGTCAATGGTCATGGCACGCAGGCCCTGGCTACGGCGGTACGCCGCGAAGTAGTCCTGGAAGATATTGCCGCAGCCGTAGTTGCCCTGCCCGCGGTGGCCCATGACTCCGGCGAGGGAGCTGAGCATCACAAAGAAGTCGAGGTCTCGCGGGAGGAGCTCGTGCAGATTCCAGGTACCGTGGACCTTGGGTCCGACGGTTGTTCGGACGTGGTCCGCAGTCATCTTGTCGAAGAGAGTATCCTGTTGTGAGCCATTAGCAAACAGAATCATCGTGATGGAGTTGGAGCTTGGACTTACTCTGAGAACCATGGCACCGGTAACACATCCCTTCACAGCAGGAACACCCTTTGCCTCCAAGTACTCCAGCACCTCTTGGAGAGCAGCCTTGTCGCCAACATCGCAATCATATGCGTACGTGTTGGCCTCGTAAGTCTTCTGAAGCTCAGAGGCAAAAGCCTTGTTCTCCTCGCTACTGGCGGCAGAGCGAGAAAGCAGAACGAGATGCTTAGCACCCTTCTCGGCAAGCCAGCGTCCAATTTCCTTGCAAATACCACCGACACCGGCAACAACGTAGGTGGCGTCGGCCTGGATGTCCACACTCGGCATACGAGGAACGGCAGGAATCATGTCGGAATCGTCTACACGAACGACCACCTTGCCCATGTGCTTGCCGGCCTGCATATGGCGGAAGGCCTTCTCAACCTCGGCCATGGAGAAGAGCTGGATCGGCGCAATTGGCTTGACGGAGCCATCGTGGATGAGCTTGGCCGTCTCTTCCCAGAGAGTGACTGCGCGAGGAGTGGGATTATTCTCGAAATCGAGGAGGTTGACGCCAATGTAGCTCTTGTTGTCAAGGAAGGGCTTCATGTCGAGACCCGTGTTGGCGAAGAGGTCGGCCTTGCCAATCTCCAAGAAACGACCAAATTTGGCGAGGCAGTGCCACGAGAGGCGAAGAGCTTCACCAGCCAAGGAGTTGAGAACGACATCCACGCCCTGGCCGTTGGTAGCCCGCATGATGGCCTTTGCGAAGCTGGTGTCACGACTACTGAAGATGTGATCCTCGGGTATTCCGTACTGCTCCATGATGAGCTGCTTCTTTTCGTCCGAGCCGACAGTTGCAAAGATCTCGGCACCCTTGCGTTGTGCGATCATGATCGCGGCTTGACCAACACCTCCCGCAGCGGCATGGATCAGAATCTTCTCGTCCTTGACTAGGCTTCCGGCTGTGACCAGGGAGTAGTAAGCCGTGAGGAAGATGAGGGGCATCGACGCCGCCTCCTCGAAAGTCATCTTTTCAGGGACGGCAATGGCACCTTTGGCCGGGAATCGGACGTAAGTCGCAAAAGTGTCGCAAGATGCGGTCATGACACGATCGCCGACCTTGAAATCCGAGACCGCTGGGCCGACGCGAGTGACGACTCCAGATGCATCGACTCCGAGCTTGTTCTCGGCGAGGTTGCCCAAAGCAACGAGTACATCCTTGAAGTTGAGACCCACTGCCTTGACCTCGACTTCGATCCAGTCCTCAGGCATAGGCTGATAGTAAGTCTCATCCTCTTCCCATCTGAAGGTATCGAGAAGACCAGGTGTCTTGATGGTGAGCTTCAGAGGCCTTCCGCATCCCTTGAACGAGACGAGCTCCGGTTGTCCCTTGGCTTCATACTTGCGAAGAGAGCCATCGACATTGAGAGTTCTCTCAACTCTCGGAATGTAGACGGTGCTGCCGCGAGCAGCGAATTCGCCGTCAAAGCCGTCGCCACGACTGTGGCTTAGAGCCACCTTGAGGACGTTTCTGGCAGCTTCTTCGAAGTTGATGTTGCTAGCTGTCTCCAAGTCGAGGGTAGCTAGCCGGACGCCTGCGTCCTCGTTGCGAATGGCTCTTGAAAGGCCAACCATCAACGACTTCATCGGCTCAGAACATTCCATTGCAGCACCGCCAGTGATCCAGAGGGTTCCGGCGGAGCCAAGAATCACTTGACGTAACTTCTCCCAGTCTCCATCCGTGAGATTGGCAAGGATGGAGTTCTCCCACTCCGCGAGGCAGAGACAGTACTTTCCGTCGACCTGGCTCTCTAAGGCCTCGTTCCATTGAGCGATCGATACATCTAGACCAGTAGAAACAAAATGCTCTTTGATAGACTGTGCCAGCTTTTCAGATAGCCCGGAGCCTGTGCTGACAACGACAAATTGAGAGGAGGCAGACACCTGCTTCTCTGGCTTCGTCGAGATGATCAAGGAGACTGGCTCCTTGGAAGCCTCGCGATCGCCGCGAATGTCGACATCGACACCCGAAAAGCCGGCCAGGTTCAGTGCAGTGTTCCACTCCTCGACATCCAGGAGGGGACCACCCGTGCGCCCGTCTTCCTCGCCAAGCCACCATCCAGGAAGGGGGCCCATGATGAAGCCACTGAAGATGCGCTTGATCGTAACCTCAGAGAGCACAAGACGACCGCCAGGCTTGAGGAGCGACTTGCAGTGGGCGAGTGTCTCTTGAATACTCTTGGTGGCGTGAAGTACGTTGGCGCAGACAATGAGGTCGTAGCTCTCGGGCGTGAAGCCCTGCTCGGTGGGCTCGTTTTCGATGTTGAGAGTGGTGAACTCCATGATGGATGCGTCAGTCGAGAAGCGGTCGGCCGCCTTAGCCAAGAATCCCGGTGAGATGTCTGTGAAGCAATACTTCGCCGCCTTGGAAGTTCCATCGGCATTGCGGAGGCGCTCCAGGACGTGGTACGTGGTGCCACCGGTGCCAGCACCAATTTCCAGGATGTTGACACCGGGTCTCTTGTCGGCGATCAAGCCAACGTACTCTGCTACATTGGTGTTGAAGCTGGTTCCAAAGGCACCACGGTAGAAGGAGTACAAAAGATCACCCTCGGTCATGACCTGCAACGGCTCGACTGCGCGAGAGAAGATCTTGCTCAGATTCTCTCCGATGCGGTCGACCATCTGCACCGTTATGTCGCCACTCTCAGACAGAACGATTCTCTTGCGCGCGGCTTCAAGCTCGGCATCGACTTCCCCCTCATTTTCAGCAAGAGGAGGGAATTGCTTGATAGTATCGTGCATCCACTCGACATAAGACTTCCAGAAGCCCTCTTGGGGTACGAAAGCTTTGCCCTCCTCACTTTCAAGCCAGGTGAGGCAGCGGTAAATGTGAACAAGGCAGACGTACTCAAGCTTGTCAAGAACTGAGTCGTCATCCTTGCTCTTGAGGGTACGTTTGTAGACAAGCTCCTTGATCTGCGAGGGCTCCAGCAAGTCCGAGTCTTCGTGCCAAGTCTGCCCGAAGCAAGAGGCCCTCGTCTCTTGAGCCTGAGATACATCTCCCTCTCCAACAGAAGCCAAAGATAGCCCATCCATGATAATCATGGGCTCAGAGAGATTCTCGGAGATGGTGATGGAGGACTTCCAAGTGGTGTAGCTGGTCTTCTGGGCTGTGGAGCATCCATGAAGCTTGGTGCCAGGGACTGTGGAGAGTTTCGCAGAGACAAAGATCCTATCAAACGAGAATGGCACAACTGCTTCGCTGAGAGACTGGTCCTCTCCACTGATGGAAGGGAAGAGAAGATGCAGCACAGAGTCAAGGGTCGCTGGGTGAACCACGAACGGGTATTCGAAACCTTTGGGCATGATAGCCTTGGTATCCGGCACACTAATGATACCGTAGCTTGCACTGGGTCCAGCAAAAAGCTCGGTCATGTTGCGGAAAGTCGGACCATACTGCATGCCAATGGTCTCAACAGTGTCGTAAAGAAAGCTTCTTGCAGGCTTCTGGCAGATCTCTTTGGCTTCGGCAAAGGTTTGCGCGTAGCGCTTGTTCTCAAGGGCCAGCTCGCGCTGCATGGCCGGAGAGAGAGACGATTTGTAAGTGACAGAGACCAGCCCTCGCGCATGCACCGTCCACTCCTTGATGTCTTCCGACCAAGAAGAAACAGCGAACTCGTTGAGGGTAGCTGAAGGGCCAGCCTTAGTACCAGTGCGACGAGGGTGCAGTTGGATCATCACCTCGATGCCCTTGTCGGTGTCCGGCACTCTCAGGGCAGTGTCAATAGCAACATCGCGGAGTTCGTATCCGTAAACCTCCTCTGCGGCGTTCTCTTCCGCAAGCTGACGGGCTGCTTCAATAGCCATGACAACGATACCCGCTCCGGGATAAAGGATGTCGCCCTGGACCTTGTGCTCGCGGATCCAAGGGTTTTCATTGCACCGGAGGAAGTTGCGCCAGGTGGGATCTGGAGTGCCCGGGATTCGGTACCCAAGCAAATCGGTGCGTGGCTTCTCTCTTAGTCTGTACTCGCGACTGAGGTAGGATTCGTCCCAGAAGGAGAGCTTGTGGTTCCATGCGTATGGCGGCAAGTCCACGAGCATACCGGTCTCAGCTGTGACTTCGTTGACGCGGCTGATGTCGACGCCGCACCCCTTGGTCCACAACTGTCCCATAGCTTCCAAAATAGTTTGAACCCCATCGAACTTGCGTCGTAGTATCGTGGCATAGGACAGGTCTGAGAATTTGTCCTCAGCAGAGAATGTGTCGAGCAAATAGCTTCTCAGTGCTGAGTGAGGACCGAGCTCGACAAAGACACTGGCAAATGCGGATCTGTCATGAGATCGGACCTTGCCTTGGGTATGGTGCAGAAGAGAACGAACGGCGCCCACGAAGTTGACGGGAGAAACCAGGTTGTCCACCCAGTAGGAAGGCGTCATTTGCTCTGGAGTGACAAGCGTTCCAGTCACAGAGGAGAACATGGGAATGTCGGAGGATCGATGAGGGATGCCTGCCAGAGCAGCCTCATAGCTCTCTCGCGCGGCTTCCATGTGGAACGAATGGTAGGCCACATCCATTGGAAGGCGAGTGCAGGGGATCTGCGCTTCCTTGAGAATGTTCTGCAATTCGCCAATGGCAACGTCGTCACCAGAGACCGTGCAAGCCTTGGGACTGTTGAGGCAGCCGACGATGGCCTTTCCGAGCTTTAGGGATTTAAGGTGCTCGCTGACGCTCTCGGCGCTCGCAGACACGGCCAACATACCGCCGTTCTTGGAAACAGTCTTGGAAACCTGACCTCTCAGCCATGCAATCTTCACCGCCGCTTCATGGTCGATGAAGCCTGCACAGTAGGCGGCTCCAATCTCGCCGCTAGAGTGACCAACAACGGCGACAGGCTTGACACCCCATTCCTTGGCAAGATCAACGAAAGCGACTTGCAAGGCAGTGCAAGCTGGCTGGCTGTAGTCCGTTCGGCGTAGGTTGCACTCGTCTTCGGGGCGATCCAGTTCTTCGGTCAAAGTCCAGGTGCAGCCGAAAGATTTGAGAATCGTTTCAGAGCGCAGCATGCTGTCTCTGAAAGCCTTGTACACGGAGAGACCTTTGCCCATCTTGGAGTACTGGGCTCCTTGGCCAGTGAACACGAAGGCGACACCCGGCACAGATGAGTTGGACGATCGAACAACAGCGGGGATGGTCTCGAGGCTCTGGTAAAGGCTGTTGATGTCGGAAGCAATAGCGAAAGACTTCCAGGGCAAAGTTGTCCGTTTCGAAGAGAGGGTATAGGCAAGGTCGGTCATTGAGAGGGGTTGGCCAGAGGTCTTGGTGGCAAGATAGTCGATCATTCTTTCGACGTTGCGCTTGACACCCTCTTGATCATTGGCGGAAAGCACAAAGAGTTTCGAGCTGGGATTTTCCGGGTTGATGCTGCTCGTCGTCTCTGTTTCAGAGCCGATATCGCTGGAATTACTGGAAGGAGAATGAGGCAGTCGTGGCTTGGGGACGGTCGCATGACGTCCTGGGAGACCATGACGAAGGAGATAGGATGCAGCATCCTCGAGGATGACATGGGCATTGGCTCCTCCAAAGCCAAAGGAGTTGATGCTAGCACGTCGCGGGCCGCTATGAGGCCACACGGTAAGGGTTGTGGGAATCTTGACGTTCTCTGGTAATTCAATCTGGGGGTTGAGTTCCTCGAACCTGTACAAACATGCATCAGTCAGATGCTCGACAAGAAGCCCGCTAGGGGTAGAGCTTACCACAAGTTCTGGGGGATCAGTCCCCTTTCGACGGCTAAGGCAGCCTTGATAACACCAGCCACACCAGCAGCACCCTCCAAATGACCGATGTTGGCTGCGAAATCAGCAATGTTTCAGAGACAATGGTTCAAAGACACATCAAAACGGGGCTGAACATACTCTTTACCGAGCCAACATACAGCTCGGACTTGCGACTGGGCTGATCTCCTATCGTCTTGAGAATAGCACGGGCTTCCAGAGGATCGCCAGCTTGCGTTCCCGTGCCGTGTGCCTCAACGTAGCCAGTCTCTGCGGGATCAACACCAGCTTTGCGGTATGCAGTGCGTATAAGTTCCTGCTGAGCTTCGCTATTCGGCAGGGAGATACCAGGGGTTCTTCCATCTTCGTTTGCTGCCGAGGCCAGCACAACAGCACGGACGGTATCGCCGTCGCGAAGCGCGGCATCCAAGGGCTTGAGAATAGTGACGCCGAATCCTTCTCCGCGGGCGAAGCCGTTGGCGTTCGCATCCCACATCTTGGACTTTCCCTCGGGGGAGAGAATTTTGGCGGCACCGAGCAGAATGGACATGTCTGGGCCGAACATGAGATTGGCGCCAGCAACAACGCTCTGTCACACAAGGTTTGTGTCAGCAATCTCCTCGCTCGCAAGGTGAACTCTTGTAATGTGCGCATTTCACACTAACCATCTCTGCTTCTCCTGTGCGTATGCTCTGACAAGCCAGGTGGAAGGCCGTCAGACTAGATGAGCATGCAGTGTCGATCGTCATAGAGGGACCCCTGAGGTTGTAGAACCACGAAAGCCGATTTGAGGCAAGGGATGAAGAAAGGCCGGTAGCATCTTCAATGAGGTATCAATATTTCAATGCTAGAATACGGAATAGCAGAACTGGGTACTAACGGTAAATGGAGGGTCCCTCGTTGTCGCGAGCTTGCAGGTTGGGGAAGTCTCCGGTGAAGGTACCAATGTAGCATGACGTTTGAGTTCCCGAGACATCTTCCAGTCTCAGACCAGCTGATGAACAATTAGCAAACGGGATGTTCTTTCACCTCTGCTAGATTGTCGTAGACTTACCATTCTCAAACCCCTCGTATGTTGCTTCCAGGAGCATCCGGTGCGTCGGATCCATAGCCTTAGCTTCCTTGGGTGTGACAGAGAAAAACGGTGCGTCAAACACCTTGAAGTCTTGTTTCAAGAAGTGCGCATGCCTACAAAAGAACGATGAGGCTGGGAGAGGCAAAATTTTCAAAGATGATTGGCTTACCTGGGCTGGATGCTTCCAAGTCTTTCAGGGTCAGGATGGTAAAAGCCATCAACGTTGTAGCGGTCCTTTGGAATCTCGGACCGTGCAGAGCGAGCGTCCAAGAGCATCTGCCAGAACTTCTCCGGGTCAGAAGCATCGCCTGGGGCTCTCAGCCCGATGCCGATGATGGCAATGGGCTGAGATGTGCTTTTTGCACGGGTGGGCTCGTCAATGAACGGCATGTTGTGTAATGGGGAAAGGGAGAATGGGAATTATGAACAGAAATATCGCTTGGGTATCTTAGTTGGATAGTGGAATGCAGGTTGGGCAGGGGGAGATTGTCAGAGAGAACTAAGGGGAACATGAAGAAAAATTACGAGAGATTCAGGTATCATATGTATGCTTCCATACGACTTCGATCGGAGGATTCCGCACCCGCGTTCACAGTGACAATGCCTCAAGATGAGGTCTATCCATGTCATCAGATAATAATAAAGATGCCTACCTTGGCCAAAGTTCGAACGACTCCATCGAAACGATGTCTTTCACCCAATACCATCATATCCTCCAGGCACGTTGTCGGCCTCTTGTCTCCCGATATTGTGCGCTGCAGGATTACGCCAGAGCGGTGACAACCCGACACAATGGCAGAGATGTCTCTGCGTGCTTTAGCCAGGGCGTTTCCACATCCCGATCGCCAAGGGTTCTGCCAAGTACGGGAGGAATCCGGGGGATGTATGGTTCCAATAAGGACAGGCTCCGTTTTGACGGGAGCAGTTGAACTGGACCCCATGGTAGATGGGTCTCGCATCTGATATTGCGTTGCGGAGCACTTGCGGTGCCGCTGACTCGGGTCTCAGGATACCCTAGCAGAGCTGGAGCCTGGATCGATTGGCGAATAATCTTACCCATGCTATAATTGAGTCTTCACAACATATCTCGCAGCACGTGGGCCCTTTTGTTTGTCCTGGTAATGAAGTTTCCCTTGAGCGAGTTGCCGCCGGCATAGCTGGTATGGATTCATGACGCGTCTTGCCGGCGGCTCTGTGCAAGGAGTAGACACTGTGAGTAATTCAAACACGCCTCCTAGAGGTTTGAGGGATATGAATACGGGATGTGAATACGCTTGGCCGATTGTGGATTTACACCGGCCCCGATGGCGGAGCATACAGAGGACCATCGAATCATGGACGCTCGCTCTTCCTTCTCAGAAAGTTACTCGGTGCTCGTCAAATTTTTGAGTTGCAAGTATACAAAGTAACTCACTATTTGTCGTTGGACAGATCTAATAGGACTTTGGTAAACACACTGAGATGTCAAATAACATTCGCAACATCCAAAGCTTCGGGCTCCACCAAAGGCTGATACCAGCAAAACACATTATCAGGATCGTAAAGCTGCTTCAAAGCGCGTAACTTCTCTAGCCTCCACGGCTCGTAACCATAAAGTGCTTCTGGTGGATCTCGCATCGAAGATGTTGTGTTGCCATAGTTCACGTACTGTTGCAATCGTCCGTAGCCCGACGTTGCGATGAACTCCTTCTTCCATCGATCAAGATGCTCCTCGAACTTTTCCATAAACTCAAGCTTCAACGGCGTCGCCATGAGCATTCTGTGAATACAAGTCAGCGTTGCCTTTCCCCGAGTGAAATAAACAGCTTCAGTACGTCTATCAACTTACAAGAAATGATTCGAACCCCAGCGCCAAGGGAACGCCGTCGCTTCGCTGGGCAGCTCTCGTACTTTTTGGTGGGGCAAGCATTCGAACATGGCTCCGAAGAAGCCCTTGCCCGCCCATTCTTCGTTCATGAATCGAACACTCTCAAAAAACGCCCGAGTAGTTTTGAGGTCAAACTTTTCCACGCAGGCAGCTCCCATCATCTTGTAAGGCGCTTTGGACCAGACCTCTGGTTTACTGAGAACGTTGTTCATGCCTTTGTATGTCTTCCACGGAAGATCAGCCCAGGTCGTGATTACCTTTCCGCTATTTATAACGGGATTCAGGTCCTCGAACTGTTGGACCCATGGATCTGCCTCGGCTTCGAGGCCAGACCAAACAAGATTGACAAGTATGTGGTGCTGAGAAGATGGCATGTCAGCCTTGTGCGTTCACGAATAAGGTTGGATAAGCATTCTTCACCTTCCCACCACCTTCGCTCTGGCGAACCCACAGCACGAAGATGGCCAAATTGGCCGGGATAACTTCGTTTACGCTGTTGAGAGTCTCAAAGACGGAATCGCACTGCTCAACAGTATACTCCAAATCCCAAGTGTAGTGGATGCCCTGGTTTGCCTGGGGATATACCTGGAACGTAGCTTCTAGCGCGATGCCAAAGTTGTGTCCAGCTCCGCGGATAGCCCAGAACAATTCGGGGTTTGAGTCTTCGGACACCAGAATAACGCTACCATCGGCGAGTACCAGCTTACAAGACACCATGTTATCGTGCAAGAAGCCGTATTTGCCTTGAAGGCGGCCAAGGCCGGCTCCGAATGCCACTCCTATGACGCCCGTTGTCGGACAGGACCCAACGTCTGCCACGAAATCAGCCTACATCTTGAAGTTACAATACTCAACATCGAGTACTTACTGACTTCCATTCCAACCGACCCAAGAAACTTAACAAAGTTGTCCGTTATGACGCCTCCACCGACGGTAACTTGTCGCTTATCGGTATCAAATTCAAGCTTGTTCAGCGGGCGCATATCGATGAGAATCCCGTCTTTCAGGTACCGCATCGTCGTAGTCACAGCATGGTGTCCTGACCGTGGCGCGAACGGAATTCCTTTTTGCCGGGCATATTTCATGACCTGTATCACATCTTCTTCGCACGCCGGCTCGACAGCCGCAAGGTACGTCTGTAGCAGCCTGCAGTCAGCATGAGTCTTTGGGTCAGAGCTTGCTCCGGACTTACTGGACGCTCATAGTCTGTGAATCTGAGGTTGGATCTGCCAAACCCTTCAGAGTCGGCGAGGTGAATGCAGGCTCGAGCCGAGAGCCTGGGCCTCAGTTCGTCCCGGATAGTCTCGGGGCTCGTGATTCTCGTCATTCTGCTGGTGTCTCGAATGCTAAGCTGAGGTCATGGCCAGTTTGCCAAGCAATCAGATACTTGTCGAGCTCAACAGCCACGTTCCGTCGGACTGCTTGAATGAATCCGAAGCCGGTTTCGGAAACATCACATGTTGAGTAAATCATCATCCTTTCTCTACCTGAAGGCCGAGGGAACCGCCGGCTCAACTCCGCCACGTCCCCAACATCTCCACTCACTAACCTGAACCAGGGAACCAGCCATGGATGCCAGAAGTCGGACTATGTACGGGCGCAACTGAAGAGCGGATTTTCTGGCATTTGGTGCAGAGGTTCGTGGCGAAGGGCCTCGTGTCTGTTCATTGGCAGACTGTTCCCACGTGCTATGGACAAAACCAGTGGAGTTCTCAAAACTCCATGGATCCAGTCCCTCGAAGTCTTGAACTGAACGGCCAAGACCGGGGTAAGGAGCTTGTTTTCTAAACAAGCATTGACTCGTGCTTCGGCTCCAGGATGTCTCGGAAAATAAAGTTTTCTTTTGCAGCTAATTGAACTAGGGGGATTTCTAAAGATTTCATTCCTGGAAGCAAGATTCGGTAGTCACTGAGCAGCCCGACCCGGTATGCAAGGGCCTCGAGATGGCAGTCCGGGACTCCCTGGTTGTCGTGGCCCGCTCAGCATGAATCGAGTTCTCGGAAACCGCAGCGACCTTCTTATCACGTTCCTCTCAAGCATTGCGTATGGATCCGACGATGGTTCTTTGCGGGTCCGTGAGAACGTGCGACGATGTTTGGTTTTCATTGGCAGACATGCGCAGCGATGCACTTTATCCCAGGAGACCCTGAACCGTCCCATGCGGAGAGCCTTGTCATAGTCGTGTTGCTGCGGAACATGCTCCGACGAGCTCTCCCCACAGCTATGAGTGAAAGAGCCAAGCTCAAGAGTCAAGGCTCGTGAAGCCTTTCTTGGTGTCAACGGCGATGCAGACAGTCTGGGTCAAACAAGCACTGAAGCCGTGGTCGTGTTGAGGAATTTTCAATCATCACGATGGTCACAGTCAACTTACCTGAGCAGGTTCAAGCTCACCTGAGCAAGTTGACAGCGATCTCAGCTTCCAACACTGCCGTCACCTCTCTCTGTCTAGTAAGTTCAGTATCCCAACTTCCTCCCATAATGAAATCTCACCAATCCTCTAGATCGCGGCATACATCTTCTGCAGAAGTTTCTACTACCTCTACCTCAGCCCGCTACGACACTACCCAGGCCCCAAGCTCTGGGCCATCTCTCGCCTGCCATGGAACTACGTCAACATGAAGGGCCGCATCACCTGGCGCATCCGCGAGCTCCACGACCAGTACGGCCCCGTGGTCCGCATCGCGCCCGACGAGCTCTCCTATACCAGCTCCACGGCCTGGAAGAAGATCTACGGACAGCGCACGCCCGAGTTCCCAAAGGCCCTCGATGGCCGCGGCATCGCACCGCCGACCATGGGAGGCCGTAAGACGCTAATGACGGAGGACCAGGCGGGCCATGCGAAGCTCCGGCGCGCCATCAACCCGGCCTTCTCGGAGCGTGCGTTGCGCGAGCAGGAGTACTACTTTCAGGACTATACGGACACTCTTGTGAGTCAACTCAAAAAGGTGTGTAAAGAGGGTGCGGTGGATTTGTCAACCTGGTTCAATCTGCTGGCTTTCGACATTCTCAACGGTGAGTGACCTACTTGATTCACAGTATCTTTCAGCTTCTGAGGTTGGAGTGGTCAACACTTTGAATCTAACGAAATGTTTCACCCAGACCTCGCCTTCGGCACTTCTGAAAATTGTCTCAACAATGCCGACCAGCCCTGGCTCCGCCTCATCAACACGCGCGCAAAAGCCTACGTCTGGATCCAACTAACTGTACAATACGGCGTGTTCGACCTCCTCACCTGGATCGCGCCGCGCCGCGTGACCGAGTCTCGCCGCAAACACATCGCCATGACGGAGGCCAAAGTCCGACAACGCATCGAAGTCAAGAACCCTGGCAAGGACTTCATGTCCTATATCCTCGACAACACGGAGGAGAAGCCGCTCACCAACATTGAGCTGACGATGCTGGCGGGCACCTTCATCGTCGCCGGCAGCGGGACCACCGCCGGCGGCATGTCTGGTTTGACGTACCTGCTGCTACATAACCCGGAGAAGCTCGAAAAGGTAAAGGCGGAGATTCGTGGTAACTTTAGGGCGCAGGAGGATATTACAATGGTTGCTGCGCAGCATTGTAGGTACCTTCGCGCGTGTATTGACGAGGGTATGCGGTTGTATCCGCCGACGCCCGGGTCCCTGCCCCGATGGGTTCCGGGGGAGGGCGAGGTCATTGATGGCAGATGGGTTCCGGGCGGATACGCCGTCGCTGTGAACCAATTCGCGGCGGGACACTCGGCACACAGCTTCCGCAGGCCTCAAGAGTTCATTCCTGAGAGATGGATTGAGCAGGGTCCCGATTCTGAGTTTGTTGATGATGACAGGGCGGCAGTCCAGCCGTTCTCGTATGGACAACACATTTGTATTGGAAGAGCGTGAGTAGCTCCCCAACCCCAAGGAGGTTGTAAGAGAAACGAGAGACTGGAGAAAACGCTAACAACCTCTCAGTATGGCGTACGCCGAGATGAGCCTGACGATGGCCAAGATAATCTGGAATTTCGACTTTGAGCTCGAGAACCCTTCCGAAGATTGGTGGAGCAAGCAAGGAACGTATATCATGTGGGAGAAGGTTCCTTTGATGATCAGACTACACCCTAGAGCAGTTGCTTGAAGTCCTTCTTGAACACTTGTCAAGTCGGCGCCTGAGATACGTCGCCCAGGACTCCAGATGCATGGGAGAGCCGTCGTAGACAGTGTAGTCTAGTTATACTCATTTACATGTTACAGACACTCATCTTGCCATCATCAGATAGTCATTGATGATGTGACTCAAGCAGCAATCATCTCCCTGCACTTTGTCCAGCGCCTACTGTAGACCAGTCTTTGCTCTGACATCGAGCAAAACTTGAGCTCAACTTTATCATCACAATGACCAAGCCCTCGTTCAAACATATCACACACAATTGGACGAACCCATCTCCGTAAAATCGGGTCAACGACCCGATAGTATCGAACCCCCTCCCCCGAGCTGTCACTTACCAACAGAACGGTTGATGTCCGAGTCAGCGGACCGCATCCAGGGGTACCCATGGGCCATTCCCCCGTTCATTATCGTCCCCAAAGTCCCTTGCTCTCAGATCACGGACGCCCCCCACCTCGCGATGGACCCTTTTATTAGATTCCCATGTCATCTGAAGAGCTCAAGCTTTTGGACCAATGCCAAGCATCATCTGGAGCACGTTGGCGCAGGGTCCAGTGAGACTGGTGATGTTGAGTGACATGTACTGATTGACCAATGACTGCCCAAACATTGAACGTGGAGAGGACCTGCTGTATGCTTTTCGTCAGGAAAGCCAACAACTATCGTGAAGTTGAAGTCTGGGGATGGTGACGATGATGTCAATTTGACTCCGTGTTCCGGTAAGAGACACAAGACCAACTTACCGACTACATGTCTCACAATTATACCGTACAAACACCACCGGAAGCCAAGGAAACCAAACGCAACATGACGGCTCACACTTTTCCCTTAGCCACCTTACCTCAGTTCACAAGTCTCGAACAATATCCAGACCTTCACGGCATCCCGCTATACACCCTCATCCCCATCCTCCTCCTCCTCCTCCTCCTCCTCCTCCACCACCTCCTGCGAACCCTCTACCGCACAATCTCCCACGCCAAACACGCCCGCAACCTCTCCTGCCGTCCAGCGCCCCTAGAACCCTCAAAATACCCCCTCGGCCTCGACATCGTCCTCGCCTCCCTCCGCGCCGACCGCGAACAGCGCACACCAGACCACGTCGCCGCTCGCTTCGAGGCCCTCAGACACAATGGTAACAAGAACAAGAACAACAGCAGCAGCGGCGGTGGCGGCGGCGGCGGCGTCTACACCTTCCGCATGTCCCTCCTCGGCACCACAAACCTCGTCACAGCCGACCCGCGCAACATCCAAGCCCTCCTCGCCACGCAATTCCACGATTTCGGCATGGGCCTCGCCCGCAGCACAAACTTGAAGACAGTCCTGGGTAGAAGCATCTTCGCGGCCGACGGCACGGCGTGGCGCGCCGCTAGGGAGATGATGAGGCCTCTCTTCAGCCGCGATAACGTCTCCAGGCTGGACCTGCTCGAGGCGCACGTCCAGACGCTGTTCCTCTGCATCGAAAAGGAGACAATCACCACCACCACCACCACAAACTCCACGAAGGGTGATCCATGGTCAGGCGCCGTAAGCCTCGCCTCGCTGTTCCCGTGCCTCACCCTCGACTCCGCAACAGAACTCTTCCTAGGCCAAAGCACATCCACCCTCACAGCCCGCCTACACGACGACCAAACCCACCCAGGCACAGCCTTCAACCACGCCTTTGAAAAAATGCTCGCCGTCCTCGGCACGCGCATGCGTCTCCGGAGCTTCTACTGGGCCTACGGAACTAAAGACCTACACGCCTGCGTAGCGACGCTCCACGCCTTTGTCGACGCCGCCATCGCGGCATCAGACAGCGCAAAAGCCCAGGGCTCCTCCCTCGCGCGCTACGACTTCCTAGATGTCCTCCGCGAGCGGTGTGTCGGTGGAGACGAAGAAGTCCGCGAGCAGGTGTTGGGATTACTCGCCGCTGGGCGAGATACCACCGCCTCGCTAATGAGTTGGGCCTGGTACTGCCTCGTCCGCAACCCGCGCGTGTTCGCCAAGCTCCGGGCAGAAATCACATCAGCCTTTGGGTCCTACCACTCCTCTCCAACAGACCACCCTTCGGAGACAACAATGACGTTCGCGTCCCTGAAGCAGTGCACCTACCTCCAACACGTCCTCTCCGAGACCCTCCGCCTCCACTCCGTAGTCCCCTTCAACTCCCGCCGCGCCCTCCGCGACACAACCCTCCCCACGGGCGGCGGACCCCTCGGCACCGACCCCGTCTTCGTACCCGCGGGGACGGAAGTCAACTTCAGCACGCACGTGCTCCACCGCCGCAAAGATCTCTGGGGCGACGACGCGGATGAGTTCGTGCCGGAGCGGTGGGAGACCAAAAGGGGCTCCGCGGGCGCGGCGTGGCATTTTGTGCCGTTTAATGGCGGGCCGAGGATTTGTATCGGGCAGCAGCTTGCGCTGACGGAGGCTGGATATGTGGTTGCGAGGATGTTGCAGAGGTATGAGGCCGTGGAGGGGTTGGATGTGGATGGGACGAGGGATTGGCATAATTTTACGGTGGTTTGTGGGCCTGGGAGCCCGGTTGATCGGAATGAGGCTGTTTTGTGTCGGTTGAAGGTTGCGGGAGTCTAAGAGGGATTGGTTGTCTTGGCTGGTACAGGCCACCTGCATAGACATGAACATGAGCTTCGTCGGTCATTCAAGTAAGGTGAGATACCTTGAGGTAGCTGTATCACCAGGTTTGATGCTCGTCAGGAGAGAATTTGACATCCGCTATGATTCAAATGATATCATCACTTCCGACGAGATACCGGGCATGTTGCAACGTTCCTAGAGAGACTCAGAATCATCAGCGTTCATAGTTTGCGAGGCATCATAGAAAATGACAGCTCTCAGAATCAAGCCCTGAACGATGCCCACTTACTTATCATGGAGGTGAGCACTAACACCTTCCGCGTGCACCACGCACCTGCCTCGGGAATGCTGACCGGAAGAGCATCGGTTAAAGTGGATCGCATCACCGTCGCCGCGCCGGTCCGCTCCGAACGTTAAGTCGAGCGACCCGGGCTGACTGACACATCACATTCACTACATTCATGAGGCAGACAAGTTTTAGATTGTTTTTTGTTATTGGTATCATTCAACGTGATATTTGAAACGAGAAAAAAAGTTACATCAAGGTCATGTACACATTTGCGCCGGAATAAGCCCCAGTTTTCATTACCTTTCCAACCAAGATACTGCCCCTTAGAACAAGGCTCCGCCCAGACGGATCGCGACGGACTTGTTCTGGGTGTAGTTTGCGAGGGCGGCCTCGCCGAGCTCTCTGCCGATACCGGACTCCTTGAAGCCACCGAAGGGCACCTGGTAGGAGAGCATGTTGTAGCAGTTGACCCAGACGGTGCCGGCCTTGATGGCGTTGCTGACGCGGATGGCGGTGTTGAGGTCAGTGGTGTGGACGGCGGCGGCCAGACCGTAGGTGGTGTCGTTTCCGAGCTTGATGACCTCCTCCTCGTCCTTGAACTTGGCGATGGCGCAGACGGGGCCGAAGATCTCCTCCTGCATGATCTTCATGTCCGGGCGGACGTTGCTGAAGATGGTGGGCTGGATGAAGTAGCCCTTGTCGCCGTGGCGGGCACCGCCGGTCTCGACGGTGGCGCCCTCGTCCTTGCCGGCCTTGATGTAGCCCATGATGCGGTCGAACTGCAGCTGGGAGACCTGGGGGCCCTGGAAGGTCTCAGGGTGGAAGGGGTCGCCGACCTTGTTCTGCTCAGCACGCGCCTTGAAGGCGGCGAGGAACTTGTCGTAGACGCCCTCCTGGACGAAGATACGGGTACCGGCGCAGCAGCACTGGCCGTGGTTGTAGTAGATGCCAAAGTTGACCCAGGAGATGGCCTGCTCAATGTCGGCGTCGTTGAAGACGATGTTGGGGGACTTTCCGCCGAGCTCGAGGGTAACCTTCTTCAGGTTGGAGCTGGCGGCGGCCTTCATGATCTGGCGACCAACGAGGGTGGAGCCGGTGAAGGCGATCTTGTCAACGTCCATGTGGGAGGAGAGGGCGGCACCGGCGATCTTGCCGAAACCGTTGATGAGGTTGAAAACACCGGGGGGGAAGCCGGCCTCCTTGATGAACTGGGCGAAGACGAGAGCGGACAGAGGGGTCTGCTCGGCGGTCTTCATGACAATGGTGTTACCCGTCGCCAGGGCAGGGGCAATCTTCCAGGAGAGCATGAGGAGGGGGAAGTTCCAGGGAATAACCTGGGCACAGACACCGATCTGGAGGGGGGTTTGTTAGCTCACTGTCCTAATTACAATCATGGTAGCGAGTAATTGTGACTTACGGGCTCGGCACGAGTGTAGTGGAACATGTCGTGGGCAACGTCAATGGTCTTGCCCTCAATCTTGTCGGCCCAGCCTCCATAGTATCTCAAGCAGCCGACGACGGCACCGACGTCGCCCTTTGCCATGGAGATGGACTTTCCGTTGTCGAGAGACTCGACGGCGGCCAGGAGGTCGGTGTTCTTCTCGGCGATATCGGCGAGCTTGTTCAGGAGGTAACCACGCTGGCTGGGGGCAACCTTTCTCCACTCGCCCTCGAAGGCCTTGCGGGCGGCGGCGACGGCAATGTCGACATCCTTCTCGGTAGCCTCGTGGACGGAGGTGATGACCTCCTCGGTGGAGGGGTTGATGACCTCGAAAGTCTGCTTGTCGACACCCTCAACCCACTCGTTGTTGATGAACCTGGAAGATCACGATGTATTAGCTTCAACTTTCGTGTTTTCGAGGTCGTCATCGCTCGCGGGGTAGCGGCGGGATAAGAGATTGAGGGGTAGAATACGCACAGTCCAGTAGGTTGGTTGTAGGGGCCCGTCACCGGGGTCTTGAGCTCAACGGACAAACCCATTGTGTGTGATTTTTTTGGAAACAAGACGAAACGTGGAGGGTATTTGGTATCACGGAAGAAAGAAGAAAAAGAATAGTTTGGATTGAGATGGAGTTTGCAAGTTGAGAGTAGTGAGAAGTGAGAGAGGGAGAGAAGAAACTGGAGAGAAGAAGCTGGGGATCACAGACTGTATATAAAGCGGGGTCCGGGGGGCACAGAGCAGAGCTGGGGGAGAGAAGTCCGAAAGTGATACCGCGCGGCGCAAAGGCAGGGACGAATTGTCAGAGACTCTGGAGACTGAAGGAGGCGAAGGCGATACCTTGCTTGACGGCGGTGGGGTCCGGGGGCAGGGGGGGTAAGGAGGAGGAGGAGGAGGAGGGTGGACGGATGGAGGGGGGGCCAGAAGAGAAAGAAAGGATGAGGGGCAGTCTGCAGAGTATCTCACACTAAAACCGAGGCCTGGTCTATCCGTACCGGAACCACAGATGAGCATTGGATGAAAGGGAGTCCCCCATGGGCCGGAGTAACGTCAAACACGGTCATTCGGTGGACTGGACTAGGACTTGACATCTCCACATTGGGAGCCAGACACACATCTGCATGCTGTCAATGGACGAAAGGGGGGGGGGGCACACGATACACCAGATATTGACAAGCTAGGGTGGACTTCCATTTGTTAGTGTTGGAGTGTTGGGGCACTGAGGGTAGAAACGGAGGGGCAGCAACAGAAAAAAGAAGTTGTATCCTGCAACAAACTTGCAAGGGGTGGAAGATGGGCCCAAGCTAAACGGGGAATAGTGGGTGCCGCTTCGGGCCAACGCCTGGCTTTCCTTTCCTCTCGGCCAGCTCCAGGCGAGCTTTCCTCGTCCCCTTTGCACCGGACGAGCAATAAGCTATCCACCGGCGCGTTGATGTGCTGTGCTGGCTGACAGCAGGTCTACTACCTACTCTACACTAGGTAGGAATCAGAGAGCAATCGAGACTATCACTAGGTGATGCCTGTTTGACTCGGCCCAAGTTTACCAGAAATGTCGCCCAGGGGGGTGTGTCAATGTGGGTTCCGCTCGGTGGGAATTCAGTTCCGCGTTCCCATTCCCCGGGGCCCCAGGTTAGGAAGAAGAATCGCGAAACCATCATGGTGATATTGGACTCATGTGTAGATAGGTCTTGAGATAAGTTATCCTTGATAATGTGTCAGTTGCTGGCTCTCAGCTTTTCTCCTTTTCTCTTCTGTACACTCTAGGAAGATGTCTGCCCTGCTTGTTTGTTCTTGTTGTTCTGAATGGTTGCCACGCCCCAGAGCTAAGAACCCCTCTCTCTCTCTCTTTCTCTCCGCTTCCCCTCTTCCAGTTTCTCGACCCCGCATTTTCTCCATCACAAGTTGCGTCTTCCATTGGGCAACAGACCAATCAGCATAATTCAAATTGCTGGTCTTGTCTAGATGCAGCAGCCGCACCCGCTTCAAAGCGGTTCATCACACACACCAAACACCATCTTTTTCCCCCTCTGGGCCCTCTGGGTCCCTCTGGGTTCCTCTGGGTTCCTCTGGGGCCTCTAGGTATTCAATAATTCCACAGCTGTTACACCTGGCCGAGGGTCCTGCTTAGGATACTATGACAAATGGCATCGCCTAGGGAACTGACGGGCTCTGCGCTGCTGCTGCAGCTCTTTGCCGATCCCTGCCAACTACCGTGCTACCTTGCAACCGTAGCTGAGCAGATGGGCATCAAACATATCGGAATTCAAGCTCGGGGCCAATGTATGTAATGTATCCGTACGATAGTATGCTTAGAAATGCCGAATCAAGAGTCTAAAAAGCACACTCGTCACTTCTATAACCCCGGATTCTTTCGGCACTAAGCCCATCCCCCAAAGAGATGAGCAGACGGTTACCTAGCCATGCCGTTGCATTGTCTGCTCCCAGCCTACCAGTGTAGGTACCTATCTGTGAGAGCTAAGGATGGATGGGCGGAAGTTCGCCGCCGCGTATTTTCAGATGCTTCCGAGCGGATTGCCTGCAGTCAGCAAACTTGAACTACACTACATCCCCAACACACCCAAACCATCCCCTGACATTCGAGTCAGAATACCTAACGCTCCGTTCCAGTCCGGCATATGGGACGAAACAGTTCATCACAGGCTCACACTTCATTGTCGGGGCCCCAGACCTCGCCTGGCATAGCGTAGGTAGCATAGCATACGCAGTACTAGCTGGGAGGCGGCGTACCATTGTCTCCTCCGCCTTTCCCCCTCCACCCCACCTTTTCATTCCCACCTTGACGACATACACACGCGTATTTGCAGCGTACCTTACGTCTGCTCGGTGGCTGGCCGTGAATGTTGGGGCCCCGACCTGCCACCTTGAAGGTTACCGGTAACACTGAGATTACCTTTTTTTCCCTTCTCCATACCGGGCGCTCTTTGGAGACTGGGGCGGACACGGCATACCTAACCCCCCGACCCACCCATGTTATCCGTACAGATACATCTCCGAGTTTTTTTTTTTTTTTTTTTTCACGGTGTCTTGGCTTTGGAGCAGCATCCGCGGCATCTTAACTCCTACACCTCCAAGGGGGGAGGGTAGCTCCGTCCTATGGCGTTAAGCAACTTGCAGACAAGATAACGGGGTCGAAATACCAAACATTGCTCGGGAGAAGAGTACGGTACTTTAATGCCACACGAGCTTTCGAGGTCTGGAACTCCTCTCTTTCTCTCGGGGTGTCTTTACTGCCCATTTGCCGGGCCTCACTTCTCGGTGCAAATGCCAGCGAACGACCCTTCTGCTCAGAGATCCCCCGCACCGAGAACCCAAAAGGTGGATCTGGAATCTGTTAGTGTACCTTAGCTAAGCCCGTAGAGGGGAGGATGGGAATTCACGGCGTTTGCAGAGTGATATACCGACATCCCCCGATACTGGCGACACGCCCCCTTGGTGAAGTTCGTTGCCCCTCCATCGAATTCCTGCCGCGCCCCCGACCCGAATCCCCCTGTCGCTTCCGCTTCCTTGTCCCCGACATCATTCGACAGCAACGAACCCTCTTGGCCGAAGCGGCCTGCATCAGTGCTTGTTGGGGATTCTGTGGGGTGAGCTTCTCTCCAGTCTCTTTCGGTCTGATGGCAGTTTCACGGCTACACGGAGCTCATCCCTATGTCAGTATGTCTGTCTGTCCTTGTTTCTTCGTACCTATCTGTGTACCCTGGCATATCTGTGTATTGTTTCTCCAGCTGAACGCGGGACCGCAAATAGATGCACCATCTATCAAAGTTTTCGAATCGTATGCATCGTGTCAATAGCTATGAATCAACATGCTCGATGTCAGTCCTCTGACACTTGGGATGAAGGATACCAAATTTGTCTTCAGCCCTCCCTGCACGTAACTGTATTCGTACTGCACTGCATAAACCACCTTCCTTAGGTAATCCCATGCCCCCCAATGTTCGGAATCAGTCTTTCCACCTTCAATTCCGACAACATCCAAATGTCCCAAAATCGTTCCGAAGAGTTCTACACGAGTGCCATTTCGACACTCACAAGGAAACCCAAGGACCCCCAACGGATTCCTTCGCGCGGAACCCGACCAGGGCCCTGCGTCCGAAAGAAACAGCTTGCCAGTGCCAATACCAAGAGCCGAGACATTCGAATTCCCCCCCCTTGTCCCGTGAGGCTGCGAACCCGCCCGCCACGGCGGCGCCGCCTTGCTTCACCTGTGCGGATCCGCACTTGCATTTCCCACAAGCGTCGGGTGTGGTTTCTCATCGATTTCTATTTTCTGGGGCTGCCGCCAGCCCACTGCCTACTGCCCACCCCCGGTTCCATGGTCCAAGTGGCTAGGCGCTACTGTCTTCATTTCTTGGTCCAATAAACGCGGTGTAATCTGGATCAGCTTTTTTTTTGTCTTGCTGGTGATTTGGGTTTAATTTGGATGGCCCCGAGCTAAGCCGCCCCGGCGGCGAGCGGTGTTTGCCATCTGGTGATCTCCGGATCCCCGCACTTTTTGCGGCTCCTTTGTACAGAACGCTGTCTTTCCCTCTGCCCGTACGGGCGGGCGAGAGCGTACTCTGTCAGCCAATATTTGGCAAGGTTCTGGATTGAAGCAATATACTATTCTTGTTCTGGTGCAGTTCTTACTCCTTCATGTTTTTTTTCTTCTAGGTGGAAATATCATATTAGTTGACCCAAGGTACTAGACCCTTCACTTGGGGTGTAAGTCACTCATGCAAGCCGGCCAGCCCCATCTGCGGGCACCTGCGTGAACCCTTAAGGACCGCTCACCCGGTGCCCGCCACAGGAGGCAAACACGACCATACAATTGACTAATCTGTCAGCTAGAGTTGTCCGGAGAGCTTGTGTTCCCATCAGATTGTGATGACGGCTTTGTCAAAGTGACTGTGACATGCTTCGAGAACCATGGGCAAGGGCTTACAGCCACGGAGGCAGGATCTTCGTCAAAGGTTCGTGCCGTCAAAGGCAAATGAGCCTGAATGTTTACCCAAGCTTTCGATGTAGGGGTCCTTCTTGAGTACTCGACGAATCAGGTTGAAGACAGGATACTTGGTGTCTTCGGACACGCCCCCCGTAGAGAAGAGTACCGACATGCTGGCTTACAAGGACTCAAGCGGCTCTCAGGTACCTTTCTTTCAGAAGTTCCCGTGTTCATATAGCCAATGGAAAGCAAAGATGGTCTTCTCCAGACTTGACCTGGGATATCTGTTGCTAGCCGAAGTCTCCTTGGCCAACGCTTGAACCTTGACAAAGGGGAGGAATGCACTTCTCCCGCGTCGAGTACCTAGGCCGGTAGGGCTGTTCAAGGCTTTGCCATGTGTTTGTGACGAACATTCACATGTCGGAAGGGTTTCTATACATTCGTCACAAGTAGTATCATTCCCATCTTAATGCTATGAGTAGTATAAGTGAGTGTTGTTTCCATGAGAAGTAGCAAATCGCACTATGTACGATTTCCTATACAGGCAAGTGTCCCTGTTTCGAACCTCGGCGGTATTGTTCACCTTCATTACTTCCATCTCTGATATCATGTAGTTCTTCCCCGCATGATCCCGACCTGAAACAAAATTTTGACACAGCATTCTCCTTCACTCTCGCTTATCCAGTCCCTCGCCGCTCAGGGATATCAGCAGTGAAAGTTTATACCGGAATTCAAGCAATCCAAAGTCTGGAAGATCTTCCTTCTTGTCTGCCGTGATGTCGCATTCGTAGCCGTCCTCAATGTACTCGCGTGTCTCAAAATGGACCATGCGAAGTGGTTTGCCAGATTGCGCGCGTCTTTTCTTAGAATTCAGACGTGGGTCTGCGTTGAGGAATACGGTTCTGAGATATATCTCGTCCTCTCGGGCTTTTCCCGCCGAATTACAACTCTTCTCGTCAAGCAAGGGCTCTCTAAGCCATCTGAGTCGAAGTCGAATTGAGAGGTCGGTTTTTGCAACAGGTTCGAGGGCGATCCAGGATTTTGCCCACCATTTCGAGAGAGTATCATTTAGGGAGATGACATTCGTCAAGGAGAGTGACGCAGCCTGCAGCTGAGCAGTGGTAATAGAGTGGATCATGTCCAATCCGAACATGGCTTTCAGGTGTTCTTGCACGTCTTCGTCTTCCATTGTAGCCAGATCTTCCTTGTCTGGAAATTGGAGAACCAGGCAGGTTTTGGGGTCGGCAGATTTCGTGATGACACAAGAGCCCTTGTCTTGAAGTAAACAAGCCAACTGCTCTGATTAATACCTACTTACACTTGTTTACGGATCATCGAAGTTCATACCTGGGCCTTTTGAATTTCGCTCGTCCGTAGGGCATCGACTTGGGGGCGATCAGCGACGCGGCGGACTAACGGTTGTTGAGATGGGTCGCCATCGGGCATGGGAAGGAATAGATTTATGGAACTTAGCATGTCAACTCGTTGGAACGAGTTTGAGTAACTCCCAAATCCGGATGACCTCCAAGTAGACGATATGGCAAGTGTCATTCCAGTCTAATACCCAATGGTTTGCATCTTCTTCATTTTCCTCATCTCCTATACTTTCTTCCGCCTCGTCATGAAGATCACGAACGTAGTTCATCGACGCAATCATTATCAATGCCCAGGTCAGCTTACTAACCACTCTCAGGTCTATACCACCATATTTCAACGGGTTCTTCCTCATGTCGGTATCTAGGTACTGGAGTGTGTGTGTCAAAACTTCAAGTCTGGCATCGATGTCGTCGAGGTAAGACATCTTGAACGGCGTGACAGCATCCTGTAAGGTGACGATGTGCTCATACTTGATGTCCGGATGCTTCAAAAAACGCATGATCCCTGCTAAAAGAACCTCCTTGGGCTTGTCCAGCAGCTGTGTGCTTTCCTCGGAATCCTCTCTGTCAGTCAGTGTTCGAACCAACATCTCCGGCGAATGTATCGAAGTGCTTTGTGTGCCGACTTGGGAGCGTAGGTATTCAGCAACGAAGAGGAGAAATGGCTGCTGTGGTGGTGAGAATGGAAAAGAAGGAGAAGGAATCGGGGTTCTGTGCCGGCTTCATTGCGTATTTAGTAGATCGGAGGCAGTGAAATTGAGAAAGTGGAAGGCACGCTCGCTCTTGGACTCGGTTACGAGCAAAGTAGAAGGAACACTCATCGAGCTCTTGCCACCAGATGCAGGAATGCCAAAGATGGAAGTCACTACTTCTACCTCTACGTCTGCCTCGGTGAGGTAGGCAGGTTCCAACTCATCATTCCTGCTGTTTCAATCCGAGTGAATGCAGATGACCATTTAATCACGGACCTCGGATTCAATGATGAAAGAGTAACGCTTGATGTAATTTCCATCACTGACTTAACGCATCACTCGTGGAGCTCTAGGACTACAACATCCTGAGCCGTTGATAAACGCCTAGGCTTCACGAGCTTATGGCTTGCTTCAAGTGAAGTGGCTGTGGTCTCATTGCAATGCCTTGCCGAATCGTAACCAGTTCTTTCCTGGCGGTCGCGACTGGCAGAACAGGCCAGTGACATCTCATGTTGATCCCCTTGTCATCAATCTCTAAGCAAGAGGGACTGGGATCTACCGAGTCCCCAGACTTAAAGGGGTGAATCTGGGGAATGACGTCATGCGGGATGGCAGCAAATCTTTCCTGTAGGGGTACCTTGAGAAAAAGTAGTCCGTTGCTGGGTGACAAACTGTATCATTTACACAAGAGAGTACCTATGCGATCAAAGACAAGGCAATCAATCTACTGTTCAGGTGGGATGAGGCTTGAGTGATTCTATTGGCCTATTCCTGAGGCAGAAAAAGGTTCAACGGCAGCCAATCTAGAAGGTTTGGAGCTTCCCGTCTTGAGAACGGAAAAATTGAGGGGTTGGGATGGCCATCTGGATTCGGCGCGCAGGTGGACGCGGCTCCGAGGGGCAGGGGAGACTGGAAGAAAAAAAAATCGTTGCGATAAAGTGGCTGAGTGGAGACCAAACGCATGGACCAGGTTGCATTTCGATTGCGCCGACCAATCAGCAGCCATTCTTTACTGGGAAGCAGCGGTGAATTTTTTTGAGAAATCGCTCCTTCCTGTGTATCGGGAGTGACATCTTCTTTGGGGCAGATTATAAGGGCATCGGCGCTCGGATTTTCTCCCAAAAAGTTTTTCCGCCTCAGTCCAAGAACCGTCAAGATCACGACTGACCCCCCCGCCATTGAGCTGCACGGCGACTAGACCGACCCGAAAAAGCTGTCTCCGTGCTTCTCGATGCTCATGGAGGGCATTGAAGCTATTGCCGAGTCGGCTCAGGCCGCTAAGCCTGAGGCGCACTCGCCGACAGGTATGCGCTTGCCTTTCCCGCCATCCCACCAAGCAAAGATCTTCATCAGCCTCGAAACGACTTGCACGCACCCGAGGGACGCTTTCGCAAGTGTCGCAAACCATGCTGACTTTCCCTAGTAGGACCAGAAATGAAGCAAGAGTCTCCGACTGTCACCACCGATCTGGGCGAGACCCCTCAGTTTCCACTGAAGCGACCCCGCGATTCGAGCGCAGACGACCCCGAGGCGGAGTCCAAGAGGCTAAAAGTTGATGAGGATCGAACCCCCGAACAGAATCCGGAACAACCATCAGAGCAAACCCTCGAGCAGTCACTTGAGAAATCACTGGAGAAATCACTGGAGAAATCGATCGAGCAATCACTTGAGCAATCACTCGAGCAGTCACTCGAGCAATCACTCGAGAAATCGATCGAGAAGTCACTCGAGCGAGCACTCGAACAAGCTCAAGAGCAACCTCATGAGCAATCTCACGAGCAATCCCACGAGGAGAACCACGACGACCATGCGGCTCTCGATCTCGGATTTGACATGGATGCCATGATCCAGGGTGTAATGATGGACATCAGCAACGAGATGAACAATGAGATAGGCAAGGTCGAGGGCCTGGACGGCGTCACGGATGTCGAGATGACGACAGACCACTTGGCATCTGTGTCGCAAGACTCTGTCCCGTCAACCGACACACACGCCATTGTTCTGTCTGAGCCTTCGGCTTTGATGAGGCGCATTACCACCTCCTGTTTGTCAAACTTTGTACGTGACGGGCTCGTCAGCTCTGGAGGCGCCGCTAATCATATCTCAAACCCCAGGCTATGCAACTCCTCGTCGTCATGTCGCAACATGTCTACCACGACGTGTATCAGCAGTTGCAAGACAGGGATTCAGACCTCTGCAAATCTTTTAGTACACTAAAGTCTCTGCTCCGGCAAACTCGATCGATCTACTCCACGACCGACCTTATCTTAGACCCCGCGATGCTTGACCTAACTGCGCCAGATAACCTCACCGATATTCAAGTCGCCAACATCGCTAGCTTCTGTTGCGAACTTTTCACATTCGATGGCGAACATCAACTCAGCTCAAGCGAGCTCTTGGCTCTGGAGGACAAATTTTTCACCGTATTTCCGCCAGGATCCGAGGGCATTTCGCACGACATCAGTGAGCTCTTCCTCGCAGTCAAGACACAGCTAGTTATCGAGTCTGTGACATCAGCGAACCAGTCTGGGCCCGTTGATCAATTAATCGCCGAGGCTTTCTCGTCCAGCCTGGAAGATAGACTTAGAGCAAGACACGAGGGATCTGAGTTGACTGCTGAAGAGAGAGCTCTGGTGACGTCTGTTGAGGAGCGCAAAACATCTCTGATTACTTACGCCTCGGGCCTCCCAGATACTGGTAGGTTGTCAAGTGCAAAGGCTCATTGGGCCGTGGCTGATGCATCGATTTAGTACTACTGAAGATTGGCTATCCGGAGGAAGACCTGTTCCACCAGTTGAACGTGTACCTGCGCCAAAAGCTACAGTCGTTCTCTGGGCTGGCATCAAGACACGGCATCGACCTGCCGCAAGTCATGACGAACGGAGACCTCGACGCATCGATGCCACCTGATCTCGACGACCTCGGAATCTCATCACTGCTGGAGGCCACAGATGGACTGGTTGCGCAATATCTCCCCAGTGAACCGGTCGATGGACTACCCACCGAACAACAACCGCCAGTACCGACGACTGAGAGCAGTGTCCCGCCTCCCGAACCGCCTGCACCTGCGCCTGAAGCCGCTCCCCCGGCGCCGACCACAAATGGCACCACGACTGAAAGCCAAGACTCGACGAATGACATCCTCGCGCTTGTTGCACAGAGCACACAGGAGTACGTTCGAACTACACTCAACAACCTGTCACCAGCACCCTACCAGCCTACCGTACCCACGCCGACAGGTGCCGCTCCGGTTACGCAGACGACATATCTCTCACATCTGCAACAAACTCAGCAACAATCACCATACTACGGCTACCCGCCACCAGTAGAGCAGCCGCCGCAGCCTGCGGCTCATGAGAGCAACGAGAAGCTACCTCCCAGTCAAAGTCTACCTAGTGCTGTGCTCTACGACCGGGCTCGCCAGGCTGCCTTGAGCAAGACAAACAACCAGCAGAGAAGAGAAGGCACCACTTCAACGAGACGTCCCTGGACTCAAGAAGAAGAGAAGGCCCTTATGACTGGTCTCGACATGGTCCAGGGACCTCACTGGAGCCAGATTCTTTCTCTCTTCGGTGCAGAGGGCACTCTTTCCAACATACTGAAAGACCGAACTCAAGTCCAGCTCAAGGATAAGGCCCGAAACTTGAAGCTTTTCTTCCTAAAGACAAACTCCGAGATGCCGTACTATTTGCAAGCCGTCACAGGCGAGCTCAAGACACGAGCACCTACACAAGCAGCTCGTAAGGAGGCTGAGGAACGAGCTCGGATGAACTCTGAGGAAGAACAAGCTCGGGTACAGGGTATCATGACACTGGCGGGCGGGTTACAACATCCTCAGCATCCCCATCACCCTCAACACGCGCAACACCCGCAGCATCCACAGCATGCACAACACGCACAGCATGCGCAGCACCTTCAGCAAAATAGAGCAAGCGTGACACCAGCAACTGCACCAAGCACGCCCTCACAGTCTGCCGCCCAGGTCTCGCATCATATGGCAGCCCACGCGACGACACCGACGCATGCTGCTGTATCAGGACCGCCGGCCACACCGGTCCAAGCAACATCAACACATGCTCGAGTTTTGCCTGCCTCCTCGCCGTATGCCGCAACCGCTGCTCAGTTATCCCAAACATCGCACAGCCTGCCGCAAACTCAGCCACAAACACCGACACATTCCCACATTCAGCATCACTCTCACCCGGGAACGCCACAACAGCCACACCATGCTCCACAGCCGCAGCACCAATCTCAGCAGCAGCATATCCAGCCGCAGGTCTCCCAAGCTGCTGAGACTGCACCGAATTACACGACTGAAGCATCTACAGCGGTCTACAGCCAGGAGACCGAAGATCTCAAGGAAGCCGCTCTGATGCAAAGTCTTAGGGAGCTTGAAGCATATAGCGAAAGCGCCAGTGCTAGCGTATCATAGAGTGACGACATGCTCATGGCTTCGTATCTTCATCAACCCGGTGTTATCAACGATTATTACCGGAATTACTACCACGACGGCTTTCAGGATTCACAGTAAGACAGTGTCAGGTCTTGGAGAATTAGGCTCTATCCTTAGGATACCTACTCTGACCGGAGTGTCATTCGAGACACCACAATCCTACACCTCACAGCAGACCAAGGCTATCGTCAAAAAGAGCCGCCGGGGTGTGTTTCTTGAAGGGACATAGCACCCAAGGGTTGGCATCTCAACTACGAAAAATCACATGTTATATATGGGACGGCATACTTCTCGTCCACAGTAAGCAGTTTCTGGAGTAGAAAAAAAGGGAGACAGGGGAACCGGGACACTAGGGTAAGAAGAAAAGAAAAGGGGGCGGCACCAAAAAGCGATTTTTTGTTTGCTCATGATACCACGAAAGATTAAGGCGGCGGTGTGCGAGTTTTTCGCCCCTATTTTTTTTAGTACGCCCGGAACAGAGAATTGACTGCATAGCGAACAGGGAATAAATTCAGAGCAGGGTTTTACTGCAAGGCTTGATGTTTCCTAGCTTGAGTGACTCGACAATGTGAACAGGCTAGCATGACAGGGTATATGTATGTCGCCATGGTCGAACTCTCTGGATCCAGACTTTTGCAGACCCGAGCTGAGAAGGCATGCGAATCGGAACGTCAGCCGGCTACGATGCCGTTTTTACCGGGGATGTGTCAGCGGCCAGCATTATCGCCCGCAAGATCCGGCCCCATTAGTCCGGACTTCGGCCGGAGGGGTGCCCGAGGCATTCGGGGTGGGACCACCTAAGGGCAGATGAGCGAATTGATGGCGCCCTAGAGGACTAGGATGACGTGACGACGTCCCCACGCAACCCACGCTGGGACCTGAATGGATTGGTATGGTTGCGCGGGGGTCGAGAGAGCGGGGCATTTGTTGGGGGCTTGTGTTTGTTAATCATCATGCAATGGAGGGGTAAAGTGACGGCGTCTTGGGTGGTGGAGGGGTCGAGCTGTACTTTGGGATAGATAAAAGGTTTGAAGTGTCTAATTTAAAGTCGAGTCTCAATCCGTTAGATCCGAACATTTATTGAAACTCTACGTTTTACTCATCTTCATTGAGTCTCAATTATCACTCAAGGACAGCCATTGAGGTTATACAAACGACAAGATGACCAAAATTCTACTTACAGGTAAGGAGTGAACTATACTACAGCCGCACTCCCAAACACGTCAAAAGCAAATCAATGCCCCTCCATTCGCTGGGATGCGAGCAATACCACACCCAGCAGACAACTGACACTAACCAGGCGGCTCCGGCTTCATCGCCGCACACATCCTCGAACAGCTCCTCGCGCGCGGCCACTCCGTCGTGACGACGGTCCGCTCAGAAGACAAGGCCCAGCGCATTCGGGACGCCCACAAGGACCTCGACGCATCCCGCCTCGAGGTCGCCATCGTGCCCGACATTGCGCGCGCAGACGCCTTTGACGAGGTCGTCAAGACGCCCGGCCTCGAGGCGGTGCTGCACACCGCCAGCCCTTTCCACTTCAAATGGACCGACGCCCAGAAGGAGCTCATCGACCCGGCCGTCGTCGGCACGACGGCCATCCTCAAGGCGCTCAAGAGAGACGCGCCGGGCGTCAAGAGGGTCGTCGTCACGTCGAGCTTCGCGTCTGTGATTGATGAGGCCAAGACGGAGGACCCGAACACGACTTTTACGGAGGAATTCTGGAACCCCGTCACAGTCGAGGATATCGGACGCAGTCCCGCGACGGCGTACCGCGCTTCCAAGAAGCTCGCCGAAAAGGCCGCGTGGGACTTTGTCAAGGACGAGAAGCCCGGTTTCGATCTCGTCACGCTCACGCCGCCGCTCGTGTTGGGTCCTGTGGTACACCATTTCGCGGACCTGAACAGCATTAACACCTCCAACGAGCGGGTCGTGGACCTGGTCAAGGGGAAATGGAAGGACGCTGTGGCGCCCACCGGTGCGGTGTACCTCTGGATTGACGTGCGTGACCTGGCGCTCTCGCACATCTTGGCGCTGGAGAAGCCCGAGGCTGGTGGAAAGAGGTTGTTTACGACGGCCGGGTGGTTCAGTAACGCCGAGATTGCAAAGGTGGTGAGGAAGAATTTCCCTGAGCTCGGGGATAGGTTGCCTGCGGAGGGGACCAAGGGTGGGGAGCTGCCGCCCAAGGATAAGGTGTATGGGTACGACAATAGCGTGACGGAGAAGATTCTGGGTATCAAGTGGAAGAGCTTGGAGGAGAGTATTACTGATTTGGTGAAGGATATTAAGGGGTTCGGGATCTAGACTGCTGCGTCGATATGTGACTGTGAAAGAGATATCAAATACGTCAGACAAAAAAATTTCAACGGCCTCACCACTTTTTCTATATGATATTTCTCCTGAAAAGCCATACAAGTAGTCACGATAAGTTGCCATGGCGGAAAAGGGCAATATGATTATATCTGATCCCTTAGTATAAGCAATGGCACCAAGAGACAGATTAGTTACCTGACTGAACTATCCTCCCAATAAGGCCGGGTCGTCTGTTAATATCTGTCTAGAACTTTCGTCCACCGCGTGTTCATATATACCCATGTTAGGAGAAGAGAAAAGAAAAATAAAGAAATGAAGGGGGGGATAACTCAACTAGAACTTACGCTTCTGTCTGGAATCGAACAGCGCGCCTCTCCGTCAACCTGAACTCTGACTTCATTGGAGTATTTATTCATTGGACCACTACACCATGCACACAGCTTGACCTGACCTCGCCGACCTAGATGAGCGCTGCTGTGCTGGTAATAGGAATGATGAGTAGACCCCTTAAGTAGCCTTGTTCGGATAAAAGAGGGCAGGAGGGACGTAGAGGTGGGAAAGTGCGAGGCAGAGATGATGGGAATGGATTCATTCCTCAACGACGGTCTTCTTCCAATAACGCCAAACCACCATGCAGCAAATCATCTCTTCATGGGAACCACCTTACTCGCGGGGCCCGGAAGCTACAGTTCATAATCCGAGCCAGGCCTGGAAGCATCAGTGAACATCACACCAAGTATCAAAAACTTTTATTGCAGTAAGCATCCCAATACTAAACTTGAACATGATAACCTCCAGTGATTCAAACTATTTCAAATGGCAGCATTCACCCCCCAAGGCCCGAACCCAGGCCAATGCTGCCCACCGCCGCCGCCTCCTCCTCCTCCTCCTCCTCCTCCTCCTCCTCCTCCTCCTCCTCCTCCTCCTCCTCCTCCTCCTCCTCCTCCTCCTCCTCCTCCTCCTCCTCCTTCTCCTCCTCCTCCTCCTTCTCCTCCTCCACCCCATCCATACGCATCAGGATCCAACATCCCCCTCCTCCCCATCCACCCGCCCCCATGCCGATTATGCTCCTCACATAAACTCCCATCCCGTCCCCTAACCTCAACCCCATTCATACACCCAGGCCTCCGACATCTCGCATGCGCCAGACAATACCGCGAACCCCCATTAGCAGCAGCCGGCTCCGCGCACCCTTCCTGGCCGCACACATGGGCCCGGCAGTACGGCGACAGCGGCAGGTTGAGGTTAAGACCACCGAGTATCATCATCGTCTGCGAGAGGACGACGGTCGCGCGGAGCTGCTGGCACCCGGGAGCAGAGCAGTTGTGGTCCGCACAGAAGTGGCCGAGGGCCGAACGCTCGTTCTGGCAGCTGCGGTAGATGCAGGTGTGGTCTACGCAGAGGGCGCCTCCTTCGATGACGCGGGCGTCGCAGCCTGCTCTGCGGCAGCGGGTTGCCAAGTCTGGAAGACAAAAAGTCAGTTTGGTTCGGTTTCGAGAAGACACGGAGGAACAGCCCCAGGTCGAGGCATAGGGGGGTAAGACGCGGACATGCCAAAGCCCTACCAGAAGACAGAAGTAAAGGGGGAGGGAAACAACTCACGCTCCTCACACGTATCCCTCACATTCTCCCCATCGAAATGTCGAAATCGCTCACATCCAGGCGTACCACAAATCCTATGCCGATCACAGTAATCCCCAATCCCCCCTTCTCTCTCACAATCACGCCGAGCACACGTATGCCTCACACACCAATTCCCCAACCACCGCCTCTCCCAGCACCCCTCCCTATCACACTCATGCCTCTTACAATACCGTCCCGCCGCACCCCCCGCGTCCGCCATATGCGCCGTCTTGACCCTTCCACAGCCTCTATCCTCACAGGTATGCGTCACGCAAGTACCCTCGGTGCCCGCCACCCGTCCGTTGTTACACGGCGGCTGCTGCTCGAAACGGCAGTGGTGCTCGCCGCAGTGGGCCGAAGGGACGCCGTGCTCGTTGACGTGGGCGAAGCGCCGGCACCCGGCGGTGGCGCACATGCGGTGGCGGTCGCAGTGGCGGGAGGGATCGTGGGCGTCGCCTGTGGCACCGGGGCAGCGGGCCAGGCAGGAGGGCGCGGCGCAGGTGTGGGCGGCGCAGAAGGAGGAGGGCGGGGATTTTGGGTTTACGCAGTCTTGGTGGTCGCAGCGGTGGTCTGGGCAGTATCTGTAGTCGGTGCCGTTGGGGTGGTTGCGTTGGTTTGCGCAGCCTTGTTGGATGCAGTTGTCTGGATGGTTTGTTAGTTGCTCAGAGATGGAATGATGGATGGATGGAGGCATGCTGGGAGAGGCTGGAAGACGTACGGTACTGTGAGCAGAACCTGAATTCTTTGGGATCGTAGTTCTTGATGTAGTTGTTGCATCTACCATCATTCATCATGCCTTGGCAGAGAAGATCTAGCTAGAATGATCAGTGATCAAACGTTCAGGGACAATGTGAGACCCGTGAGATATGGGAGCGAAGTACGTTGTTGACAATATCCCTTGTTATTGGTCCTCATATTCAAACACGCGGCGTTGTTAGTATCAATCTTCTTGCAGCAGTGGAGCTTGCAGAATCGAGAAGGATAGCGGTTTCCATCTCTCGTTAAGGTCACCCTGGAGTAGGGGCACCGGCCGGCAGGAGTTGCGTAGCTGCAAAGTCTTTCCAACTCTTGAGGCGTGAGTCTCTTTCTTCTACTCATGGTGTTTTCCGAGACTTAGTATGCCGAACTTAATGTTTGGTTATTGTAATTCCTGATGAGAAGAATTGGCAAAAGATCTGAGTTGCTGTACCGAGCATGGAGGAGGGAAGAATAGGAGGAAGGAAGTTGCCCAGTATTAGTCTCTTGGGGCTTTTAAGGTGCGAACCACAAGGCCCTCCTCGAAGTCCGCATAAAGTCGGTGAGCAGTCACCCGTGAGGCAAATCAAGGCAAGAAACTCGCGAGAAAAATAGCTTCTCGGTGGAATGCGAGATGTGATGAAGAGACCCCAAGCGCGATGACGTGGGGAGGGCGGTGCTCGAGGTAGGACGAGGGCGGCATGCTCATGTGAGGCCCCGGTAGAGACCTGGTTAGGCGTTCCTTTAGGAAACAAACAGACTCGTGACTTGGATCTTATGGAAAAAGAAAAGCATTCTTTCGAGTTCCACAAATTCTTCTGATAAGGGTATGTAAGTTTGGTCATGCTGTTGAGGAGGCGGTGTGCCTCAAGATGGTTCCACGAGGATGTCGAAACCCGTTTCTGGGTTCGACGGTGAAGCTGGTTGGCAAGGAATATGAGACTGCCGAATGTTTGCCCACCACTAGAGAAGAGACGATACGACTGACCTGAGGGGTTGGATTTCAACATTCGTCTGAATCATAGTCTGATATGCAGTCGATGGAGCTCGGCAGGAAACCAAGAGGCATAGATTTGAGTCCTTTACGTGACAGCCGTATTTCATACGAACTACCAAACGGGCTCGCGCCCATGGTAAGTGACCTGGCCGAGGCCACGTGCTTCTCAATATGAGTCAACATTCCCATGTGTTCGTTCCCTCTAGGATGAGCTGAAGCATATAGCCTGAGTTTACAAGCGTTGCGGGTTTTGCTCTTGGGTCGGTCTCAGAATGCCAACAACCACATTGTTCAAGGCTACTTGTGTGACACGCGGATGGTGACCGAGTCTCTCATTTTCTACCAACGTACGTGAAGGTGAACAAAACCAAAAATAGACTCGCTCACCTGCGCTGAAACGAAGTAAGAGTTCCGCAATCCATCTATAGGGTAGCCCAACAAGCATGGCTGTTTCCATAACCAAAATGTCTGTCAAATGGCAAAAGAAATGCGTCGAGGGGGAATCGAACCCCCGGCTCCCCGACGCTGCTTGATGGCAACGGAGAATTTTACCACTAAACCATCGACGCAGATGATCCCAAATCGAAGTTGTCTCGATGCTGGGTGATTGGGAGGAGTCAGTGGATGTGTAATTATATCGCGCAAGCGCAAATTTCGACGAAGGGCCTGTTGGTGGGTTAGTAGTTTGATGTTGTGGAGCTATGGTGGATGGGTGGGTCTTCACATAAGACCCGGGTGTACGGATAGAAATCCTCAGTTTAGAGTGATTTTGGAGAAAAAGATATCAGGCGTATTGCGGGGTTGAAATATATGAGGAAGTGTGCTTGTTCATATGCATTGTGTTAGTTTGGATGTAAGGAATGGGTGATTGGCCTTCCAGTAGGCGGTAGTTGCGACATGGGAACTAGGATTGGTAGAGTTAGCGAGCGTCATTCGATGTCATTCGAGGGAGGCCTGGAAATAAGGTAGGTTGAGAACGTGGACCATTATGATACTTGTCTTACAGGAACCTGATCAACGTTGTCTGTTACATACCTCAGAGCCCTAAGAGATGTTGGAAGTGAAGACCGCCCCCTCTCGGCAAGTTGCACCTGTGTCACATTTCGGCAATGAGTACCGGTATGTTTGGATATGTGAGACTACGCTCGTAGGGTCGTTTACTGTATTGTTCATAATCTACCCTCAAAACCTGCTCTGGATTGCAAGAGGCATGTTTAAGCCTCTTCAGCTGCTTTTTCCTCAATGTTGAAAGCTGGTCGAAACACAGTCGACCAAGCTGGAATGCCAATTTTCCCTCCGGCGCGCTATGCCATGTAAAATATGTATCTTTCTCTCTCTCACACAAACTCTCTCTCTCTCTCTCTCTCTCTCTCTCTCTCTCTCTCTCTCTCTCTCAGTTCTTCCCGTGCTGTGGAACCGAAACCGCACACAATGCTTTCCTCTAAGCCGAATCACCCTCGGATCCCTCCTCTAGGTCTTCGCCAGCACCCTTGAGGACTTCAGCCTCGGTCGTCGTCAGGCCCTTTCTAATGGCGAGGACGTTGTCCACAATCACTGCGTCGATGCCTTCCTTTACTTGGCGCTGCAAGAAATAGTTAGCATCACACTTCTCGTTCACTAAAGTGAGACGGTGAAACTTACCTGGACCATGATGGGATTGTTGTTCAATGTACCGTAGCTGACACACAGCAGACCGCTTTCCTTGACGACGCGTACCAGTCGGGGACTGTTAATGAGCGGCTCGGCGGCGCTGACAATACCGATCAAGTTCCAGCGACTGGCGAATCGAATCGCCTCCTGAAGCGAGGAGGCTCTGATATCACCGACAGGGCAGGTGCCCGCATCTGTCAAGAACATGATGGGGATGGAAGGCTGCTTGAACGTCAAGCAGAGACAGATGTCCGGGTTAAAGGAGCTGAATATGATGTGTCTGTTGCCAGCAAGGTCGTAAACCTTGGACAGGACAGTGTCGCAGAAGGAGTTGAGCTCGACGGCGTAGGTGTCCATCTCCTGCTCTTCACTCTCGTGGAGCATGGGGTACTTCATCTCGATGTTGAAGCCAATGTGCTCAGGGAGCTGTCGGAACAAGTCCTCCAAGGTGGCGAATGGAGCTTGAATGAAGTTGCCTCTGGAGTTGGCTTTGTACCCCTTTTCCTTGAAGTCCCGAGTGTGCTTCATGCGTTCTTCACTGTGTCCATTGAGGCCATCACCAGCGTAGCCCATGGACAAAGATCGCTGTCTAGGGCCAGGTGCGTTGTTCCTCACTCGCTCAATTCTCTCATTGACTGCATTTACACCATTGTTAACACCATTGGTGCGGTTCGAATCGGGGTTGATGTGCAAGAATTGCTCCAGGGTCAAGGTGTGGACCGGTGCATCGATACCCGTCTCACTGACAAGGAAGTCGTGGTAAATAACCGGGACATGATCCTTGGTTAACTGGACGTCGAATTCGACGTACTGCGCGCCCAGGTTGGCTGCTGCAATGAATGAAGGTACCGTATTCTCTCCGAGTTGGAGGGACTTGTTGCTCGTCATGTTCTTACCCATGCCGCGGTGACCAATGACCATCGTTGTAGCTAGCTTCTTCCAGTAGGTCTGCTGTGAGTTGATTTCCATGTTGGGGTGCGAGAAAGGCGTGACAACCAGGAAGTTGAAGTTGACAGTGCCAATGACATCCAAGTTGCTGGCCAGGATCGGCACACAGACATCGCCCTGAAGGTTCATGCGTTTCGTGCCAAGCGTAGGCCTGATGGAAGACAAAAGGGCCACACCGCGTCCAATCTTGTTCTTCTCGTTTCCAGAGTAAGTTGGGACAATGTCAAACATCAGCTTGACCTGGGAAGGGTCCGCCGAAGTGAACACAATAGGCTCCGTAGAGATGGTCTCGTGAACAGGCAAGTCAACAATGGTGGGCTCTCCCTTGGCACCACTGGCTGACACGACAATGGACAAGGCCGTGTCGAGTTCGGTCAAGTGGGCCTCGGTCAAGGGAACACGATCGAGCTTGACTGCCTCGATGTTCTTGCGCATATCCATGGACCCGAGACTGACGAGAACCATGCTCTGATCCGTGAGGTAGCGATGACCAAAAGTCTTGACCGGCTCAACGGAACGAATAGCACCATTTGACTTGCGGCCATCGATTGAAGACATGTTCTCGGGGGACGAAGACCGAGGAGAGCTCTCATTGGAAATCTTGAGATTGTTCGTAGGCTGCACAATCTCGGACTCGGTTTGAGTCGCGAGAAGCCTGGCAATGTCGAGATGGCCACGCAGGGCGGCGTGTTCCTTGGCGGTCCAACCAGACGAGTCGGCCTTGGCAACGACCGCGCCAGAGTCGACCAGCAGTTGTACCATTGACAAGTGACCGTCAACGGCGGCGACATGCAGCGGCGTCCAGGCGTAGGTGTTCTCTGCGATCTCGAGGTCGGCTTTCTGCTCGTCGGTGCCGGCAATCAGCGACTTTGCAATTTCATCGTGACCGAATCGGGAGGCTAGGTGCAGAGCGGTTTCGCCCGTCTTGTCCTGCCAGTTGATATCGACTCCAGCTTCAACAAGCATCTCGACAATGACCTTGTAGTTGGACTTGGTGGCCATAGCGAGAACCGCACCGGATTTGGATACCGTTCGTCTCATCTCGGCCTTCCTGACACTCACACCCTGCCAATTTTCTCCCTGGAGAAGGGCTTTGGTGGTTAATGGATGTCCACCCACGACACTCAGGTGCAAAGGAGCATATCCTTCGTTATCCTGCCACTCGGGGGCGTCGATGCCATTCTCGACGTTGAATTGACCCCATTCCTGCATCTTGGCCATAATGATCTGGCACACGACGACGAAGCCGAATCGGGCAGCATAGTGGAGCGGCAAACGTCCAAAAGAGTCTCTGGCGCTGAGCGCATCTCTGTGCTCGGGCTTGAGGGTGTCAAGTAGATACATGAGAATCTGAACGGCCTCGTCATCTTTACCAAGTAGCTTGGTCTCATTTTGATTGAGTGCACGGGGAACCACAGCCTGCGAGACTGCTGGCTGGAGGTCGTGAGAAGTGAACTGAGTGCCGATCGGGAAGGGGTACGATTTCGGCTCATTATCGGGATCAGACGATTTGGTTCTGCCAATGTGAATGACGAGCCGGTGAATGCAGTTGCGGTGGTTGATGTCGTCGGGCTCGTAAATGGACGGCAGCTGATCGATAAGATAGGCGATGCTCGCCTTGGATCTCGCAGCAATGGAACGCTGCAGGAGGTTGAGAAGCAAGCTTTGAGATGATTGCTCGCCCGTCACGTTGCCCTCTTCCAGTCCGGTCTTGAGCGACTCGACATTGTCGTTGCGGATGGCCTGCTCCAGGGTGTCGAGTAGGTTTTGCGACAAAGTCAACATGGCCTTGGAAGATACGCGGCCCAGCGACCGCACTGACCTGTCCGACTTGGAGTCGTCGACGTTGCGGGCGTCACCCAGGGCGGAAATCCATTTGTTAATCTCAGTGAGGAGGCGCGTGCTCGTCGTGTCCTTAGCGAATGGCAAGGGATCGACCTTTGTAGAAATGTAGCGATGCTGAGAAGCCGTCTCGGGGAGCTTCTTGTCGAGCTTCTTTGTGATTTTGACGAAGCCTCTGCGGTTGATCTCGGCGAACCAATTGAGGTTTCTCAGCATGATGCGCATCTCGTAGAGAGCGCCCATGAGCTCCTCGGTCTCATCTTCATCGAGATTGGAGACGACGTCGGGAACGCGGCCATAGCGGTCGCGCAACAGACTGAGACGGCGGACGGCCTCGCCAAGCTTGCGGTTGTAGAAAGAGTCGACGTCTTCGAGATTACGATCCAGGGCAAAGAAGAATTCTGCAAGATGCGGTCAGGGGATGGGCTGCGCCCTCACGGTCCGGTCCAAGTCCGCCCACCTGCAAGATCCACCGTCTCTCCGTTCTTGGCCGATTGTGCCGCGGCCTTGATCAACTTCTTCAGGCCCTTGTAGTTGATGTAGAAGGCCGCCCACTCGGGGACTTGGTTGCGGGGGAGACTGCAGACAGCGTAAGCATGATTTTCCATGAAATGACAAGGCGGTAAGTAACGGCAAGGCCAAAAGTAGCAGAAATATCGGTTTCTGTCGGATGAAGCGGGTAGGGGGAGGGGAAGGGGAAGAGGAAGGCGCACTTTCTGCCGAACTTCATTGTGAAATGATGTCTGAGTTCGTTATCAGGGATTGGATGTGACGCTGTGGCGTCTGTTGGTAGTGATACTGTCTAGGCAATACAGCTTTGAAAGAATGATGCAGCAACAGATAAGGTGCTGACGGGAAAAGAAGACGGCAAGAGTGAATGTTGAACGGCTGCTTAGAGGCAGATGGACTCGCAACCGCAATCAATCATTTTCTCTTCCTCTCGGTTCTCGTAGGTGTTCTTCTTCTTCTTTGGTCGGGTGATTAGTTGATGATGGTCGGAAGTGTGTAGTAAGAGGTGAGGTGGCGAATGGGGTGAGTTGGAGAATGTGCCAAAAAACTTGAAGAAGATATTGACCCAAATCAGTGTATAGCAGAAGGCTCAAGGTACAGAAGGCACTATCCGCTTCTTCTTTGTTGCGAGAAAAAGAGAGGATCCAGAATTTGAGGTCGCTCAGTCAGTCAGTCACGAGAGTCCCGTTGGTTTTTCCAGGTTCAAGGAGCTCCACATGCAGCTCGCCATTGACTGAAAAAGGGCGGAGAAGCAGAGACTGAGATGGCGTATCCGTACGGTATCTGGTAATTGTCCAATGACTGGCTTATCGAATATACCTTTACAGGATCCAAAGAGAAAAAGAAGCAGAAGAGAGAGATGCTCCGGGGCCCTCTAGGAGAGCATCAGTGGGTTGGAGGGGGATTATGAATGAACCAGAACTTCAGACCGACCGGCGCAAGGAGAGTGGATTGACAAGTGACGGAAGCATGCAACAGTGCCTCCAAGTCTGCACGTCTGGTACCTTAGCAGGAGAGAAAAGAAGAGGTGTGAGAGGTGTGAGCTCATCTCAACATCCACAGCGGCCGCAGGGTATCCGAGGCCTTGGCACGCCGTACCTCTTTGTCGGTCATCAGGTACCCCACACGCCAAATCCTGCTGTGGAGGGTACTGCCGAGTCCCGGCGCGACGACTCGAGACACGGTCGGGAGGTACCTGAGACACCCAAACCACCTTTCCACCACCCACCACCAGTCGCTTCTGAACGTGACGGCAGGTGAGATGAATGGAAAGGCAGGCACGCAGGCACAGCGAATGACAGTAACAACCCAGCAAGAAGGTTCCTGCCCTCTTACCATGGTAAATTGAGAAGAGAGACAGTGTCCAAAAACAGCTTGAGGTGTGGCGTTATCCGGTCGGTGAAGCTAGCCACTTGGAAGCCGCCGTTGACCGCCCGTGGAGCGCCGCCCCTGTTTGATTCGCCAAGTCTCGGGATGACCGCCCACCACGGCTTCAGCTGGCCGGCCTGTCCATGATCACCCCGCCGTTGATGTAGCACCAATGCTGGCCATCCCGTCCTTTTTTCCCTTCCTCTTGCAATACCTCTAGTGAATGCTCCCGTCACAAGTGAATGGAGTGAGGAAAAGAGTTGCACGCTGACGTTGTTGGCTCAATTGATCGGATTACACGTGTATGCCTATCCCGCGCCGGTCTACCGTCTACCGGCCGGTGGTGGTGCGTCGCAAGCGAGCCTGTACCGTTCACTAGTACCTCATAACCCAATTATAATCAACTTAGTGCCCTGCACCGCGCACCGCGCTCCCACCATGGGGTGGGCTCACTGGGCTGAAGGGCCTGAGGCGAGTCGGGGCCGCGTCCCGGGACACATCTCATCTCACATTTGAGCAGCCCTCCCAGTACGCCGGGTCAGATGGGCTGTCTAAAAATTCCAGACCGCCTCGCAGGCTTGTCAGGTCGTCCGTCCTCATGACCTTTCCTCCGGAGGGCGGATGGCGGGAAGGACCCTGAAACCGACATCGGTCTCTGTCCGGTCAAAATGCACTTTTTGGCCGCCGTTGAAAAGAAACCTGCATGCTTCTAAACATACCTTTGCCCATAACTCCAACGAATACCCCTTGAGACCTGACTCTTGCACATCAAAGTGACTGGTCCAAATTCATTTCGGCCCCAGGAATGACCTACCAAATACCCCACTCAGATCTGGTTCCGCGATGCATGTTCCAAGTTTTGATATTTTTATAGGGATCCTGTCACCTGGCCACAGTGCCCAGGGCAGAAGACCTCGGCATCCCGGCTTCCATTCCTCTGTAGCAGTCTGCCAGTATTGATTGATAATGAGAGGCAATGAGGCGGCGCGCTTGATGGATCGTGGAATTCGGCATTCACGGAACTGCTAGTCACTTTACTGCTGACTAGCCAAACTTGCCAATACAACGCCGATGGAACACGCGTGACGACTGGTCAGCAAGGGTCCAACGGCGATCCACGGGGGGAAAGCTACAACGTCACACCTTAAGGTAATGTTGGTGTATTTGTAGTTGCAGTAAACGAACTACCACGATTTTTAGCTTTGCGCCAGTATGACCAACCTGGGGAAGAGTTTTCATTTTCAGCCTTTGTGCGTGAATCAAGAGTTGACAACTTATTCCCAAGAGAGTTGCGCTGCGGCCAAATGGGAACCCTTCCACACCCACCCCTAACTAATTTAGACTCTACAGTTCCTGGCATTCTTTTTCCATACTTGCGGCTCAAGGCATCTCTGCTTACACTAAAGTAGGTAATGTGCTTGGCATTTTGTCTTCAAGTTCGTCCCTCTGGCGAAGCCTCTACAACCTAGCGTCACCTTAGCATCGGTCAATTTCCAATTGAGGTCAAGATACCTTTGACTGAACTCTCTCTCTCTCTCTCTCTCTCTCTCTCTCTCTCTCTCTCTCTCTCTCTCTCTCTCTCTACCACGATAGTTTCTTCTAAAACTGGTGTACCGGTACGTGTCAATGAGCACCGCGTTAAATCTAAGCAATCAGGGATGCGGTAGATGAAGCCACTTCAATAGCTGTCACCCAAAATCAGATCCAATCAAGCTTGCTTTATGTGTTGTGTCTGTGCATCCCCTTTCTGTTCTTTCCCCCGCCTCAAGTAATATTGCAATGATATCACTCGTGACTACCCCAACAAAGTCAATCCCAGTTCCCAAAACACGCTCGGGGCCGCAACCTCTTCCCGCGCAGTGTCAAAGACTTGTGACTGACATGGTACGATCTCATTCCTTGGCATCCTTCAGACTTCCCTTTCGAGGCTTGGTTCAGCTATGGTATTTGGTCTCAGCTGTCCAGGCACAGCAATAGTAGCGGCCATGGATTCGATGCTTTGAGCCGCAGAAAACGAAGAATACAAGCGGCAACCAACATGCGACAGTCTTCCTACGTTCTATAACCCTTCTAACCAATTCGTATCCTTATTGTTCTCAAGATAGTCGTGATAATCTTCGCCATCGTAGTCATCGTAGCCATCGTCCTCATCCTCATCATCGTCCTCATCCTCGCCCCCAGTCCGACGAGCCCAGTACGAGTCCGTCTCGAACATCGTCCCCATGCCCTCCTGAGCATCATTCAAGATCTCATAGGCCCCCGGCGTCTCATCCCACCCCGCCTACGCCATCATATACTTGCCCTGCATCTTATTCTGGCCAATGCACTCGCCAGTGTACTCGGAATTATCATACACCGCCCGCGCCAGCTTCCGGATCTGCTTCTTGAGCACCCACACCCCCGGCGACGCCACGAACCCGTTATTCTCCACCAGATAGCGCCGATCCCGGACGATGTGAGACCGGACGGTGTACCACTTGATCATGTCAATCACCTCGGACCGGAGCCCCATGGCGACGCCGCCGCCGCCGTTCTTACCCTTCTTGTTGACCACAAACTTCTTCAACATCCGGTCCTCGTTGTAAATGTCCCGGAGGTCCAGGCACAGCTTGATCTTGAGCAGCAGCAGGCTATTCAACGTCCCAAACAGCGCATTCTTGCTCTTGATCATCGTATCCGGGTGCTCAAATGTGTTCTCTCCATACTGACTCTGCCATGTGTACCGCGGATCGTCCTCGTCCTCACACCACGTCTACCGCTTCGCAAGTTTTATACGCGTCCTGGTCCCGGTCCAGCCTCATCAACCCGGCCGGCACAAACTCCCGCGCCTCGGACTCATCCCACCATTCATTCTCCAATATGCTGAGCCGCTCCGACAGCGACTTTTGGACAGCGTCAATGGTGCGCTCGAGCTGGAGCACCTTGGAGTATGCATCCTTCGCCCTCTAGTGTTTCTCCCGGGCCGCCAAGTCCATGCCGAATGCCTGGTCGTCGATATCAAACGGCTTCAGCGACTCTGGATCGATCGCCGCGTACATCTTCATGGCCCGCACGATGTTGAGGCAGACGAGCGCGAGTCGGCCCTTGTCCTCGATCTGGTGCGCCGGGCTACAGTAATAGGTGACCCGGCACGCCTTGCAGTGATAGATGTTGTCGCGGGTGCGGCAGACGAAGCAGTGGCGGGGCTACAGGCCGGCGGGACTGAGTTCCAGGTTCTTGGGAACCAGATCATAGTCTTCGACGTTTATATAATCCATGATGGGTAATGAGAATGTTTAATCAAATTTTGTGATTCTGTGCTCTAAAGAATGAGATGAGAAGAGAGGGAAGTGAGAATGCCGACTTCGCGAGCACGCGAGGTAGGAGGTGCATACGGAGTACATATCTACAGCCAGCGGAGCGGGGTTGAAGAATAAGAAAGCATGGGAGTTGAACCTCGGAGTAACTTGTATTAGGTAGATTGACACCCTACTATCTGGAAGCGAACGGAAGCATATTGGTCATGGCCAAGATTGCACAGTAGAGTAACCCATTCATGCAGCCCGGTGGTCCTATTTTGAATCGCTTGGTATTCTGATGTCTATGGGCTCCCACTATAAGGGCACCTGAAAGCTGGCTTTGGCCTTTGGCCTCTATTCTATCCATCAATTTGGCCTTGGCATACACGTGCCATATAACCATAATGTTACATGTGTGGTATAGTACATATCTACATGATTTGAATCGTCTCAAAAACCTCATTGATTTTGGTTTTGGTTTTGCTCTTGTTCTTTTTCGGTTTCGTCTCCATAGCCTCTTCAAGACGATCCCAAGCGGATGGTTCACCCGGTTCCTGCGAAACACCGCTCTGGGGTTCGGAGGGCAACTCGCTCTGCTTCTCTGAAAGAAAGTCGCTTTGAATGTTGCTTGTGCTCATGTGTTTCCGCACCAACTGCGTATCTGGCGCTTCCTCCAGGCGATCTGAAGCAGACCAGTCAATGTCTCCCACCTGCGAGGAAGGCATCTCCGGCTTCGGGGGAACCTCGGGTACTGTCCGAGCCAACTTTGTGGCTTTCCAGAGCATATACATCTGTGAAGAACCTGATTTAACGCGAATAGTACCAGCGTTACCAGTCTTTACGCGCTGAATGTATTGGCGCGCGTGTCCCAACAACCACTCCGTTTGGCCCACGGCGTGGGCTGTTCGTGCGATGTGAAGTACTCGTTTCTGTTCCTCACTCAATACAATCGAGAACACAGGTTTCTTCAAGAATGGTGCTACGCTGGTCGGCGACTCGTCTTCACGGCCGCAAATGTCCAGTAAGCTCCGTATGCGTCGCGCGAGATATAGTTGGTCGTTCTCTTGAGTGAATGCTTGACTAATCAGCTCGGGTTTGGTTTCCAGTGCTTTCAAAACCTTGTTCGCAGCTATTCGATCCAGAGAGCGTGCGCAACAATCGAGCAGCTCGGATATGGTCCGCACGCTAATTGTGAGGTCGGCCGTGATGCTCGCCGCAAATGCGCCCACGGCAGCTCTCAGTCTAGAAAATGCCAACATGCCTTCGATAATGGCGGCAAAGACTTTTTCGTCGAAACGCGCCCTCTCGACGACGAAGTGGGAGGCGACTGCAACGTCTTTCTTCATAGCCCAACCGTGAATGCGGAAAAACGTCGCTACTTCACCGCGTGTCTTTCTGCGGATGATGACACCTCGTTGATCTTTGCCAGTCATGCGAGCGATGAAGCCCGCAAAGCTGTCTATGTCATGTGTCGCCTTGAAGTGATTCAGGATACACACCAGGGTGTGCTGCGTTGGTTCAAGTCTGCCATGGAAGAAAGAACCGACCACCTCTGAAGCAAGGCGATGCATCCCGACTTTGTCCAGGCCCGCAATAAGGTGATTGTATGTGTGTACACTGAGGGCTTGAGGCGATGTGAGGATATTGTGACACAGACTGTGAATCGTATGGTCAACGTTCGAGGGAGTCGAGGCGTCAAAAATCTCCCTCAATACCTGGTTCAGCTCCAAGCTGCACGTATTCAGAGCCTCAGCGCTCATATCTATGTGCCATATAGGCAGCTTGCTCTTCATCAGCTTGGCCACCTCTTCTCGTGTCGTTTGCATCCTTTCGCTTCCAATCATGTAGTCGCCTGCGTCGAGGAATCTAAAGACCAAAGCTTTCGCTGCCACCTCTGCTGCCTTGGCTTGTCTGACCGTACGCGGTTGACGGTGCTTTATAGGTAGCCCCTCTTCCTCGATGAGCTCCTTCATCAACGCATCGTAGTCGACCCCTCTGACTTTATTCGAAGGGCTCAGGTCGTATATCTCCCAAAAACGGTCCACGTCGGCCTTTGTTGCGACGGTTTTCTGCCACTTATGTGAGGGTCCAAGGGCGTCGAGCATCTTGCTGATTTCAGGGTTTTGTCGCACGTGGTTTTTCAAAGCGCCTGGATATCGGTTGCTGATATCCCCAGCAGGCGGTTTCGTAGGAGCTTTCTTCTGTCCCTTTTCCACAAGATTTGCCAGCTCGTTCGAGACCTCTTCAATTTGTCGGTCCAGATCCTTTCGTCGCCTGTCTTTCCTCTCTGCGTCCAAAACCGCTGCCGTTCCCATTATCGATGTGTAGCACGCCGTGAAAATCTCGCTAAAGGTCGGTTTTCGTTGCGTCGCGCGCGTCGCCGACTGCCGCATCATGCCCCCGGAGGCACTGAAGCAGGCCTTGCAGCCGCAACGGTGCGCCTGGCCCGCTCTAGACCAGATTGCCTGCATTCTGACGGCATGCCGGCTATTGTGGCAGCCTCTCTGAGTCGGATTGATGGGTTGGCGTGCGACGAGGCGTCGAGGGTGATCGAAGTGGTCGGGAAGTTCCAGGCGCGGAAATTATCGTCTGATGCACAGTAACTGACGATCGACTTAGCTTGGCCGAGATGACAGGTCCAATTGACAAGGGCCAATTGAAAATGTGGATAGACACAATGCGATTAGGCGATTATCATGACTAAACGGTATACCCGCTTATGGAAGTGACGCAGCTGCCCCTCCATGAGGTAACCCCACCAAGGCTTTACAGCGACCCTCGACCAATACTGAATGCGAGAAATATCCTGAACAATCACAATTTGAAATACACTGAGCTCAGAAAGGAGACCTAGCTCATCATGTTTGCCCTTTATCTCACAGCTGAGCTCAATGGGTTAGTTTGACTGGTTCCGAGATCCCAGAATACGATACTTACTCTCTCCACAGAGTCACAAATCTCCGCCCTGATGATAGCGAGGGTAACCCCTTCTGGTACACTTTCAAAGTCCAGTGCACATCCTGTCGCGAAGTTCATGACAAGACCGTCGGTGTCAACCGTTTTGTAAGCGTTCCCCAAAACCCTAGGCTTTTGGGCATTCCACTCATCCGTTGCTCACTCTAGGACGAAAACGAAATGAGCGGCAGCAGAGGCGAGGCCAACTTCGTCTGGAAATGCAAGAACTGCAAGCGCGAGTCTTCGGCTTCCGTAAAGGCCGCACCGGCTTCGTATGCACAGGGCGAGCCCGCGAAGCAGCAAAAAATTCTCGAGTTCGATTGCCGTGGACTTGAATTCACAGAGTTCATCCCTGAGGGTGAGTGGCTCGCCGAGGGCATTGATTCCAACAGCAAGTTCACTGCCATTGAGCTCACGGACGGCGAATGGTATGACTATGACGAGAAGGCAGGAGAGGAAGTGAGCATCAAGGATCTGAAGTGGGAAGTCAAGCGCGCTTGAAGGGATTTGGCGATGGTTCGGTTTACGGAGTACCCTAGTATATCGCATGGCGTCTGGTGTGACATGGGGTTCGATGCGGCATGGCGGATGTAGGACAAAAGCAAATGGCGCGTGGTTCCTGGCTTCACGAGCCTTTTGGTCATTACCAAGGCATATCACCTGCATTAGCACGGACGAAGAAACTCTACAGTATGCAACGTGTAGTCCAGCTTTCCTGGTTCCAGAATGTATGGGTATTGAACATCTCTATGCCTAATCTACAAGAAGGTCTTCTCCTGCCCTCTATTCCATGCATGACATCGTCAAATACGTCAAAAATAGCCAGCCCGTCCTCTCTCTCATCTCCACGTTCCTTGTCCGCGTTCTTCGAGGCCGAGCCAGCATCGAGCTTCTCATCTCGCTTTCTTTCTTTCCTTCGTGATCGTTCCGAGCAAACGAGCGAGTCACTCCTCTCATGTATTTGGATACAAGCGAGCCAGAAGCAAGCTATGATCCGCGGAGTACCCAGTGCTCATGCCCAGAATTCACGATATAACCCACGCAGTGAGTGAGGCAAGAATCCCGGTGTGGATTATGCCAAGTTTAAGTGTGCTGCGTGACTGCAGACCCTTGACGTCATGAATGGTCCGCCTGCAGCAAAAGAAGAACCGTCTCTCATCATCGTGCGTTAATCCGATGCACGACATTGATGTCCAGGTGTAAATTCCCCAAGACGTTTCTGTGTACTCGGGCGAATGTGAGGCTCATCGTGATATTCGAAGCCTCACGGCCCAATTTCGAGCGGCCAGTTGTTGGAGACGTTAACTGTAGCAAGAACCGCGTTGGGACCTAGGAAACGAGTTCCGACGGTCTTCCAAGTGCGTTCCAAGCACAGCCACGTCTCCAATATACAGATCAGCGGGCTCAATCAGAGGAAGTAGTCGCCCGGTCCACGGCGGTTAGCAGGGACATGGCGCTGTTCGTCGGGGACTGCGGAAAAAATGCTGAACTTGGGATTCATATCTTTGTCGACGGTCATGATAGACGCAACATTACCGCAGCGGTAGCAGTAATTCGGAGCCGACCACACGGTGACGACAGAGTTCTGCGGGAAGTGATACTGTTTTGCGTTAGCGTAGAGACAGGGAAGCGGCCCGATGGCAACTACCGACCTTGTATCCCTCATTGACAAGCTGATGAGCTCTGGCGATGAGCTTAAGACCGTTCACGTGGTTGAACTCGGTTGCAACCTTGTCGCCAAAGAGCCAGCCAGCGCCGCGAGGGCTGATAGCCCAAGTCTCAACGTCTTCGGGGTCGGACCAAACAAGATCGCAGAAAGCACCTTCGTGTGGGATTTCCTGGGCACGAGCAACAACGCGGATCTGGTCAATAGTGCGGATCTCTGGACTAAGACCACCATGAACGCAGAGAAGCTCTCCGTCGACAATAGCAGCGAGGACGAGGAAGTCGAAGACGTGGCAGCACGCTTTCCACACGGAAGCGTTGCCATACTTTTGCTGGCACTCCTCGTAGAATCCGTAAACCTGAGTGATTTGACGGGACTCATGGTTGCCGCGAACAAGGACGATTCTGTCGGGGTACCTGAGATTGATTAGTACGAGAGCGCAACGGATGTCAAGAACCACCTACTTGGCCTTCAAGCACATGAGAAGGGTAAACGTCTCGAGACTGAAGTAACCACGGTCGACAAAGTCGCCCAAGAAGATGAAGCGGGTGTCGGCAGACTGCGATGTGTTGGAGACCTCAACGGCGGAGTCAGCTCGGGAAGTCGCGCTGGTATCAGCGGCCGCGGCATCGTCCTCGTCGTCTTCATCAGCAGGGGGGCTACCAGCATTGCGAACCTTCTTCTTCAGCTTCGGGTTCGTAATCTCAGTAGGCGGCTCGATGTCCTCGGGGTTGATGACTGTTGTGGCAGTCTTGGGCGCCTCCACGTTAGACTCGCCAGGCATTCCGCCCGCAACACGGAAGAGCTCCAGGAGATCGTAGAATTGACCGTGGATATCACCGCAGATTGTAACTGGGGTGCACACAGGCTGGATATTGGATTCTAGATTCCACATGTCAGCACAAGGTCCGAGAAGAGAGTACTACTATATTCCTCACCCTCCATGAGCACCTCCTTTACAAGCTCGCAAAGCTCTTTCATGGCGCGCTCGGGCAAGTAATGGCACTGCTTGGCTTCCTCCAGCCACTCGTCCAGGCCCGCATTGGGGGAGAGTTTGGCAGGGCCGGGTCGGGGAATGTGGCTCGCCATCTTTCCAAGTATTTGGGTATGCACCTGAGAGGTTGCCTTGATGTCGTACGGGTTGAAATCTTCGGAAATGGTTGGATTGAATTCGACGGTGAAAACTGCCAAATCGTCGTCGATATCGTCGGACTCGTAGTAACTCGGATCGAATTCCTCTTCGAAATCGTCAAGATCAAGACTTCCACCGCGGAGAGAAACGTGCGATGAATCGTTGGACTGTTGAATAAAACGGCCAATTTGTGCGGTGCGAATGTCGGGCTCCTCAGAGTAATCGAGTTCTTCGTCTTCGGTCGATGGCTCCTCCTGGATGGTCTCAGTAGGAGGTTGACTTTGAGTCGGGCCGGGGAAAGCAAAAGCAGAGGCGTTCGACGGTGTTGAGAATGATGTCGATCGGGCACGGCGACGTGAGGGCGCTGGAAAAGGCTCCTGCTGGTTCAAGGCGACCGGGTGTGACTGCAAAGGCGAAGGGTGCGGTGGAGCACTGTTCTGAGCGGGGAGCGTAGGAGGGGTATTATGGGCAGCACGGTTGGGTGCGACTGCTGTGGACTGCTGGGCAGTGCTAGCAGGGGGGAGTTCGGGTAGAGGTCGAGGGTTTTGTGAGTTCCAGGTGGTTTGGGGTGATGAATTCTGCAGAAACAATTCGAGAGCCAGATGGTCATGGGCTTTGCGACGCAGAACTCGCTGGTTGTACTCGTCGAGCGGGTTGTCAAAGCCACCGACTACAACAGGACGGCCAGAGTAGGGGTCTCTCAGTTGTCTCCGCGGCGGATTGCTAAGAGGGGGAAGAGTGGGGATATAGCTGGAATGACCAGGGACAGAGATTCCACGACCACGGACGGGCGCTGGGGTAGCACGTTCAGATGCAACAGGTACCGGCTGGAGACTGGTAGGATGATGCGCTCCGAGGTTGATGGGATTCGTGCCCGGTGGAACTGACGGGAGCTGGAAAGATACAGCGGCGCTACGGTTGCGAGCACGGTCTCCAGTAGGTCTACTCCGTCTGACAGTGTTGGTAAGCGGATTGCTCTGATAGCTATTCGCGCGCCGGATGGCTTCCTCGATTTCTTGTTCAGTCGGCTCTCTGTACTCAGAAGTCGTCGTAGCTTCCCGTTTGTGACTTCCTTCGTTCGCGCTGGTAGTTGAAGCAATTTTTGAGCCTTCGAATGCCGGAAAGGTCTCCGGGTAGACGTCGACTTCCTCGATTTCTTTGTCCTTGTTGGTCGAGTCACTGCCCTTTTGCTCTTGAGGACTTGCCATCTTGATGGCTGGTGGGTGGGTGAACTTCGGAATAACTGGTGTCTCGGATTAATATTTGACCGAAAGTGCTTGTGGGAGGTTGAGTTTCCGCCGAGGTTTTTCCGAGGTACAGCATTGTGGGGCCTTGTGAGGTGAGGAATGGAAGGACAGCCCTTGGGCCCCACCAAGGCAAAGCTATCCAAAAAGGGCTAGTGCAGAGGATAAGATAAGACCCACATGAGGCAGTGGCAGGCTGTGAGCCATTCTTTCAGATCTGAAGTTAAGGTGAACCCCAAAGCCCCGCGTCACTACCTTGCCGTCACATCACCTTTTGATATCTGAGCCTGGTCTTGCACACACCTTCTTAGACCCTTGCGCAGCAGACTTCATCTCCTCAAACGCTTCAGCGACAGCATTCCCAATGTTTCTTGCACGGCTTATCACCCGGACACAAGACACGAAACAATAACCACATAAAGAAGAGTAGCCACCCTTTATCAGGCATCGATCTCGAGCATACGAATACACTTTCCTACCCACAAAGCTTCCTGTGCTACAATGGCAGCATCTGGCGCTCAAGGCGCATCCCGAAAGACCAACGGGGTCCCTTCGGCTTCCGGTCAACAGGCCACCACTGATGCGCCCAAGTCCAATAAGAGTAGGACTCCCGTCGAGGGCGATAAGGTTATTATTCGAAGACTGCCCCCTGGCATGACGGAGCAAGAATTATGGAACAATCTAGGTGATGAATGGAAGGCTGGAAATGGCCTCGTTAGCTGGCACAACTTTGAGTCAGGGAAGATCTCTCATGAGTACGTGCTTGCTCCCATGTGTCCAATGGTTGGTGGCTAACACTTCTTGCACCTAGCCCTGCGAAGCCATCGAGGCCAGGACGAGTTTACCTCCATGTTCTTAAGCGCGAGAGCTTAAATGCGTTGTCGAATCTGATTCAGGCCAAGTCTTGGGAAGATGCAAAGATGACGTCCAACAGCGCTTCTCTGGTCGGCCCTCCGGTTCTCGAGTTTGCGATATACAACAAAGTCCCGAGCAGCAAGAAGCGCACCGACCCAAGGCAGGGAACTATTGATCAGGACCCCGAATTCATGGCCTTTTTACAATCCTTGACCAATCCTGAGATTGACAAGGACAACGAGAGTAATGAGAACAAGGATGTGGAGGAGACGAAGCCCGAAACCAAGGTCACAACGACACCATTGATTGAGTTCCTCAAGGAAAAGAAGGCGAACAAGCAGAAAGAGGCAGCCGCCGCTAAGAGCGCTAAGCAGGCTCGGCAGGACTCTAGCACCAAGGGCAAGTCGTCAGCATCGACGGCTGATGATTTAAAGAAGGGCAAGAAGGACACCAAGGGAGAGAGGTCCGCCGAAAAACCCAAAGAGACGGTCAAAATCCTCACCAAAAAGGCCACTGCGGATGTTGTTAAGGCCGCAGAAACCGTCGCCAGCCAGATCACGCAGGCCTCCTCTTCATCGTCACAGGATCAGCCCAAGAGTAGGCGAGCTGGCATTGCAGCTGCTGCCCGCATCTTGCAACGAGACCTTGGTATCAGTCCCGGAAGCGCCCATAGGAGGGCACGACTTGATGCCGCCAAAGCCGAGGCCGATTCGAAGGGAACTTCGTCGAAGGAAATAGCGCACCCTGCGGTCGAAGCCCCAGTAGCTATTCCGCCGCCTGTCACGGCTCCGGCTCCAGCATCTTCAGCTGCTTCGCAGACATCAGAGAGAAACGCCACACCTACGGCACCTAAGTCGGGTCGTTCAAGAAGAGGCGGTGGTGGAAAGAACGCAAGCGCCAACGAACTCAAGGGCAAGTCAATCGAGGCAAGTGTCTCTTCTAGCGCTCCGCCACCTGCCAAAGCCCCAGTCATTCTGCTCAAGAAAAAGGACGAGGAGAAGAATAAGGAAAAGGCTGTCAAGGCCGACAAGGAAGCATCGAGCTCAAATTCGCAGCCAGCCGCTCCGCCAGCCAATACCAAATCCAACGCCCCGACCGGTCCTAAGGCTTCAGGCAAGGGTGGCAACGCGAAGAAGAGCACCGCTGCTGTTACCGCTGGCGTGACCCGTGGTTTCGTCAAGCATGCAAACCCATCACAGGGTGTAACTGAGGCACTCCTCAAGCAAGCCATGGAGGTCTTTGGCACCGTCACCTTTGTTGAAATCGACAAGCGTAAGGGCTTTGCCTACGTCGACTTTTCTGATCATGACGGTCTCGTCAAGGCAGTTGCCGCGAGCCCCATACAGGTTGCCCAGGGGACGGTCCAAGTTCTTGAGCGCAAGGAGAAGAAGCCTGCCGCCTCTAACTCGAACTCGAATGCCAACAACACCAACAGCAGCAACACGGCCAATGCCGCGGCAGCAAGCTCTAGCTCCGCTGCACCCTCGACGACAAATGCATCGAACAGCAACGCTACGCCATCCGAGAAGCCGGAGCACCATAAGCGGACCAGGCGCGGTCGTGGTGGTGGTAAGGCCGCGGCGGCTGGTGCGTCGGGCAGCAACAGCGGCAACAAGGATGTGGCGCGCGAGTCCGCCGCCCCTGCTGCAGGCGCGGGATGATCCAAGGAAGGACGCAAGGCAAAGAAATTTTTGCCTTCGTTTTGAAAAGTGATTGTACCTCGCATGGTCGATTCCCACGTGCTGAAGAGCGCGGCATGCGGGTTCGCAGGTGCGGGAAGGGCAGCAAGTAGAAGGCATAGGCGGGTGCAACTGCGTACCTGCGCACTACCTGCGTTTCTGCCCAACGGGCCTAATGAGTGAGGGCCACGATGCGATGAAGGGTACGGGCGACGCAACACCCGGTTCGCTGGATGCAGTTGCCCCCCCGCGCCATCCACAATATCGATAGTTTTGACGATATCACCCGCCGTTACCAGCATCATTGTGCATTGCAGAGGAGGTGGTGTCGAATGCGATCTGCGCGAAGGGTTTGGCGGGAGAGGTGGTCGTTGGTGGTTGGTGGTCCAGTAAGCTTACCTTAGTCTATGAAGATCGCGAGTCACGAGTGGTCGAAGAGTATGAGAATTAAGTAGACACTAGTCTCAGAGGATAGAATGAATCGATTCGAGACTCGCAATGGTTTAACGAGATTCTATTCGCAGTGCGGAGGGCCGGCTATCGTCGAATCCAAGCTCTCTCTCTCTCTCTCTTTTCCCGTATCTGGAACTCCGCGATAGCTTCACAATTGACAATGGAAGTATCCGCGTTCTTTACTAAAACAGTCAGGTTTTACTTCGCACATACTAATAGTGAATTATCTTTCATTTTTAAATCCAAACCTCCGAGAGACCAAACCCGACACCAGCAATTTCCCACCCACGAACTCTCCCGTTCCCTTAATTGGGCCAAATCCAATTATGCTCCCTCGAAGCCTGCCACTTCACCACCAAGCCACTCATGACCCCCGTGAGGAAATACACCAAAACAGCAATCAAAACCCCCAACACGACCCCACGCGTCTCTCTCGCAGCGCGCAAGACCTGGGCCTTGGCATCCGCAACCCAAAGCGTCTCCCCGGCATCCCGCCGCGCGGCTTTCAAGCCAGGTAGGCCGTCGATGGAGGTGCGGTTCGTCTCGACCTGGTACTTATTGACGGTATTATTGTCGACGCGCTTCTTCCAGTAAAAGTCGAGGGTGGGTCGCTCCTCAAAGACGGAGAGCTCGTCTTTGCTCTTGGCGGGCTCCTCTTTATCGTTGTCGACAATGTCGTGATGCTGCTGCGCCTTCTCGAGCGTCCCGTCCTCAGACGCCGTCGCAGGCGCATAGAGTTCCTTCCGCACCATGGGGACACCATACCCGCAGCTCGTCTGCACCTCCCACACCTCGCCAATAACAACGGCCCTAGCCCCGTCATACGAGTCCCTATTACCAGCCTCGCCTTGCGGGATAATACGCTTCATCCACGAGTCAAAGTCCGGGTGATCCCACTCCACGATCCTGCTCTTGCAAAACAGACGCAAGATGCGCGGGGCGGGGCCAAAAGACATGAACATGAGCGTCAGCCGGCCATTCTCGTAGCTGTGGGCAATGGTCTCGCACCCGGAGCCGGTGCGGTCAATGTAGGCGACCAAGGTGGGCGAGAGGACGGCGAAGTGGGCGGAGAGGCCCTTGGGGGAGACGTTGATGTGGGGGTGGTGGGTTGGGGCCGAGGCCGTGAAGAAGACGGGTTGGCGGGCGGCCCAGTCGGCGAGGTCGGGGTTGATGGAGGGGTACAACTTCATTGTTGCGGCGGCGGAGGGGTTCAGATACGGTTAATGGCTTCTATGGATTGGGACAATCGGTTGTTTGTTTTAAAAAGATTTTATTGTATATTGGGATGTCGTCAATTGACGTCAATTGATGAAAAGATGTGATGACCTCGGATGAAACTACTCAGGTATATAGATGATGATATATCGTGGAAAACATGAAAGGGTATTGGGTATTGGGTATCGAGTTGTTGACATGAGAGAGCTAGTACAGGATTTGATACATGACTGATGAAAAAAAGAGGAAAACAGAAAAAAGCCAAAAACTTTTCGAGGAGGGAGGCGGATTTCCGACTCTTGAAATAAATAATTGGCCTCGGAAAACGGCCAAGTTCGCCGAAGAATTTCAACGAGCGATGAGTCAACCGACTCATTGCGTCAACCGGGCGTCTCATCCCCTTACTATCAAGTGAGATTGTTGCGCCCGGACTCGGTGCGGGGGTCCCATCCGTCGCCTCAAAGCACCCATCCCGTCTTGGAGAAAGGGCGCAGAAAGAAGGACGCTTTTCAAGCCTCCCCTCCCCGCACCGCCTTATCGGTTGGAGACTGCGTTTGCCAGGGATGAAGAATTTCCTGTGGCTGAATGCAGAGTATCGTAAACGTATTTTCCCGCAGCGAAGGAGGGAGAAGAAAAAAAGCACCCTTGTCCGTTGGTGGTGTGTCACACAGGGCTTGGCCGATTTTTTTTTTCTGACTCTTGTTTGCTTGTGTCGGATGCTTTACCGACGCGGCCTCCCGCGGGAGGGCTCTAGAGGTGGTGGGTAATAGCCATCCTCAACGTATTGTGCATGGCCATGACCATGACCATATGCACCAGTGTCATAGCCGAAAGGACTCTCGTGGTCCGCGTAGCCTGGAGAGCGCGGGTCGTATACAGAGGGATCGGTGACAGTTGTGGTCGTAATGACGGAAGGTCTGATCGAGTACGACGTGGACTCGGAGCGTTTGGTACGGGGACGGGACGGCTCCACGACGGAAACGGGCCGAGGAGCGCTGGGGCCCATGGGCTCAATGTAGCTGCTCTTGCTAGCCCTCGAACTTCCGCTGGAGACGCTCTTGTCGTCCTTGTGGTCGAAGCGACGGCCGAGGCGCTCCTTGTCTTCCTTGCAGCGCTTCGCGAGCTCCTTTTCCTCGGTGGTCTTGCGAACCTTGCTCTCTCCGCGGGTGCGGTGCTTAGAGTCGCTGCGACGCAAGGCCTTGGACTCCTTGGGTTCTTTGTGTTCTCTGGGCTCCCTGTGCTCTCTCTCCTTGTGTTCCTTTGGAGAGGGCGGGTGGCTAGGAAGTGCGCCAGACATCTTTGTCGACTCTCGAGAGGGGCTGTTGCGTTGGGCCTTGCGGAGATCCTCCCGTAGAATTTTGTTTTCAGTACGCAAGTTGTCCTTTTCGCGGTCCAAGCTACCATTCTCGATCTTGAGAACTTCAAGTCTGTTCTCTAGAGCAGCGGAGCGGGCTTTGTATTCGCTCTTGAGTAGGGCAAATTCGTCCTGCAACTTCTTGTACTTCTCCTCGAGTTCGAAAAAGTCCTGGGCGGTAGGGCTTGTGCTGACTTCGGAAATGCCAGAGTCGCTCGATTGGCGGTGGTGGCCCTTTGAGTTCGGGGTCTGGAAGGTGACCCGAGGTTCTTTTCTGTTGGCGGACGACATGGTTGGTGGTTATTGGGCGGCGCTGGGCGGCCGGGGGATTGTCGATCAACGGTCGGGTTGTGAGTTGACGGTGTAAACCAATGTCCAAGGCAAGACGCCTTTTCGCCAAAGACTGGCGCGACTAAAGCGAGAGCGAAATTTCCGTTGTGAGCGATCCGATGGTGATTTGTGTATTTGGAAAGAGAAGAATTGGAATTTTTTGAAATTCAATGTGGGTGGTGTGGTGGTAGGCGCGGGTTAATACTTGTCGTGTGTGCCTTGTCGAGATGAGTCAAGTCGGGTATATAAGGGGGTGAATGCTGCCCAAGATGGGACCGGGTGTTATTTTGGTCTGGGATGGAGAAAATAATAGCCGCAACCTGAAATGAGCAGGTAATAACTGAGGGATGAATAGGGAGGGGGGAGAAAAAGGCAGAAGCGGCGTCTTTTGACATTTTATTTATCCAGATTTGTAAAGGTAGGTATTGCAGCCTTCACGGAGAGGAAAAGTCGCAGCCGGAGGCGGAGGGAGAATGACAGATGGATTTGGTGTGGGTGAGTGGCAGTGGATTGCATTGCTGCCTCCGGAGCTAAGAGAGGCAGACAGCAAAGTTGTGATGCAAAGGGAGAACGCACGAACAACCCCTGCAACCGCAACCGCAACCGGGTACGTAGCCACAATACAGATACTTCATTCTTCCATGCCATAGGCATAGGGTACGGGAACGGGTACGTAGGGTAAGGTAGGCATGTAGGCATGTAGGGTACGAAGTGCGTAGACTAAGGTACGGAGCAGAGACTCAGGGTGCTCCGAGGCACAAGGAGATTAGCAACATTCCAAAGGTATTCCTTCGGTAGTGGCCATGTAGGGCTGGAGCTGCTTAGCCCAGTTTGGTTGCCTCTTGGCTGCAGACTTTTTGCGACTTTGCAGTTGCGCAGTGCGTGAGTGAGTGCGAGTGTCCGAGGTGAGGTGAGTAGGTAGAGTCATCGCATCGCGGGTCCCCCAAATCCCCTCACCTCACAGGCTCACTCACACACCTCGAGCCTTCCTTTTCCTACTCCGTACCCACAGCAGTTCGCTAGGCAGGACGGACGGCGGAATCGCGGGTTCACCCTTTGAGCAGGGATGTCATAACGGGAGTGACTGGGCTGGGTGCCGTGCGGGTACAAGGGGACGAAAGGGGGGACACTGACAGGGGTTTTTGGTCAAAAAGAGTGTGGATGGGAACGGGGACGGGTGAAAGAGGGGAGCGGGACTCGGGAAGAGACTCGACAGTGACTTTGACGGTGACAGTGACAGTCCAGTGTTGAGAGGAGTGAGTCCGTCCGGTGGATTGCCTTGGGTGAAGCAGAAAGCAAAGTGGAAAAAGAGGTTGACCAGGAATCAACTCCCATTTCTGCTGACTGTTCCCAAGATGGTCCCCTTGAGCCAACCACAGCCCACCTCATCCAAGCCAGACAGACCAGACAGACCGAAAAGGGGGTGGGCATTGCTCCAGTTCAATTGACCAGAATTCTCGGTGGCAGCAACTGCTCTCATTGGCGTACTTCTGGCAGATGGGCGGTGCAGGTGCCAGCAGGGCCAGCAAAGCCAACAAGGCAGAAACGCACTTTTCCCGTTGCCTCGTTTTGCTGGATTTCCTTGTGGGACGCCTTATTTCCGAGTGTGCCTGTCGTTTTGTGTGTGACAATGTGTCTCCGGAATGGTTCGCAAATGCGGCCTGCCACCTTGCGTACCCGGGAGATTGGTTCGCCCAACCCTCGACTGTCTCTCTCTCTCTGTCTCTCCCTCCCCTCAAGGCAGGCTACGCTGCCGCTGCGCTGTCCATACAGCGTTTGGCCTCCCGCATCTTGCTTTTGCAGCCCCAGAGCCAGAGGAGGACCAAAGGGAGAGGGCGAAGCACTCGTTTGCGTGCGTCGCTAGTCGAGACCAGTCGCAGCACCGTAAGGTGAGGTGAGGTCAGGACGCAGCACGCAGCACGTAGCACGTAGCACACAGTCCTGAGTCCTTGCTACTGAGGCCTCAAGTGAGGGGCCTGTCGCAGACGGAGCCTCTCCGCCGCCAGAGAATATCGCCGTTGCGCACAACAAAAGGTGAGAACGTCAACGGGTCAACGGTCGACGGGTTTTCTCTTGGCGCTGTGCGGTCCTTTCCTGCAGGCTCTTTCTGCGTCTGCGTCTGCGTATGCTTCTGCGTCGATGTCTGCGCCCCCGAACCTGTTTCTTTGTTCCCTCGTCCGATCTCCAGGATGATGATATGCGTATCGCGTTTGCATGCCTATCCTCGCGACCAATAGCTTCGCCATGATCGTGGGGGGAAAAAGTGATCGTCGTGTGTAGACTACCTACTGTGAGGCCATCGCGAAGACCCCACCCCACCTCGCAGACGGAAGGAAGGTCATGGGGGGGAGGACTCAGGAGTCGAAACCGCGTCGTGAGTCACCCCGCGACAGGACGCGATTCATTCAGGACCTTGATGATGATTCTTTGGTGACTGAGGCCAATATGTTCCTTCGATGTGCTCGATGCAGGACTCGCCAACTGTGGCATGTTGGTTTTCGCACCTTTGTTCCGATGATCGATCTTGATCATCCGAGGGCACCAATGGACGACCTGATCATGGATCGATCAATTCCGACACGATGATGTGTTCGCTGGGAGGAACGTCGCGAGCCGTACCTACTTGCCATGAGGTGGTGATCAGGCTGTAGGCTGTACACAGATGACGGCAGTGGTGGTGGTGGTGGTGTTGTGTTGAGTAACGGGATGAAGTGAGGTCCAGTGGGGAAAGCTGCTGCGGTCTGTGGACGTCCAGCGGGCAGCTAAAGCACAGACTAACGGAACACCGCCCCACGGGCTAACCAACGCAAGGTAGCCCACAGTCTACAGGGCAGGCAGTCCCCTGCCAAACACAATCTTGACAGCCCCCGGCCCAGCAGCATCGGACGACGACCAATTGACGGGAAGTTTTTTCCTTGTTGCCCTCCAAAAGCTCTAATTGCTGACATCCTCGCCTCAGTCGTCAGGGAAATACCGTCGTCTGCCTAAGGTACGTACTAGCCTCCATGCGCCAGCCGTCTACTCCGTAGACCCAGCCGCCATCGTGTCTTGGCAGAAGGTGGGAGAAGCCGGATGCTCATCGTACACTAAACCTGTCTGTATCCTAGGCAGAACTTACCAACCTTAGTCTTAGTCTCCAATTCTATAGGGCTGGGAGACACGATATTGCTAAGCCTAGGTAGACCAGATCACGACACGACCCCCCACACCCCTCAAAAGCAGCTATCAGGTTTCAGTCAAAGGATGAAGAATGCCCATCTCGGGGAGCATGTGGCGTACTTTTTACACTTTCCCATGAACCGATTCTACTAGCTTCGACGGGTTAGGCAGGTACCCCCTGATCCACCATCTCGCGATGTTCCTAGATGGCGATATCATTCCCCTGGCGGCAAGGCAACTCTTGGCTTCTTACCTCTTTGCCTTCCGAAAGCAGGGCTGGATCGGGATGAAGCCCGTACAGCCCGTACGGGAATGCTGGAAGCCACTACCTGACTAAAACGAGAGCTTTGTAAGCGCGCGCAAAGTCACAGGAGAACTTCCTCGTCCAATAGACCATCCGGCCCCCACGGCAGCGGGCCTAGACAACGGGCCGCCGGCCTTGAGTGAAGAGTCCCCGAGTTCGCCGACTACGTGCCTCTAGCGTAGGAGTCCTTCCGTTTATGCTAGTCACCATCCTCGTACCTCGTTCACGTTCAGACACGGGATGTCCAGGGCGCGTTTGTGCTCTTGGAACAAACGAGAAAGAAAGCATTGCGTGTTCTGCCCAGGCATGTAGATCCTCTTATGAGCCCTTCCAAGTTTCGAGTTCCCACAAGGCTTCCAGACATTCTTATTGTTCGGGGGTCGGATCCGGTCGGCCCACTCCCCCTCGCGTGTGACTCGGCTTCCGGCGGAATATCGGGCATGCAAGCGATGTGTTGATTTGTTCTGCAGCAGGAAAGTTTGAATTGTCTCTGAAAAGTCTCGATTCGACAGCTCAGTTGAAAGATGGAGTGTAGGTACATGGGGTACGAATCTCGCCTGGGAGGATGTATGCTTGGTACTTTTTTACATTTGCCTCGGCAGACTGAGACTTCTGCTGTAATTTTGTCATTCTAATTATTGCACCTTGTTATTTTCATCTGGATATCAGCACAGAGATGTTGACTTACAACAATAAACGACACGCGCGTTCTCGTATTCTCACAGGTTGGCGGGCTCCAGTCTTATGTGGTCAGCTCGCCTACCTTAGGGAGAAACTATCATTTAATCAGGGCAATATGTTTGATGATTCGATACCTCAACACACAGAAGGGAGAGAGAGATTATTGCTACAAAAATAAAGTTGTCTCCCATCATGCCCCGTAGTCCCAAAACGTACGCAGTCGGACCTCGTCATACTAAAGCGTCTGCTGTGTCTTGTCTTCGAAGCAGAGAGTAGAAATCAACGGCTAGAACGGAAGGGAAAGAAAGGTGGGAGTATTGTGGAAAGCGAAGTGACTTTGATATTCCCCGGGTGCTTTGGAGGTATTGGAATTTCCAATTCGCTTTAGAACTCTGTGGAAGTGGAGGGACGGGGAAGACGGACGGCAGGAAAGGTGTAAGTTGATTTGTCGACGGAAGCAAAGTGGAGTGCCGGGCAGCCTTGACCCCCCCCCCCCTGCCTGCCTGGGGAGCCCATGGCGGTACGTACTTGGGGTGTCCACTAAACGTTTCCCATCTGCCCACAAGCGATGAAGATGGTGAAGATGGCTGCCTATTTTGTCTTTGTCACCTTTCAGAACATCCGTCTTCGGACTTTGATGTATCGACCACGCAAGGCCGCTATCTACCAACATTATGGCTCTCGGCGGGTTTTGGTCTCTGCATCGGCTGTCATCGAAAGAGAACCCACATCCAGCAACTACATCCCTCCCAACCCGGTTGTCCGTCCTTGACATGGGAGGTAAGCGGGAGGGAGCCCAGCTGAACGTCTGCTCTTCAAACAAAGCCAGGAACAGACATGAGATACCAAATAGAAAGGAGTTGAAGGGGTTCGTTTCCTCAGCCGCAGACCATTTTTGGGTGCTTATCTCACTCACCCTCCCTCGGCTGCACCCCTCCCATGTTGATTCTGTGCCTCGCGGATTACCTCCCACTTCTGGTCCTTCACGCGCTTGCTGAAGCGAGAGACGAGCGTGTGATCTTTTTGCAGGGAAGTTTCGATGGTTCCGATGTACGGCTGCGGCTGCGGCTGAAGCCCCAAGGATGACCGAGTACGCTCACCTCGGTGTCAGCACTCTGGCAAGGTGAGGGGGGTAAATTCACGACCGACGCACTCGGGCGCATAACTTGAACTGGAATACCCTACGCAACCCCGAGTACACCCCGAATACCTACCCATCTACTTACCTCTGTTTGTATTCTATTTCCTACCTTATCGTTGATTGCTCGTGCGTAGGGCGGTACTCGGTACGTCTTCCACATTGTGTTTATACATGATGGGTGGATGCTTCCGCTGTCTCGATAAAAGTACTCTTTTTGGGGTTGTTGACACCTGTTTGGCCCCTTCTTCCCAACTACGGATCAATCCTGTCGACGCTTCCTTGTGAACCTGCGCCTGCCTACCTCTATAATTCAAAATTCTGTTCAATACTATCACCAAGGCCTGTGACGTAGCGGAGAATGTCTCTTTGACGGAATAGCCCCGCACTCATAGGTCCCGGGTTCGAGTCCCGTATATCTTCTTGTAACAATCCTTGCATCGCTACACCTGAGGCTGGTAAGAGTCTCCTCGGATCTTTCGTAGGTTCCCTAGTATGGAGGCCGAGCTTTTTGCACTTTTGGCAATCTATCTTATCTGTCTTATCCTGCGTCGTGGAAGGATTCACCTTACTGCATTGGGAGAATGGTCTCTTGAAAGAAAGGGGAGGTCTAGGTGAGGCCAACAACAAGGATATCGATCCTGTGCCGTATGTAGCCCGTTGCAGACTCGCATACCTGGTTGTGCGCAACGCCTTTTTTGCGCAATCGCGCATTCGCGCGCTGCCACGGCTTCTGTAACGCCAGTTTCCTTTGCCTCCCCCCGGCGCCAGGGTTATGCTGCAGCCTTATGCTGCGCACCATTACGTCTGTTTTGACGTGGCCATGGGGGGGGGTTTACAGCTACAGCCTACACAAATTGAAAACCCTTGCATTTTGACAGGACTTTCCTTCGTATCCCCCAGAGTGGTATCCCGGGCTGTTGGCTGTACCTAGGTACTCCGTCCTGTATTAGAGAGTTGCGTGTGCCAAATTTGGAGGTAATCTTTGGAGGAGGGACGAAAGAAACGGGATGGCGTCATGGGGTCTAGTCTGGCCCATTGTCTCGGTTCGAGACAGCTGACTTGGTGACCCGGTGCCCGTCGTTCGTCTCACCCCCCGACAGCCACCGCCGCATAATGAGATTGTTTTTTGAGAGACTCTTGGTTGATTGTTCAATTCTATCGTTGATAGTGATTCTCATGACAGCGTAAAGTGAAAATGGCATATGCCGCGGTAATTGTTCTTCCACCTAATCCATCGACCCAAGCCTAGAGATCTAGGACGACAAACTCAAATCAAGATCTCGTTAACTCTCGAATAAATCAAACCATTCAAAATTGTGAAGTTAGTAGTGGAAAATATGTGTTCATCTCAAGTGGCTCCAAATATCGGATGAGGCGCAACGCCGGTTTATTTCGGTGCAGAGAGATTCGGCCTAGGCTGAAGTGGAACATGGTAAAAAGTGTTGGAGAGAGTTCTCGGCTTTCATGCTTGGAAGATGAAAAGAAAAGGCTTTGGGTGATTGAGTGATGTAGCTAATACGGGCATAACTACAACATAAATTGAAGAGCAGTGTGAGATGACAATCTATCTCTCCATTTGTCCATCATCCACCTCAAAAATACCCTTGATAAAATATCTCCGAGCTCAACCCCGTGTAACCATGCCGGTCAAGCCGTTGTCAACAAATGAAAGGTGTCATGAGCGAATGTCGGGAACTGCGATGCTCCAATAAGCGTACCCGATAGCCATCTTGCAGTGCCTGCATGACGGAGTATCCAATGAAGCATCGTCAGCAAAAGTCTATCTCGAATCGCAATCCAATAAGAATGATGCCCTGCAATTTCTGATGAAAGCCTATGAAGATGCAAACGTCAGTACTCTTTTCCAAGGCATGATATCTCGAAGAGAGGGAAAAACTTACAATGAGGCTTCCTCATGAAAGATTACCCAACCAAATGGTCCTACCAAAGAAAGAGACTCTCTTCCGACTGTTGAAGACACTTATTCTCAACCGCGCTCAAAGTCCACATCTCCCGGAGAGACGGAGAAGAAGAAGAAGAAGAAGAAGAAATCCAAAGGAGAAAAACGTATATCCCTCACATCCATCCCATCCCCCTCATTCATACCGTATAAACCCATGCCTCCTCAGAATCCTCTCATACTCCCTGATCCTCTCATCCCGACTCGCAATAACACACCGCTGCTCATTCAAATCCCTCCTCAACCGCTGATTCCGCTCCTCCACAACATCAAACTTGCCCTCCCACGCCCGCACAACCCTCTTCAGCTCCTCAATCCGTTCCGCCACCCCGTGACCGAGCCCATGATGATGATGATGCAATCCATGCCTCAACCTCGCCGCCAGCTCACGCTCCACCTTTTGCAGCTTATGCTTCAAGCGCTCCACCTCGCGCAGGTACTTGCCCGCGTTCCCGCCCGAACTCTCTATAGTGCGCCGCAAGCTGTCGTTGTCCTCACGCAGGAGCTGGTTCTCCGCCTGCGACGCGATGAGGAGGGCCGAGAGGCGGCGGCCTTCAATGTCGGAGGCTTGGAGGCTGCACTTCAGGGCATAGTTCTCGCGGGCGAGAACGTCGTTGGATTCGCGGAGCTTGCGTTCGCGGTCTAGGAGGTCGTTGTACTCGGGCGCGGTGATGTGTGCGCAGTCGTCGCGGCAGCAGTGGTGGACTGGTGGTGCTGGTGTTGGGGTCGGACACGGAGCTGGGGCAGGGGCTGGGGCTGGTTCTTCATGGTGATGATGGTGATGGCGGTGGTGATGGTGGGAGCGGGAGCGTTTGAGGGAGACGAATTGGTATTTGCCGTCAGGAGAGGTCTCGAGGTACCACCGGCGGGTGGCCATCCGGTCTACGGGGACTTGTGGCCGCGAGTTCGATGTGAGGCTGTTGGTGCTGCGTTCTTGAAGTGGTTGTTGAGAGTGAGAGAGACTAGGGTGAGTGTAAGTCGTCTGTGTAAGTCAAGGTTTGTTGTGAGGCTGTTGAAGTTGAAGTTGAAGTTGGACTAGAATGTTTCGTAAAAGCAGTATCGAGATTTCGGTTCAGACTATTGACAAAGACGAGAGAAGGCCGGAAAACCGACGGGAGTTCAAGAAGGGCAGATCGAGGCCTTGATATGTAGATTTGTGGGATAAAGACAGCAGACCACGAGAGCTTGGGCGACATGCAGGTGATCAAAGCAGAAGACTTTCCGTCTCGCAAACCCAAATGAGGACCGGGTGAGACGGGCTGCATGGCGGAGCGGGAGCGGGTAGGGCTTCGTCTTGCCTTTGGTCTATCTATCTAAAAGAAAGGGGAGGCATCCTGTCAAGGAAGACCGTTTCTGTAGAGTGTGCCCTGGCATAGGACTCGGGATCCCAGAGCTCTGGGTACGTTCGTCACTAGACTAGATTCTCTCTCACACACTCTCTCTGTTTGGATACATTTCGTAAAAAGTAGGCGCAGGGAAGAGGCAGGAACGGCTGCGAGTCATCGAGAGAGGAGGCAACAGGGCACGAGTCTCAAGCGCGTGGGCAAGAGAAGGGGATGAGCGGCGACTCGGTGGCTGACGCGCTTCCGTTTGGAAGGGGTGCGGCACGATGATGAGACTTGGTACGAACTGGACCCTTTTGAACGGGTAGTAGGCATCACAGACAATAGCACCTAGCACGTTTGTGTCTTGGCTGTGGAATGGACGACTTTCTTTCTCCCTTTCTCTTGGTTTGTTCATACTAAGGCAAGGTACCCTGCAGGGCAGAGTATGGGGACCAGGGAAGAGAGAGGTGTGTGTACAAAGTTGAGGCGCCCCTCGCCGACCTGACGTTGAAGAGGTTTAGAGGTTGTCGGGTGCCCATTTGGCTGACCTAGGTGTGAGTCCGAGGCAAGGTCATGTAGACGGCCTCACAAGTTGTGCGCGGTGAGACTTGGGTGGTCGTTTGTAGTGAGCGCATGAGTGGCATGTCTCACGCGCCAGAGCCAGAGGGGGGGGTGGACGATGGAGGAGGAGGGGTCATTCGGGGCCAGCTCCGGGGGGCAGGGGGCTGTGCTTTGACCCGGCGGCGGTTCATCCCGGGGGGTTTGCTTGCGGGCATTGCGGAATACTTTACTTAACTAAGTCAAAAGGCAGAGTCTGAGTCTGGCTGCCTGTACGTTGCATGAAACGGAAAAATGGCACGGATTGAGGAGAGCACATCGGCGCGGTTGGTTCTTGGTGGTCTAGATGTTGATCCTTGAATGATGTCGTGTTGGAGGTGTGACAGTTGGGGATGGGAATTGGAGATCGTAGAGGCACGTGGAGCAGGCGCATTGCGGTAAACAGGCGCCGTCATCGGAGGGATACAGTGCTTAAAGCGCCTATCTACCAGCACATGTACCGGTGTCAGAGCACTGTACGACCCCTGTTAGGTCACCGCGGCTGCGCTTGGGCTGCCTCTCCACATCCCACGTCCGCCAAGCCCCGGGTCCCGGTACGTATCTATTCTTCATGACCACCACCACGAACAACCTTCTTTGATAATGGGCATAAACGTCTTACACGGCCGTATACACCGCCTCCACGAGGCTGCCACATTGAAACTCGCGAATTTGGTCAGGCACCTTGTATTAGGATTGTACACTTTGAAGCTGGTTGGTCAGCCTCTTCCTTGACTTGTCTTTCTTGCCAGTCATGCCATGTCTCAAAAGCAGTCAGGAAGGATGCTATTCCTGTAACTTTGCGTGAAGAGTTCAAGTCATCTGCTCTTGTTTTTCGAGTGAGGCAGCCAGATAATAGCATTCTCTTCTGTTGCCCTGTATAATGTTCCTTTGCTTTCCCCTGTCCTGAGTCTCGTTGCCTGGCGCTGAGATCCTGCTAGTCCGTGGCCTTATTGGCGGTGGCAAATACACCGTGACAAGTTCCTACATATTTGGGGGCCGTACACGGCTGAAAGTACCCTACTGGACGCGAAGAAACTGGTTCCATGCAGAGGGGGGGAAGCGAACATGTGGTTATTGCTCACTTTTCTTAGAAACCTCCACGCAGGATAAGATCTCGTCTTCGCGATGATGTCGGGTCCCTTTGCATAACTTGAGCCACTTGAGGCATAAGTATTAACCGTCAAGTTTGTATCTGCCTCCAGCTTAATCCTAGGTTGAAAGTGAAGTATCCCCAATTTGACCAAGTTGTGGGTTGCCTCTTCCTTGATAAATCCATGAGAGAGTAGAAGACGAAAGGATTTTACTCTCAGGCAAGCTCGATCGGGACCGGGTCACCACAAATCGTTTCTATCATTCACCACTGGGAGAAGAGTGGAAAGGGTATCTTCATACACAAAAGTCCAGCCGCCTCAATGTCGCCAGGTCTCTGATTGCAGAAAAGATATCCCATCGGCTCTTTGGCCTACCCATCCCCAGAGCACGGTAGAAAAGGATGCTCTTCAGACATGTACAATTCACCGGAATAACAGTGCTATTTCTCAAAGTCCACTGCATGAAACAGCCTCTCTAATATATCACGTCACATCGTCTCGGACCGCCAAATTTCCTAACTCCAATCTTATTTAAGAGCTAGGTAGATAGATGAGCCATACATGTAACTTCCACTATTCAAACGAGTGTCGAGAATAGAAATAAGGTGCCCTTCCCAACCCCTCCTCGGCCACCTGAACCCCTTGGAGCAATCGTTTATCCGTGAGAGGCCGTCCTACTTCTTCGCGCCAGTCTGCTGACCTCCCTGACCGCCGCCCTGACCGCCGCTCTGTCCATGGCCACCGAGCCCAGCATTGGCGTTTCTGTCGCCCGCGCCCTGGGCTCTGGCGGCGAAGCCACCGGACGACATGTCCTTCCCGCCTTTGGCCTACATAGAAAGTGGTGGTGTCAATATCGGGAGAGACAGCCTTCACTGAGATCATCTACCCAGCTCATCTCTCTAATCATGCAAAGAGTAAGGGAGAGATCAAGGGGGGAAAGTGACGAACCTGGGTGCTCTGGATGGTAGACGCGGCCTCTTTGGTCATCTGGTTAGGCATGATGAGGAATGTTTCGTGAAATCGCAACGTTGAAAGGTTGATTGGGATTGTTTGAGTTGAGTGCGAAGACGAAGTGTGTGATGTCTGGATAATGTTTCTAAACCCTCCTTCCGTTGGCGAAAGAACCTCCTTCTTATAGACTTTTCGTCCGCCTATTATCACATGATATCTACCTCAAGCACCCAAGTCCCCAGCACTATCCCGTCACCGTCATCGCCATCACCATCCCATCATCATCGGCATCCCAAACCAAGTCTCAACACAAACGCAAACAAAAAGAAACGAAGAAGTCGTCCACCGCCCCTTTACTCCGCTCCCCCTCCTTTCCCTCAACCCCGCTCCTCCTCCGGACATGAGGATCCCAGATCGACCGTCTGGCTCCGGGAGTGCCTTCCCCTCCGGCGTGACGCCACCACGGTGGCCTCCGGCGTCTCAACGAAACGCCGTCCCGCGATCCGTTTGGCCACTAGGAAACACAACTTCCCCAACGGCATCTCATATCACACAAACAATGTCGAGACGGCGGAGACAAGGTTGGAGCATGCGAGACAAAAAAGCCCCAAAAGGACCTCACGATAGGGTTTGACATGTGCTGTTGGGCCTTTACGGTTTGGATGGCAACACTTCCGACGGCGGGCATCTAAACCTACCTTAGATACCTACCACGCCTACCGACCTACATACCTTACTCTCCCCCGTTCGATAGCCCACCCAGACGTCGTGTTGCCATCAGAGCAAGGTATTCACACAGCAAACCTTCAAAACATTGCCCATACTTCAAACGGAGTTATCCGCCACTCGAACGAGCGCGAGCGTTCTTTGGTTTGCTTTTGTAAATATTGTTCAAACATTTAGTGTGGGAAGGCAATGGCTTTCAGCCAAGGCAACGCCCAATGCAAGTACCTAGTGCGCGCCCACTCTCTTGCTCTCTCTCTCTCTCTCTCTCTCTCTCTCTCTCTCTCTCTCTCAACCCTTTTTGCCATCCGGACGACACCACCGCTTCTTTCCCCCCCTCTCCAGCATCCATGCCAGTCTCTTTAACCCCCCCTCTTCCTCTATGGGCACGACGAAAGAAACTAAATCAGGAGAGACATCAATGCCGTAACCGAAATGCCCCAATCGCAAAACCACAGTAAACCATACCGAAAGAAAAAGCGCCTTCTCTTGTTTTGTTTGTGCCTGCCTTGTATGCTCTGGCTTCCTTCCCAACAAATCTTTTCATCCCTCCCTTACGGAAAGAGGAAAAGCCCGAGGGGAAGTCAGGCCAACAATCTGCATGCTTCTAATGCTGCTTTATGTGCTCCCATTCATTGGTATTCCAAAACTTCAGCTCTCGGCGGCCTTGAGCTCCTCGTCGACCTGCGCCCTGACAACCTCCCGCACCTTTTGCCAGTCGTTGACAATATCCGTCACCCTCTTCTCCTTCTCCTCCAAGCCGATGAACTCTGACGGCAGGACCTTGGCCTTGAAGTCGAAGCCCTCCTCCTCCTTGAGAGCCAGGTCAACGGCGCCGGCAAACTTGGCAGGGTGGGCCGTGGAAAGCGAGATGTGCGGCACCTCGGCGCCCGCGCGGCCGATGGATCGCTCGGAAGCAGACACGCCAATGGCGGAGTGAGGGTCCAGGACGTAGCCAATCTTGTTGTAGTAGCTCTTGATGGTCTCGACGGTCTGGGGATCGCTGACGCGCTCGCTCTCAAAGTCACGACGGGCCGAGTTGAGCACGTCCTGGTAGACGGGGCCGAAGCCGCCCTTTGTCTTGAGGTCCTTGAGCCAGGAAGATACCTCCTGGCCAGCCTGTCTCTTGTTCCACTCGTCGTCCATGCCGGCGCTAGAGGCGAACTCGTAGGCCAGGAACCACAGCAGGCGCTCAAAGTTACTTGAGACGAGAATGTCCATGGCGGGGCTGAGAGTCTCCTTGACGCCATCCTCGTGCGCCTTGACGCCGTCCTGAGCCAGGCCGCCGGCGGCTTCCGCGGGGGAAGCGGGCTGTTTCTCGTACTTGCCAGTCGTCCAGAATCTGTGCAAGATGTCGTTCTCGTTGGTCGCGATGACGAGCTTGTCGACGGGCAGACCCATGCGGTAGGCAAAGTAGCCGGCGAGGATGTCGCCAAAGTTACCCGTGGGCACGACGAAGCGGACCTTGTCGCCGAGCTTGAAAGTCTCGGAAGACTTGACGAGGGAAAAGTAGGAGTGGAAGTAGTAGACGATCTGGGCCAGGATACGCGCCCAGTTGATGGAGTTGACGGCACCGAGGTTGTGGGTCGAGTTGATGTCGGAATCGGCGAAGAGAGCCTTGACGATATCCTAGGTCACTCGGGGTTAGGGAATGCCATTCGGCAGGGGGTGTGTAGGCGCGCGGGCGAGACTTACTTGGCAGTCGTCAAAGGTGCCAGTAACAGCAAGGTTGTGGACGTTGTCGTCCAAGACGGTCGTCATCTGAGCCTCCTGGATGGGGCTCACACGGCCCTTGGGGTGAAGGATGAAGACGGAGACATCCTTCTTGCCTCGCAGACCGTAAATGGCGGCAGAACCGGTGTCACCGCTCGTGGCACCGACAACAGTCAGATGATGTCTGTCTGCGCAACGTGTTAGTTAGTCCCACATATCCCAATTGGCACAGCATAGTATCTTTGAGGCCGTGGCCCGCATGGTCCGGAGACGAAGGCGCATAGCATACCCTTTCCTGTCTTGCCCTCATTCTTGCGCACTAAGAAGTACTCAAACAGGTTGCCGAGGAATTGCAGGGCAACGTCCTTGAAGGCAAAGGTGGGGCCGTGGAACAGCTCGAGGAGGTAGAGGTTGTCGTTGAGGTGGCGGAGGGGGGTGGTCTCGGGAGCTCTGAAGGTGGCGTAGCTTCGGTCGATGATGCCCTTGAGGTCGGCGGAGGGGATCTCGGAGGGGGAGATGTAGAGAGACAGGATCTTGTGGGCGAGGTCGGGGAAGGCCAGGTCCTTCCAGGACTGCCAGTCATCGACCTGGGGGATGTGCTCAGGGATGAACAGGCCGCCGTCGCTCGCGAGGCCCTTGAGGACGACCTCTTCGAAGGAGAACTGGGGTCATGCGGTCAGCAATTGCGTGGCCTCGAGTATGGCATCCAAAAATGCGCGCGCGCGCCAAGGCTTTGGCGGCTTTCAAGGGGAGACACATGCGCAAGCGACAGTGGGGAGAAGGGGGATATCATACACCGCTGTCCTCTCCACGGGTGCTGAGATACCGCTGGGAGGTAGTGTGGGTGGTGTCGGCGACGGCCTCGCCTTTGGTACCGTTGGTGGCCATGGTGATAGCTGCGTATGCGGTATGCGGTATGCGGTATGCGGTATGCGGTGAAGGAGGGGAGTTGAGGTGCAATGGGCAGAATCACAGAGAGGGGGATGGAAGAAGCCCAATTGCAGCACAGGCAAAAGGGGAAGAGAGGGAGAAGACGGCAAGAGAACGTCGTCTCTTGTCTCTGCAAAAGAATGCAAGATCTCTGTTAGCTAGAGTGAGATAGAAGAGAGGATGGCGTCGAGATCTTGGAGTAATCGGACGAAAAGGGCAAGAAAAAAAAAGAGAGAGAGAGAGAGGGCGAGTCACACACACACACACACACACACACACCAGTGGCAGCGGCACTGCGGCAGCAACAGCGACAAGCGGCCGAAGGTCGGTCTCGACGAGTCGGTCACCCCTCAAAGTGGCCCGGTGTTGTGGGCGGTCCCGTTCTCCTCCTCCTGCTGCTCCGACGGGAGTCCACCTCAGTGTAGGTACCTTAGGTAGGTAGCTAAGGTGCTGTGGTACTGTGACTGTGTGCCCCTCCTCTCGTTCAATTGTGAAAATTTGCCCCGCACCAAAAATGAAAAGAGCCAAAGGGGCGCGGGGTTGCCCATGTCCACACCTCTGTCACCAGGTAGTCGCTCCGTAGCGACCGCCGACTGACATAATTCAACGATGACGGGACGCCAAGGTGCCGGGATTGGTGGGTTGTGGGATGCTCAAATCGCGTAGTCTGATTGGCCAATGACTACCCTGTCGTTCCTTTCTAGATGGCGCCTTCATCTTTCATATTCGACGGGGACCAACCGCTGGCCGTGCGTGATCCTGAACATCCAATTTCGGTCCTGCCCATCACGTCGACCATCCGCACGCTCCCAAGAGACTAGAAGCATTTTGCCTTTGAAGAGTGGCATGTCGGCGCCGCGGAGCCCACCCGTGCCACATCCCGCCATGCAATCAAACTGCAACATGCAATAGCTTATGCCAAAGGGCGGCGACTACTGAGTCCTGACACTTGTACCCCTCCACCAGACTGGATGCCCCTCCAGCACCCCTCTTTCCCAATGGGGCTCATGGCATGTCAAAAGTCGATAGAGCAATCGCCCTGCTGCACGGCGGCTGATGCTGCCATGGCTTTCTGTAAAGGTGACTCAGCTGGTATCGCAGCCACACGTACCTATCCGTACCCCGTACCTTACCGCAAGTTGTATTTGCAAAAACGTTGATGAGGCCTTTGGAGCACTCCGGAAAGGCATATTCATTGCTTCGTTTTGTGATGCTCCAAGACATCGTGTCTCACTATCTGGTACTCGACTGCGCACTTGCCCTTTACATCACCAAAGGCGTGCCGCATCACCCGATAATTAGCCAATCGGCCTAATTGACCTTGACGAATACTCCCGATCAATAAGGTACTGCGTGTCATCCGGATACCATCCGAATACCCATCATATCGCTTGCCTGCTAACGCCTGTTGCCCATGTCATTGGGTATCTCGTGAGAAAATGAGTAAAAATGTCACACACCATGGCGCCGCCCATCCAATTCAGTCCAGGACCCCTGTAGAACTTCCATCACTAGTCATTTCTTCAGTGACTTGAGCAACGGCGCAATCCTCGACCTCTTGCTGAGTCCCACCCGATAAATAGGCTTCGTCGCCGAGGAAGATGCAGGCGTCGACAACCTCTGTTTCCCCTCACCTTTGCCTGCCATCCCAGACTTGTCGCCATCTGTCGTCGACGCTACTTTCCCCTCTGCTGCTGCCGCGCTCTGCGGTCCCAGTCCGTCGGAACCGGACTTGCTGAGCGCCGCATTAGGCGTCACTGGCTGCAGCACCCGATCGTTGCTGCCCTTCTCTCGGGGGCCGCTGCCCGCGTCTGCTGTGCAACCTTGCTGGGTAGCGACGTGCTCGCCCTTGCTGCGCTTTGCCGCCTTGCCCGATGAGGCATCGCCCGCATGTTTCCCCTCCGTCGTAGGATGCTCCACTTCAGGTGCATGATGTGGCTTTTCAGTCGCTTGCCGCACGCTTTCTACTGCGTTCTTGTCCGCCTTCTTTGGCCGCCCGCGCTTCTTCTTGGTCGATGGCGTAGCCGCCGTTGCAACTTCTGTTCCTGTAGAATCCTTCACGACCTCGCTTGCGTCGGTGGTCCGTGGCGTGGCCGAGGTCTCAGTGGGTGCCGGACTTTCCACTACAGCGGTGTCCGACTTTCTCGGCCGTCCCCTCTTCTTTGGTTTCGTTGTGCTCGTCGAAACGGGCTCCTCCAAGAGCAGTTGCGCGGCTGGGCCCATATCGGCGACAGGAATCTCGGCGCTTTCTAGAACCTTAGCGTCGTCCTGCCGGCTAGTGTCACTACCTCTGCGTCGGCTAAGACGAGGCTTGTATGATTCTCGAGGGAAGCCGATGGCGTCTGAATCCCAGCCGTCGTCTTCTTGGCGAGACTTTGTCGTCTTTGGGGATTCCTCCCTCAAGTTCTTCCTATTCCGACGTACTGATGCTGCAGATATTATATCTGGTGAAGATTGTATCTCTATAGTCGCCTCTGGATCGACTGACACTCCGAAACCTTCCTGAGCTTGCTCGTGCACTGTGTCTAGTGTGAGATGACCTTCGGCTGGTGCCGGAGGCAAGCCAATCACTCGAGTCTGGCTCGGCGTGGAATATGCAATAGTCGTAGCCCCACTTGACCTAGCCGCAGCTTGAAGAGTCGAGAATGGCTGAGTAGGAGTGAGTGCTGGATCCTCTGGAGACGGGCCAACTGAGTGATATTCATATTCCAACTTTTGACTCGCACTCAGTGTTTGGGACTCGATGTACATCGAGACAGGCTTCTGACCAGAGACGAGGTCGCCAAATGAGGGTACCACAGCTGTATGTGGTACCACCACCATATCAATGTCGTCCTCCTCGGCCGATAAAGATAAGTCCGGGTTCCTGAGTCGAGCCCTCTTCCCGTTCTCCATCCTCGCTGCAGGGGTAGCGTCGAATGGTTGCGTGGAGCCCTGCGAAGGCACTTCGATAGCCACCGGTGATGTGAATTCCACATTGTTCGATCGCTTCCTTTTCGTACCACTGGTTGATGCTCTGCTCTTCGCGAGGCTGGCCAGAGGCGCTCGGCCGCCGACCGGGCTGCTGGGAACATCCCACATGTCGTCGGGAGTCGCATGGGCGGCGAGCATCTTAGGCGATGCGACTTCCGTGAGGTCCACCACCTCTGGTTCCTGTCCCTCGGGACTGTCCAACCCTGCGATCAGATCGCTGGCTGAGGTGAGCGACGAGGTACCAGTGTCGCTCCTCTCCATTTGCGCTTTGATCTGTGCTGGCATGGAGCTGAGCGCTGCACCGTTTGATGCGGATGATCCGTCTGGCCTTGGTAATGTGTCGTTGGCTGCCGCACGCTGCTGCTCGGTGTAGATCGCTTGAAAGAACTTGGGGTCTGTCGAGTTGGTCGCGACGCTCACGGGGTCGGAGGAGCGGCCTTGGCTCGGTATCACGGAAGTCGTAGGTTTCGGGGCAGTGTCTCGTGAGTCGAAATCGTCGTCGGAGTCATCCGAGTCCGCGATGATTCGAGCCGGCGCCATTGTCGCGGTGTGGCGAGTAATTCGCGACGTGGGGAAGGTCGAGGCACGCGCCTAGCTCGGGGGCGAATTATGAAAGGTACTGTTGTGTACATGAACGGGTCCCCCAACAGGTTAAAGTGCCTATCGTTGTTGCGCGATGCAGTAATCGGATAACGCGATATCACGTGATTCATTAAAGTATGTATTATGTTCGTATGTGAGCTCCGTAAGTCGGGTGTCCGGTCCCACTATTTTAACCGGTGTGGCCCGGATCGAATAAACACTTGATCGAAACTCTGAATAGGGTCTTAAGATAGAGCAAGTCCGAACCGCTCAACAGGTCATTCAACACGTGATTATTCCTTTTGTTCAAGGAGTAGTTAGTTTGGGAATCCCCTGACTAAACTACTCAATTTCTTCTATTCTAGGACGCTTCGTATTGACAGAAGGTAGTGATCGGTTTTGGTCAATGGTCAAGCCTGCCAATCGTCCAATGCTTGGTTCTCCGGTATTGACTCCCGAAGCGACCATTGAAGACAATTGCCAATTCTCCAAACTCTCAATCACATCTCGAGCGTGCTGCTGGACTAGACCGTCGTTGTCCGTGACTGCGACGTACTTCAGGGTCCTAGTGATATCCTCCCGACTCTGGTCAGTTAATCCGAAACCGAGCTTCCGACCAGATTGCTTGGCAGAATCAAGTGCCTTGACGAATCCTAGAACAACCAAGATTGCTGCACGCCGAATGATGCCCTTTTCGATTTCTCGCTCCAACGTTAACACATTGATGCAGAGATCCACCGCAATGGAAACGAGGTCCGGCCCAATGCCCGCAATATTGGTTTCGAGACCGACGGAGAAGATTGAAAGAGCAGATGCTCGCATTCGAACGTCTTCGCTGCCTCTCTTGCTTTCCCAACCCTCGACAATCTGGGTCAGTATCTCGCTCTTGGCCAACTCTTCTTCGGTCATATCATCACTAAGATCTGGAACATCTCCTCCCCAGGCGTCTTCTGCCTGCTTCTTCTTCATGTCCTGCAGTCGCTTCTCCCGGGACTGCTTTGCCTCCGTCTTTGGTCGATGACCTCGCCTTCCAGCAATCGACAGCAAAGTTTCAGACACGCGCCTCGCAACGTCACCAGCAAAAGTCTCGCCGAGGCGCTCAATCACTTGAACCAAGGCCTCTCCGAAGCGCAGACGAACATCTGTTGACGATGTTTCCTTCGAATCCAAGTAATACTCAAGGATCTCTTGTGTGGTTGCTTTAGGGTGTTTGTTTGCCAGCTGGGTAAGAAGCTTCACAACCCTGAGATTGATGAAGTCCTCGCTGTCTTGAAGGAGAGACGAAAGGAGAACGAGAGTGGCTTGTACGTCCAAGACGGAACTATCAGAGGCCACTAGGCCGGATAAAAGATTGATCCCCTCGGAGCGGATCGGCGGAGGATTATCTGCTTGAGTGATGTACTCCAGCGCAAGCTTGTACGTTCTCCTGTCCTCAATCTGCTTATCGCTGGGCACAAATGCACCCTCCTCTGTGGGATCGATAGCCTCACGGTATCTCAGCAAGAGCGTTAGGTTCTTGGCCGTAGGGGAAACCTCAGGGCGTCCCGCCGCGCCAAGTTTGGCAAGGGATGTTTCAAGAGCTTGTAGAACCTCAGCTTTCAGACTTGACTTTTTGAAGCTCGGGGCTGTGATGACTAAGTTGAACAAGCTTAAAGCAACCGCGATGATATCGTCAGACTGGTCCTGGAGGCCGCTGGGATCCAGGATCTGAGCCACAAGCTCCGTGACTTGCGTTACACGACTGATCAGCTTGTCTGGGATTTGTTCAAGCATTTTCTGCAAGATTGTAATCTCGAGTAGTTGCTTGATATCATCCTGAGCCTGGCTGTCTTCCATTTTGGCGAGAATCTCTGGCCTTCGGGCTGTGACTGTTGACTGGAACCATCGGCCGAGGAGTTCCAGAAAGAATGTCGATGTCTCTTCTGGTGTGCAACTCGCCGTCAAGAGACGTATAAGGGCTTCGGAGCGAGTCTGGATTTCGGCCCAGTCGAGTTCTGGCAACTGTGATCCCTGGCCAAGCGGGATGGCACATATTTGAAGGTCACCATCAGGGGTTGACTGATACCGCCACTGTGGCATTTTCGTATACTCTCCTTGATACAGCAAATTTTCGACAACCTCATGTAGCTTCGACACCGAAACACTCAGTTTCAGAAACGTATGAAGCAATGATCTCGAGGTCTTCGAGTATCGGTCCTCGGTCCTTTTGTTGCCCTTACTCTGACATGAAAGAGCCCAGAGCTGCGCGAGAACCGGGTCAAGGATTCTTTTGGTCTGTGCTGGGTACGGTGTGGAGTTTATCATCGATGACATGCGGCGCAGTGTTACGAAGAGGTCGTCGGCAGTAACCAGGACGGCCTTTTTACTTAAATCAACAATCTCGGTTTCTTCAGCTTTGATGTGGGGCGTAGCACTTTTGCTGTCGCGAGATGGATCCAAGTTGTGCAAGAGAGGCTCAACGAAGACATTCCAACCGGGTGTTCCTAAAGCAGCGTCAGCATGGCTCCTGGTTTCTGAGTGAAAGCACAGTTGTTACCAGGCGCGCCAAACTGCTTTCTTCCCAGTACCCCAAACATAATAATCTGTGCCGCTGCTACACTGAGCTCTGCGCCTTCGGTTCCATCCAACAGCACGATCAACTGGGGCGCAACCTTTGAGAACCAATTTTCAGGTGATACAATTGCTGGTGGGGAAGTGAGAATGCGGGTGACCACGGCCATGGCCTCCTGCGTGATGTTGGCGCCCCGTTTCTGGGGAGTGGCTGCCTCAGATACTTTGAGGGTGCTGCTCGGGTGCACTGAGAAGATGAACTCCATGGTTCCCCTCACGCCGTCAGGCCGAAGGGGAACCAGGATCAGTATCTTCATGAGCTCCGGACGTAGCCATGCTGGCGCGATTTTCGGCTTGATCAAGGCGTTCAAGACAGGGAGCAAATTCCAAGAGCCGTTCCTAGTACCTCCGTCAGAAGGATTCGCCTGATATGGTGCCGCACAGCACCCACGTACCCGTCGATGAGCTTTTGAAAGTCTTCTTGAGCGGCTGCTCGAGAAGCAGCGTCGGATGATGGATCGAACGCCCGCTTACCGACGCTGAGAACTTCGTCAGCTAATTTGGAGCGAGGGTCCTTTTCGGGTGTGTTCGGTTCCATCGTTGCTGGATGCAGAGTTGAAGATCGTGGGCTTACACTTGCTTTAGTAATTCAGCTTTGAGGACCGAAAGAGATGTATACAGTGTGGCGAATTTTCTCACTGTTCTGTCAATTCCATGGCGATGTCACGTGCCTCCGCGTGCGCGAACACACCTCAAATTGGACGCGACGTGTCAGCGCTCCTTCCCCTTCGCCTGTATCCAGCGCGACCTCAGATTTCCACCTCACCCTTACAGCTTGGTTCCTTCTCAACACCTGCTGAAAAACCTAGCGTGGCGCGTCTTCGACAGCAAGAATCACCGCCGGATATGCAGCTTCCAGAGAACCATTCGAGATACGACATTGGAAAGCAGCTGCATGCGCCTCGCCGCAGTCGGCAAAAGGAAGCCCTCTCGCCCGACGTTCACTGTCTCTGGACAAGGGCTCGCCTTTGCACGACACCTCTCTCTCAGTTCTCCGACTCTCATTTTCCTCGGAATGTCTATCGTAGACCTCTCATTTAGGCCTGACAGCCCGTGATGCGTCGCACCTCAGCCTGCATCAGGACATTGAGCTTGCCGCGGATGGAATCATCATGGCCTATGGTTGTCTACACCAGACAATTCAGTCCAGCTGAGAGAATGAGCTTCGGAACTTAACCCTAAGTATTCTTTTGGTTCAAGTCTTGCGCCCGCAGTCGTCGAACCTGTCTTTTAAATCCGCCCTGGTTCTCGATGTAACGCCGCTGAAAAGTGGTATCGTGCTCGAGGACCGCGGTGGATGGACTGGCAGGGAACACATTCCAGTCATCATTTGGTGCGCGAAAGGGGGTTACTATGAGTCGTATGGGTAAGAGCCTCTGGTCCGAGGCCGCTCGTCAGGACCTATCCGCTGGAACCAGAACTCTGGCCAAGAATAGGTCGCCCGGAGAAGATGGCAGACATGGCTTGCAGGGTCGAGTTGGCAACAAGCTGCTATCCTGGGGTGTTGCTACGGACAAGTGGTAGGAGCATTGCGTTTGCCACGAACGGTCAACATCGAAGTTTCAATCCACCCACAATCTGCCTTGGACTCGACTCGCCGGGTCGTACCACAGTACTGCGATGTTTCCAGGCCTACGAACAGAAACTTTTCGATCTGACGAATCCCATCGCCACGCTCAGCTCTCGGTACCCACTTGTCCAGTACACCACCCCCGGACTCAGTTCGCAGCTAAGAAGTTGCCAGTATCGGACTCGGCAGCCAGTCGGCTTCTCTCCGAGCCACACCCACGGCAATTGCCACGGATGTGACATGTCCGCATGTGATCTGGCCAGGCGCATCAGCCTCCGGTCGTGAGTTCTGTCCCATGGCATTGGAGGACGCCAAGTCCACGTTGATCCCACTGGGAATCAACACTTGCCCGGTGATCTCGCCCCAGCGAGAAGCACCGGATGAGAGCGCGATTTTTCATGGATGTTTTTTGTCCGCGCGGAATGCCCTCCACTGCGTCTTGCGAGCAAGGAGAGGAAACAAAAACTAGTCCAAGGAGGTCGTGCGATTCAAACAGAGAGAGCTTCTTCGAGTGCTCGAGAGTACGCAGACTGGGATCCAATTCGCCGAACTCCGGATGGCTGTGTAAGTGAAGGCTGTGGCTCATAAGCGGGAGACAGCTCAGGCGACACGCACGCAAAGGCTCCGGGTGGAAGGGCCAGACTGGCTGAACAGGTCTGAAGCGATGCCGGGACCCATCTCGTGTTGGAGTCAAAGTTTTGTGCTTGACCGGGATCGTGAAAGACCCAAATTGCTGGCCTATCCCCTGCCACCGTGAGCCTCGGCGCTCGTTGGACAAAAAAGGGCAGGCCTATGGGCGGCAGTCCTGGTTGCCATCTTTCCAGAAATGGCGAGATTGGCAACCCCCTAGCGACTGGGGATAAGTCTTACCAAGTTCCCCCAAGAATCACTTGATATGGGTGCTAACATGGCTCAGGTAGCGGGCGGATGGGCAAGGAGTGGATGCACTGGATGGCAAAGCAGTTGAAATGACAGTTGGTGGATGCTGTGCGCTTCGGGGTTTGATGGTTGACCACAAGAAACAGAAGATTGGCCTAGAACACGGCGCACATGCCTCAATTCAAAAAGTTGTCGAAATATCACAGCAGAAGCTTCACAGGCAATCCTTGAAACAGACGCACTGCCCGAAGAGAAGCATTTTATCTGACCAAGGGGCACCCCAAATGTTCCCGTAGGTTACGCGAAGCTATTCGCTAGAGCATGTGCTTGCAGCCCCACCTAAGAAGCTTGATTCGCTGCCCCGTCGTAGATCTGAAACCCACCAATGTGTCAATCCCGGACTATGCCTCTTCCCAGCCTCTTGACGTCACAATCTGCAAGCTAACCAGAACAGGGTCATCTCACAGCCAACTCAACTAGGAATCTGGGACAGGAGAAACAATGGGCTTTGCTAATTAAGCACGGCCAGCACGGCCAGCACGCCCAAAAAGACTAGCCGGGAGACAACGACCGTCGATCCTGACATTTCTCCCACCCTTTTCCTCTTTCTCCTCTTCGCGCCACAGCCGTTTCTTCCGGACAACCTCAGAAGCCGATTTTTGTTTGCTGGTTCTGGGCTGGTGCCTCGAGGCATTGCGTGTTCATTGTTGCTATTGTTACATATCGAGTCGCTGTCAACGCTCGGGACTGACATCATCGTCACTTCCAAACGCTGTTCTCTATCACAACAACATCACACAAACCACAATCTCGTTCCGCCATGGCCCTGTTGCGTACAGCTCTGCTGCCTCTGGCGATCCTCCCAGCCATTCTGGCTGCACCTGCACCTGCACCAGTCGATCCCGCCCATCCCATGATCACAACCCCGCCGACGCGTGTGAAGAGAGAGCCTAGCTTGACGGACGACATCGACAGCTACGTCCATAGTATTATCGGCGATGCCTCCTCGTGGGTCGCTTCTGGCATCCCTGCATTCTTCCAGGGCTTCCCCACTGGCACCGCGGTCCTCAGTACTCTTGGTATAAGCGATGGTGACCTTGATGCAAAGCCTACCCAGATTCTGAATCTGCCGTGAGTACCGACTTCAATATCAATGGGGTTGTTTACACGAACTAATCTTGGGGTTTGCAGGGCCTACGGAAACTGGACCGACGAAGGCTGGAATGTCCGCATTCACGGCAACGTCTTCAAACAGCCCAATATTAGCCAGTCCAAGGTCGACGACTTGGCCAATGTTTTCCTCATCGATGTCGACATCAAAGATCTACCGGCCGACCAACAAGCCCAGGCTCGCAATGTCACCGAGTCCATTTTCGTCGTACAGCAAGATGACCAAAACGTCACGATGAACTTTGTCAACGATGTTACCGTGAGACCCGGAGCCAGCGGAGGAGCCGTCAATGCTCGCGGCGGCGCACAATCGATCAACTTGCCCTACTTGACAACAGCCGAAGGTGACTTTGACGCATTTGTCAAGTTGCAAAACACCACAGGCTCGACTGGCGGCCACATGTTGCCAGGCAATGCCACATCATCGATCCAGACTCTCAACATGTACGCCAACGGCACATTGACGGGCAACGCGACAGCGTATCTTGTCCCTCCCACGGGTTTCACCATCATCTCTGACATTGACGATATTCTCCGTGTGACCAAGATCTATGAGCCTAAGGAGGGTCTGCTCAACTCCTTTGCGCGCCCTTTCACGCAGTGGGAGAATATGCCCCAGATCTACGCCAACTGGTCTGCGTCCATTCCTGATTTCCACTTCCATTACTTGACTACGACCCCCGAGCAGGTCACACGCAACTACATGGAGTTCATCTACAAGACGTACCCCTTGGGCAGCTTCGATACTCGTCCTCTCAACTTCTCTGACGTTTCAGCGACGCTGTCCATTCGAAGATTCCTGCTCGATAAGATTTTCCAGACTTTCCCGCAGCGAAAGTTCGTCTTGGTAGCTGATACGACCAACTCCGATGTCATGAAGGCATACCCCGCGTTGTACAAGGACTACCCGGGTCAAGTCCAGTGCATTTTCTTGCGAAACACCAGTGCCACTGACTCTGGCAACAAGTTCCCTTATAATACCGCGGGCTTCGAAGGCATCCCTCAAAACAACTACATGTTCTTCAGGGTGCCGGATGACCTGACAAATTTGGATATCGTTAATGGGCAGTGTTATAATGCCACCATCCCGCAGAACGTCACCTTCAAGACGCAGGGTCTGCCGTTTGGCTTGGGCAACGCAGCTGGATCTCTGGCGCCACCGAGCACTTGGGCGGTGGCCGTCGTCATGTGTGGTATGAGTTTGGCTGCCTTCTTGTAGCGGTAAGAAAGAAAGAGAGAGAGAAACGAACACGAGTAATGTTTCAAGATCAAGAATTCTGGTTTCATCATGTTGCGGTCTAGGCCTTTCTTTCTTTGGGATATGCACCATCATGACACGAGCGCAGGCCTGTCTTTCCCCCCAAGTCAAGCTGAAGGAGTGGCCGTAAACGTCAGTCTGCCGCCAGTAGCACTCTTCGGACTTCAAGCCGGGCGATGTGAGGGGACAGTTCTACCAGCCGTATGGCACATGTTCCACGGCCCGGCCGAGGAGCTGCAGATTTTTTTTCGAAGTCCCGGTTAGGAGGAAAACGGTGCTAGTTGAGTGGACGGATCGAGACCCGCATGGTTTTTGTGCGAGAGTCCGACGACTAAGCATCAGGCTATCTGTCACTGCCTGAGAGGGAACCCTTCCAGGGCCTTCCAGGCTGCAACTTTGCGCCGTCGTGTGATTCGCATTTCCGTGGTAAGAGTCCTGCGGGCCTGTAGGTCGAACCAACGCACATATACGTGCATGCATACAAACTCCATAGACATACATGCGACACCCTCTAGGATATCGTTTCCTTTTGCCTCTTGTATGCCTCCCTATAGACCCATGCGTAGCTGATGCTTACTCCCTTACTCCTCCTTTGGCTATATGTCGCCCCCATTCTCATAACAGAACCAATGAAGGTGCACGCGCAACTCTCTCAATCCATGGAAACAAACCCTCGACACTCTGCTGACCTACGTGCCAGCGAATACCTGGTTTTTTTTATTTTATTACTAAACATTGGCGAGGCTGCGTATAATACAGTAATACGATGTTGGTTTTCTTTGCGCCGAGGTCACTTTTACCCGATATCCTTTTTTTTTTCCTCGGCGAGCCACATGTGAAAGAGGGGAAAGACGCCCGAAAGGGATTGAAGGCGCGTCCAGTCCAGCCCAGAGAAGCGATAGCTGCTTTGAGGATGAAAAGCAGCATTATCCATTCCGAGCGAGATGCCTCGGGCCATATGCTCCGGGCCGATAAAATCCACTTGTAATCCCGGGGGAGTTGATTCGGGACGAGGGGAAAAGACCAATGTGGAAGCAGGATAAACGGCCTCGCATATCGCCGCCACCTCCACCGACGCGATTCTATTATGTCAGTGGAATGAGATTAGTCAGGCGGTAAAAAGAAAAAGAGGCTGACAAGCATCAGCTGGGTAATTGAGGGCAACTGTAGACGACAAAAAAGGTGGAGAGACCTTTCCGTCCAGGTTGGGGCGGGATAGGATGTCATAGGTTGGATTGAAAGATGTACGTAGGGTTTGACATCAGATGAGATTGTGAAGGAGGCGGAGTCCGGATACCTCGTCCATTCCCTTTTGCCTGTCCAGACTCCCATCGAGAGAGAGAGAGAGAGTCATGTTAGTCATCTGGTAGACTGTAGACTGTTAGATGTATGGTGCCTTCCATCCATAAGGCACCATCCATCGCGTACACGTAGACCGCAATGCGAACGAAGCCCGCCTCGTATAGAAACGAAAACGACGTTGCCGTCATCGATAGCGTCAAGTGGCTGCTGGTCATCGCGCGCATCTCACCTCACCTTTCGCCTCTGCCTCGTGGCCGCACAGTATCGTGGCCCCGCGCACGCGTAGCCCGCCCCCCTTCACCTCCCTTTCTTTCCCCTTATGATCTATCACAGCCACAACGCGCGCTGACATGGCTGTCTGTACTGCGTAAAAGTTCACCGCATCTTGACGTCCCACCTGACCTTATCGCGATTCAAGTACGTGGTTTGCGGGTAAGATTAAGAGAGAAAGAAAGAGAATGCTTGGCCGCCACCCGGGGTCCTGGTTTTGCCATGTACATACCATACAATTTGACAATGTCTGGGTACGGTACCTTTGATGGAAAGGTACACAACCGTACCTTCGTACGGATACACACGTACACACAGATACCACCAATGGGCCCCGCCTTACGGAAAGGCGGGTACCGGGCGTGGAACCATTTCCTAACGGTCGCGCCCAGACCAGACGAGATGCGCGCAAGGGGGGGGGGGGTGTGGTTGAACAAAAGGTACGGCGAGGGAGTGGAGGGGAGGGGAGCAAATGCTTGACGGAAAAGGGATATCAGGTCGCAACCGAAAGGGCGGGTTCCGGGGGCCTTGCGTTGGTTGCGCGTGCTGCCGTGTACTGTTATAGAAATGTACGGATTGTGTGTGTGTGGGAAAATGGGAAACTTGGGAGGGAGAAAGAGGTTACGGAGGGGTCCAGGAATCTCGGTCCAATTGTGAGCTCCGTTGACATTGCGGGTCCGGGTTGCCGACCCCACCCGGCCGCATGTGGTCTGTGTCACCTCAACTTCACAGTTCCACCGTTCCGTCTCGTCGTTTCTTTCCCAGGAAACGTTGAAACAAACCACCAACAACCACCAACAACCACCACAAAGTCTCTAGTCCAGGACCTCTCCAGACCAGTCTACCACGTCCATCACCCTCCACCGGACCCGGCTCCTGACCCCCCCTTCCTCGAATGAACCCCCGTTGCGTTCTTTTGTGGCTTGGCCAAGCCCAGCAAGCCCAGTTACGACCTGCCCTTGCAACCCCCTTCCCTGTTCGGTCTCTGCCTGCTGGGTGGTGGTGGGTAGTTGTAACTTGTAGCTTGCGCGAGTCGATTATCTTGCGGAGCTATCCAAGCCGCACTTGAGGGTCTTCTCCAGCATCCTTGCTCGTCACTGTTGACGATGTCAGTTGAGAACTTGAAAGCGGAATGGCGCTGGCTGTGCGCATCAAGGCGATGCCGATACAGCGTCACTGATACCAAAGAGACCCAGTACAGTACAGCACCTGAGCACCTACAGTCTGACAGAGTCGTCGGACTTGAGCGCATAATTGTTGCTGTCCATCCCTTTCGTCCCTTTCGTCGCTGTCGGTCCCTCACTGCATTAGCATCCGTACATGAATACATACCCCTGCTTGTGTCACCATAACAGTGTTACCGCCTTGAGTGTGAAGGAAGAAGCAGCCCCCAAGGTCCGCCCTTCTACAGGTATCTGGCCACCTGGCGCATCCAGTGACATATCGCTAGTCGACTTACCTAAGTCGGTAGCGATCGGCTTACTCTAGTCTTTGCTGTTCATGAACATCATGTCTTGGCATGACTAGATGGCTTCCCTACTGTTATGAGTCGCTCTGCTCTTCTCAAGCGTTATTTTTTTCTGATATGCATGGTCAACGGGCTGCAAGCGCCTCCTCAGATACCAAGGTAGTCTTTCTGATTCAGAAGGCAGGTGATATCGGTGGGCAGGTCTCACAATGCATAGCGCTCGCTTGTCTCTCGTCTACGCGCAAATTTGCCCCTTGATATCTCTAATCTCCAACTCTCAAAGGGCAAGCGAGACCGAGACGTAAGCGTAACAAGGAAGCAAGACTCACTAACAGTTTCCGAAATGGATACGGGTTTAAGACAATAGTACCTGAGGCCACAGATAGCAAGCATCCTGAGGAGTGAGCTTGGCACCTTCCGTGCCGCCCTATCCTTGTCGTCTTATTGCATTTCTGTCATCCATGGATGCAGTGCAGTTCTTGTCCACTGCCCAACTCCAACTCCAATCCAACACCAACACCAACAACAATGCCTGACGTCGAAACGGCCAACACAAACCCGTTTTTAGCCCCGAATCGTCGTCCATGCCTTGCCTTGCCATCTTCTCTAGCATCAGCATGAGGCAGGCGATCTGTCACAATCCATGACTTGTTCGCCACACCAATAACCTCGGACATCGCTCGCATATACTGCAGCTGCGTTAGAGGCCAGCAAGCTAACGAGCATCAGCATGACCATTGCGACGACGGCAAGGAAAGAAAAGAAAAGAAAAGCGGTAGCCTCGGAGGCAAAGTTTCTTTCACGAGCAGACTCGTTCACTGGTCGGCCATCTCCAATCACGTCTTGGCCATTGAGCATATCCCATCGGCAGGCCGACTTCTAACACACACGGTCATGCCATCGAATGACTTGCCTCACCGTTCAACCCTTTGCCACGAGATACACGCCACCGAGCTTCCGCTGCAGGTGCTCTGATGAGATCATCCAGCCGGACCAGCCCAACTGAGCTCGAGTCGTACAAACTTGCCGAATTCGGCACCAGCCTCGGCTTGTATTGGTAGACGACAACGACAACTTGCTGTGCAATTCATGGTTCCCAGGCGAAGACCCTGGCTTTGCTAGCCTGCCGGCATGAGTTGGGATCCTTCGCCTGCTACCTACCTACCTATTACCACCCACTCGTCTTGGGTAGTGCCCACCCGCCGCGAACGTTGGTTATGGTTTCACTGGCGATTTGGTTACCCATTCGCAAGGCTCGAGTCGGGCCAATGCAGGCGCCCGTTGACCGCTGATGTCCGTTTTGCTCGAGTCGCAACGGGATGCGCTGACCCCGGCCCTGCTGACACCGACGCCGCCTATTTCCGACTTGAGAGACGACATCCGATTCCAGAACCCCGCTTACCCGCGAACCTGGGCCCATGGCATTGGCTGTCTTTGCGGTATTGGAGTAGTTCTTGTCTGTCCAATCAAGACCCTCTCACTCCACAATCGTAGGGCCAGGATCACGGCCACGATCGTTGCCCATGCAAGGCCGCACCCCAGTGCCTGCGCGCATGCCTTGTCCTGGTCGTTGCCACAGAGTGGCGAGCTGCTGCTGTTGCTCTTGGCCGTTAGTAGGAGTTTCAATCGGTCTCACCTAGCTTCCAGAGGGCCAATGTCCCCGACACCAGTCCTCTGGCACTGCTTTATCGGTACAAGGCCGACTTGACAGGTCGCGGACCGCTAGGAAAGGCCTGCACTATTGAGCATATCCTCGGGCGGTACCACATGGCTTTTTTCCCGACTCATGTTCGACATGGAAACAATCAGCCACACGCCGGATCAGGCATACACATTTGCATTAGTCTCGTCGATCCGAGAAACATCCAAGAGAAAGAGCGTTTATTGCTGGCTACTGATGACCACTCATTATGCTTTCAAGCATTGGAAACTCCTGTCGATGCCAAAATTTACTAGGAAAAATTCAGACTGGCCGAAGGCCTTGCTTGAGACCTGCCACGCCTGCGTCTACGCCGTCCTGTCAATTGCCGATCGCCTAGTCTGTTCCATCGGCTTTGCGACAGCCTAGACAATGGTCGAGACCGTCCATTCGGGCCCACACTCGGTGGTGGCAGACTTTGTGGCCTTATTGCGGCTCTATTTCTGGAATATCCATACTTCGTCGAGCATGACGGGGTGAGCTTTGAACCGACTCGGAGTTGACGATCTACCGGTTGTACTGAGAGTTTGTCAGACGTTGTTTCCATATGCATGGTTCCTCTTTGACTCACGACGACACAATCTTCGCAACGTGCTCCATGGACGTTGACCCAACCAGGGCAGTCGACGCCGTGCTTGTATCTGTTGACGCAGGGGTATCGGTCCATACTGAATGATTCTTCGGAGACGTTCGAGCCTGAGAGTGTTCCCGGAACAGCTGAGAGTTGTTGGTACTGAAATCTGGCAGAAGCCCGAGTCGTACTGCTGGATGTTTTTTTGTGATTCGAAATGGGCAAGCCAAGTTCAGCAAAGAGTTGCGAGAGGGTCCTCTTTATACTTTCGAGGTCGGACCGTCGGCTTCTGGAAACCACCCAAGGTCTTCTAGTTGCCTACGTCTGCCTTGCACACTTGCAGGATCATCTTCACAAGAACATCGAAATGGTTGCAAGATGCATGCTTACTGCAAGCAGACTGCTAATTACGGCAGATTCTCATATGGATGTAGAAAAGTCAATGACCCTCGCCTTGGAGCGCCCTACTCCTAACCCACTTGATACTATACACCCGCACGAGGCGAAGCATGACTTCAACCGTGGCCCATGCTTCCAGCGAAAGCAAATGTCGCGGATTGGCTGCTTCATCGACGTGGCTTGCAGAGAGCAGAAGAGGAAAATGAAAACTGACAGGAGAGTTACAATGTCAGTCAACAGCTTTCGCTACCCGGGTTTCCCGGTGGAGGGTAGTCCTATCCCCTCCTCGGCGACATGCTGGCCCCTCAACCTTCTGGGTGGATACGCCAAGTATGTCTCCCAAGTCAAAGTCAGACAGGAAACTGCAATATACGCGAGCTCGAAAGAATCCTGGCCGCTGGATCTCAATTTTCGGCTTGCTGCAGGGTATCGTCCTGAGCGGACCCCGGAAGCTTCGTGCGACATGAGACGCATCCGGACGCCCATGAGGCTCAAAGGGGTGCAGTGATGGGCATCGTGATCTGCAGGAGCCCGCGACCTGACAGGCGGGGAGGGACGGATGTGAGCCGTTGGCACCACCAAAGACGCGGGCCAAGGTGTATAACAAAGTCGTCTTACCAAGCACTAAATCAACCTTCGACAACGTTCACGCGGTCATTCTAGGGGTCCTTTCTGAACTATATCCCATAAGAACTCAGCCACTGGACGCCGTCCCGAATAACCGCAGGTTTGGATGGTATGCTGCGGTACGGTACAAGGACGATGCGGAGTGACGGGCGGAGGGGTACCGGCGGCATATGCAGAGACTAATGTACTATCTTCTCCATGGCACCACAGCAGCTGCATGCCGGCCTTTTCAGTCTCGCTGACCATCCCGGTTATTCAGCTAATGCAGAGTCGTCCCGAAAGAGTCGAGCCGTCGAGGATCCTTCGCAAGAAAACCACGCGCCACGTTGTATCAGACAAGGCAACGCCGCCGTACTTCCCCTCATTCAAGGTTTGGAGCACGCAAACGTATGCACCATGAACTTGGGATCGAGAGCGGACGTAAGCAATCAGGAGACTTGGGGACAAGTCAGAGCCGATACAAGTTTCCTGGATCTCTGTTGCCTTGTTAAATCAACTCGCCTATAGAGTTGGCTTGTACAGCTCCATGTTTCACTGACGGTAACCTCGATTATGTTTTCCGTAATTCGAATTGGCACGAGACCAAGATGATGCCGACCAAGCGATGTTTGCCCATGGATAGGGGAGCCTACTGGGTCGTCCCTCAGAGACAAGTTTCAATCAACCTACCAGGTAGTCAGCTGCGCAAATCGGTTCGACAATCTCCATCGCGTATCTGTACCTGGGTTCGACACGATGATCCTCGTACGAGACGACCACGTCGCTACACATGGAACAGCGGATACCTATGATAGTCTGGCGGGAAACAGTGGGACAGAGCCCGTTGAAGGTATGCGTGTGGGTGTGAACTGCTTCGAGGGATACTTTGGGTATCTCCAGCAAGTCGGGTGGGACGACTCACCTCCGGGTACTGCGCAAAGCATCGCGAGGCTTGGACTCCGCTTTCACCTTCCCTCAAAGGCGAGATAATTCCATGATAGACGCCCGGACTCTTCTCGGTAACGTAGCCTCGAGGCGGGAACTAAGTTCCGGGGAGTCTAAGCCAGACCCGTCCTGAGCTGCTTTGAGCCGCCGTGGAAACTCATAGACGGCCCCTGAAATTACGATTTGCCCGTTCCAGGTATACCGGACCAGCATTGACAGAGAGAAGATTGTCTGCCCAGCCAGCCATGGCGGATCGGCCGAGGCTTTGTCGGCTTTGAGTTACGGGGCGGATGCTTGGGGCAGTTCGCGGGGCGCCTCAACAACTCGTCATCTAAGAAGCTTTCTAGTATGTAAGAAGCCTCCCAGGAAGTGTTGATAAGAACAACTACATGAGTAACAACCGAGGCCATCGCGCGATGCTCTTGACCCATCTCGGGATATAGTCTTGGTAGTTGCCAACTTCTCCACAGGGGGCTGTTCCTGTGTCACTGGCCACCGGAGCTACCCACTGACGACAAAGGGGAGTATAAGCTATCACCAATGTCTTAGCTGGCCCGGGGACAGAATGGGACGCTCTGTCGTTGAATGGCACCTTGATCCGTTGGCTCAAGCTGTGGCGGTCCCAATGTGCGCGTAGCTGCATCAAGCAAGCTATCCTAGCGGTGGCGCCAGAGCAGCATGGCGTAAGTCATTAACTTGACGGCAGGGTGACGCCCCCGCAAGATAAGAATGCAGTCTTTTCTGAGTTGGGAAAAGAAACTGTGATCTACGACACGTAGCATCATGCAGATATGGTCTCGACACCTTGGCTAGCATGCCTATAGGCAGACTTCTGCGCATTTCTCCAGATCAGGACGTAGGAGTAAGTAGGACTTGTATGCTTAGACATCTGGCGAACAGGAGCATGGGGAGAACGGGCGCGATGACACTATTCCCAGTCGGACTTTATTTATATCTCGGCGGTGATTCGCTGACACCACTTCAACCCCTCTCGTTGAACGTTGCCTGGATGTCGAGCTCTTTTGTTCTTGAGCAAGTGGGCAACGTGCGTGCCGTATGGTTTGGCCGCATACTCCGGGGCTTTCTGCAGATTCTCAGGCTGACGCGGTAGACTCGAATACTTCAAAAGTTGCCGACAAAAAGAATTTGCGGATCGCCCCTGTACGAATGGGTCGCAACTGTCGGCAGACGCTCTGCTGGCTCAGCGTTCCCTAGCCAAGTGGCCGTGAAGACGGGATGCAGACGGCTTTACCCGAAATCGTGCCCGAAGGCTTCGACAACGCTAGTCGGGATGTCACAATGACATCGCCTAGTGTTGTGGCTCTGTGGAAGTCATAAAGAGCGTTCCTGGCGTTTCAGTGGACAACCATCAGGGATAACCTCTGCTTTGACTGGACTCCTCACTCTGGCCCCGTTCAAGTTTCAACTCACGGGTCCCCGAGTTCGGTGCCAGGTGCGTGTGGAAACTTGAGTAGTTTGAATACAGAAACCTTAGGCGCAGTTGAACAGAGACGCGGGGCCGCCGTCGAGACAACAGAACAGAGCCGACTTGGCGTCTTCTGCCTTCTTTCCAGAATGTCCAGCTGACGTTACATGTGCAGCAAGCGGCGGCATAGGTGCCCACGGCTCAGCGAATGGACAGAATAACACTGGGTTGGTGTTATCCTTGAGACGAAGATTGGGCTACCGGAGCATCGAGTTCGTAATGTCCACAACCGGTAACATGCCCGTCGTCTCTTCTGGCCTCGCCAGCAATGGCCTCTGATTAACTTCTGGGTAAACTCGCCCACCCCTGAAAGTAGGAGTACCATAGTCTTCGGCAAGTAGGCGAAGACGGAGCAAGCGGCCAACAATCGAGAGGTTCCATTGTTTAACAGGGCGCCAAGTTCACCTGAAGAGTTGCCTTCGATGATACATCTGTGGAAGGTGAGCAACCAGGTTCACAGGCTTCCAGTTGCCACTCGTGGCCACGGCGGTTCCGTCTGCGGTTGAGGGCATAGCCTAAGCAGTCTAATGGCCAGTAGGACGCCCTACAGTCCGTAGGAATCCGGGCGCGGAGGACCCATGCATAGGCGGTAGTAGCAGCAGGACCTACATTGGTGCGGCCCACGGCTCCCAGGAATCGTCCAGCACGCACGATGCGCAGGACTGGAAATGGTGTCAAGAAAGACTTTTCACGCCCCTTCCCTTGCCTTATCCCCGCCGCCTAGAGAGGATCCGCTCAGTCTCGTCAACCTCTCAGAAAGTCGACGGAGTATACCCCGACCCTAGTATTTACCGAATAGAATTTGAGTTGCAAAGAGGCAAGAGACAAGCAGGAGACAAGAGCCTAGCTTCAACTAGAGCGGCTTCGTTTCTGCAACCCGCAAAGTATGTCGAGGTGCCGAAGCGACTTGGCCTGGCACACCTAGCAATTGCAGAGGATCACCGGGGCTGTTGGGTCGTCCGCTCGCCTGTCTGACTTGCAGCGGAGGAGGAGCAGTGTCCCTACCTAGGAGAAGGGTCAGAAAGGCTGAAGGGGCAAGGAGGGACCCATTTGTCGACGACCCCGGGACCCGGGGCTATGTACTGCGTGCAGCCATGCTAAACGGGACCAGAGACTTCCTACTTTAGCGGCCGCTGCATCCTGGCCAAGATTTGGGACGACTAGGCTGGCGTTGGTATCTCGGATCCGGACGGACGACAGTGGGTTCCAAGAGACATGGAGACTCCGCCGACTCTATGTCGCAGTTGCCAGGAAAGGGACAGATTGAGTTGATCATTGACGTGGGCAACCAAGAGATCGAAGAGTTTTGACACTATGGAAATTCGGTGGGGGCTTTGAAGAAAACCGAATATTGCCCATGTCTCCAGTGCTGTCCAAGCGATAGTTTGGCGGCCTCTCTCATTCAGCAGCAGGAAACGGAGCACAGTCTCTCTGAGTCTCTCCTAGTCCAGCTGGCCGACACCTGGATACCCTCTCGATTCTGTTCGGCACCTTTACGGCCGTGGATATCAGGCGTTTACGAAGCGCCGTGGCTGGCACTTACATCAACACTTGACGAGACCATCGAGATCCCCGCGCGCAGGCGTTTTTTGTCTTCTGCAGGCTTTACCTGGCAAAAGAGGGGAGAGGGAGTCGAGGAGGATCTGCAACGCAACGAGGGAGGGAGCGAACGCGAAAAAGGGGACCTTGCATCTGCCCAGAATTTGATGCGTGCTTTTTTGTGCGCTTCCCGCTTCCCTGGAGTTTCTCGCCTGAGTGGATTTCGTTCCAACGTATTATGGCCCGCCTCAAATGTGGCTCGACAGCGTTGCTCTTCTGACTGTCCTTGGTCCGTCATGGGACGCCGGCCGGCGGATGGATGGACGGTAGACGCGGCTCTCTCGCTTCCCTCGCCGCACCCACGTCAGACGGTCAGATGCGGGCCGTCTCCGGAGCACCATCAGGCCAGCCTGGAACGATGTGTCGCCTACTCTCGGTCTGCGTTATCGAGATGAAACGGGTTGTTGAGATGGTCACCTGCGATCGAGCACGTGTCTGGGTTCGAGGAAAACGACACAACAAGTGGATTTTGGCGTGATATCCACAGTTGCGAAAAACCTCGTTTCTTTTTTTTTTTCATCTTCTCCCACGAAAGACCAGGACAAGCAAAGTGATACCGTTCTACGAGTCAGACTGCGAACCGGGGGCAGATCTTCTGCCTTGTTCCGACCCAAAAGACACCCATGGTCAGGAGAGGATTGTGGATTTGTGCCAATTTCATCACAGTTTTCTCTTTGATGTTCTTGTCACCGAAGCATTGCCAAGTGCCCACCCCCATCGCCATTACATGCAGAGACAGTTTGTAACTCGTCTGGACGGATACGCATGTTGGCTGCTGCACCCGCACGCTTCTGTATTGCCTGCCGCTCAACCATGGCTGGGAATTGGCTTGCTGTATCCTTACGGATACTGTCCCACAGTCATTAGAGGTAACGACATGACCCTCTGATTCGCCGGGGCAAGGGGATTGGCCGCTCGGCACCCAATCATTCGGTGCCCCCAGACGGAGATGCTGCCGTGCGGTGTGCCCCAAAGTTACACTTCGTCCCAGCGAGCGGATTCAACGACGGCAACTGGAGTAGTTTTTTTCACCATCAGGAGACAAGGACCCAGAGGGGAGGTGGACTGGAGTTGACGTAGGTAGGTCACAGCCTGCCGTTGCATGAGGTGAGGAAATGGATCCTCACAACAGCTGTCGGCTTGGCCAGAACGGGCAACGAGAATCGCGCGGACGAGAGACGCCCGCCCACCGGGCAGAAACTTCCTCGGATTCTTGAGACTGCCGTGGTGGTTCCCGAGTCCCTGATACCAGGGGGCGTGTTCTTTGACCGCTGGCAACGACGACACGCGACGATGCTGTCTGATGGGTGTCTTCCGCAGTATCGGCATCGTTCCACATCGAATGTGGGCACCTTTTGATTCATTGACGATGGTGTATCATGTATGTCCATGGTGCGTACAGATACATCGGCCTCTACATACCGTTTAAGAGCTTTACGTAAGTCCTTGAAACAGAAGGTGATACGATTCTCAACGTTCTAGCCTTCTAGGTGCTTGAGCTTCTTCGACGATTGAGCCTAGACTCTATGCCGGTTGGCTTTCATGGTTTCTTTTTTCTTGCCTCTTCCTGCATAGGTACTCGTTCGTGTAACAGCCACGCGAAGCGTCCGATGCAGTTTCTCAATCCGCCGAGTAATCTAGCGGGCCGTCTTGAAGATTCAGCCTTTTCTTTCCTTTTTTTGTCGAGTGCTTTGAGCCAACGCCGAGCATGCCCTGGTTGAGAGTGAGAGGGAATAGCACGCGGCATTGGCAAATCGCTCGGATGCCGTCAAAAGACGGCCCTCCGCGGTGCCTCGGTGAGATTTGATGCGCTGTCGTCCAACTCGAGTTTAGACCGGACGATGTGGGAACGGGGATTCGTCGGTCATTCCAAGTGACAGGCACACGCTGGGCCCCCGGGTACGTCACCAGCATTTCCATAATTTTCTTGTCTTGCTCGTTTCCGATTGCTTCCCGACCAAAAGTACGGATACCACCCCGCCCCTCCTCTTACATGTACTGCAGTAGGTACCATCGAAACCTCAATCCTCAATCCCTCATCAGCCCGTCTGGACTCTGGAGGACTGGGAAACGGAGGTGGTCTGTTGAGAGATACCATTTTCACTCCGAAGAAGGGGGATCCTTTCGATGGAGCCACTAAACCAGTAGCTTCTCGAACAGGGTTTCCACTGCAACTTTGACCTCCCTCCCTCTCTCTTTTCCTTTGCCTGTCCTCCCCCCGGGCTAGATGCCCACGGTACGGGACGCATATGTGGACAAACAAACTATGTTCATAAAAGCCCAGTATTGCTTAGTCAGGTTGCAGTTCGTCAAGGGACCTTCTTAGCCGTACCAAGAACGGCGCAGAGTCTATCTGGTTTAACCAAGCGCATGGTACTTTTCGTCATGAGCTGGCCCTCCGATGGGATGCTTGTGTAACCGAGGACCCCCAAAAGACTAAAAAGACCCAACCACAAGGTTCGAGATGGGCAATGACTGCAGGACTGCAGGAGTAGACTCCAGTCTACTTATCCCCCCCTCCCGTGTCTCTCCGTGTCGTGCGCCGACGTTTCTCTGGATCGCGGGGGGGGGGGGGGTGGTGGGGGATAATGATACAGCCAGCCCAGCCAGCCACTTCGGCCCCCAAAAGGTCTTTTGGTTTGATTCCAGAAAAGAGAGGTCCCCCCATCCGTCCATCCATCAATGCGGACCATTATAGCGCCGCAGCAGACGGACGCAAGAAAACGTGTGGTTAGGAGGAAAAAAAGAGCCAGCAGCCGCCCAGCTGGGTTTGTTCACACCGATTCGATGTCGCTACTGCTGCGGTGGGAGAGGTGTGCGCCCACCTAGATCTGTCTGGCCATGTTCTCATCCGTCATCATGGAGCGGTTGCAGAACGGAAGAAGAGCAACCCTCTTTCCTTCTGTCTAGGGTCTTGTAGGTAGGCTCGTTTTTTGTTTCTTTCTTCCATCCATCCCATCCCATCCCCCTTGAACCCCTGCTCCTTTTCGCCCTGCAACACGCTGGACGCGACCTAGTCTCCTGCCCGCGCCATGCCTTTCTCTGATGCCAACCTGCCGGGGGGGGTACTCTTGCACCCTTAAGGGTCCAAAAGTCACTCGAAGGTCTCTCCCTGTTCCTGTGCCTGTGCCTGTGTGCCTGTACTTCGTAGTGAGACAACGTCTCTCTCTGACTCTCTCTATCCCGCCGGCGCCGCTTGCTGCTGCTGCTCTACCACACTGGCGGTGGCAGTTACGATGGTGTGGTCTAGACTCTTCTATTTCGCGCAGCAAATGTGCCGCTACTGCGCGAAAGCTGCCACCGCGGGAGCCCGGAAGAAGGGGCCCTGCTAGGCGCTCTCTCTCACTCTCTCCTATGGAGTGGCCTTTTCCTCTCTTTGGTCCAGTTGTGGTATGGCGAAAGGAGACTGGACGAGAGGGAGATGCAACTTTGCGTCATGATACATGATATGTGGCTTATGTGCCTTATTTTTCTCTCTCTTTCTTCACTGTTTGCTCTCTCTCTCTCTCTCGCAGCTCCGCTCAGATCATATGCGATGCGGCTGCGGATCTGCTATAGCCGCACATAATCAATAGTACGAAATCCTCCTCTCTCTCTCTCTCTCTCTCTCAATGGAAAATGTCTCAGTTGCTTCTCTACTAGTCAGTAGGTAGTCAGGCTAGAAGGGGTCGCCGGCGTATACGAGAAGAAACCTGTGCATATACCTATCTTGTCTGCTATTTCACTCAAAAGTCTGATATAACCCGTTGCCTCTGGGGTTTTTCTTAGAGGCTCAGGACAACTTAACAAGTTCAGCGTTTTGCCGTTTCTCTCACTTCTCACTAAACCATCGTCTCACACCACCACCACCACCACACCGCACCCCTTCCCCCTTCTTCCCCCTTCTTCCCTCCCGGCCATCGCGCCGCCAACTATTCCTAATATTGCTCTTCTTGCGGGATGAAAAATTTCGCCCTATTTTATTTCGACTGCCAGGGCAGAGGAAACTCAGATGCCGAAGCCTCGTAGTGAATGAGTCTAGTCTAGCAAGTCTTGACTTAAAATAGTGTGCAGTAGGGTAGGCGGCTTTGCTGGATACCTGGGCAGCTGGAAAAAAAAAACCACGAGTAGTCTCTCATTCTCACATCAGATGTAGTAGATTGATACTCTTGCGCTATCGACAAGATGGGCCAAGTGAGTCTTTTCGACCCGTGCTCACGCACCGCAGAGTTACCAGTGTGAACCACCGATGTCAGTTTTGCTTACCTTAGCTTGCCTCACTTTTTTTTTTTTTTTTCCAACCCCTAGTTGCTGAACCCTTGCTTGGCGTGGCCTTTTTTCTGATTTATCAAGACTGGGGGATAATAAGCTCGACTCTCACACACACACACGCTCTCTCTCTCTCCCTTTCCCTCTCTTTCCTTCACAGCGCTAGAATTCTGCAGAAGGTGGTCTCGAGACTCTCCGAAGGTCCGAGAGGGGACAAAGAGGCTTTTTCCCCGGCGGGTGTGGGAGAGCTGAAGCACCATGTGAAGAAGAATGCTGGTCAGCTAACTGCATAGAGGCCTTGCTCGGTTGGCGGGTATGTGGTGTGTCTCGGGAATCGGGATATGTCGCGGTAGAAAGACAATGTCGACCACTGGCGACACAGTAAAACTAACAGACAGAACTTTTTGTGCGTCTACGGAGCACCTAAGTAGAGGGGGGTGTGTGTGTGTGTGTGTGTGGTTGTGGTGGTGGTGGTGGTGGTGGTGGTGGTTTGTGGTTGTGCGGATTATTCCCGATACGTCGTGCTGGCCTTGTGTAACCTTTCCCGCGACTAGCGATCGGTGGAACCGTCGAGACCACGCGCGTGACACGTGTGCGGGATCCGGGTCGGGGATCGCAGCCCGCGCTCGCATCGCCCGTACCGGATGCGACGCTCTCTTGCTTCCTTTTGCTCACTGGGAGGTTCTTTTAGTTTTAGTTTTAGTTTTGTCGGCAGAGGCCAGAATCTGATATGTTTCTCACCAAGAAAAGAGTTACATTGAGTACATTTACAACTACAACTACAACTACCGCTCATAGTACAAGCGCTATACCACTGAAAATTTTCTTGCTAGCGTCTTTCGTTGCATCGTCGGGTTCTCCATCTGCCGTCTCATACTCGTAGATGATACATCATACGGATACCCTCTCACATAAACACAGACGTTTCTGCACCTCTCTTGTTGGGCATAGCGTGCGATCTGCGGTGTGGCGTCCCGTGTCCAGGGGTTTTCTCGCCCAAGCCTCCAAGGTCCTACCTAACTGGTCTGAAGGTTTATTTTTTGTTGTCTTTGATTCTTTCTTGGGACCCAGATCCGGAAGCGCCGCGCCGTTGTGTTCGTTGCGGGAGCTTGCGCCGACAAGGTTTGGCGCCGTCCCTCGATCGTCTTACACGCTTCGTTCGACCCTGTTTTCCCAAAGATACGGTCTGACGTTGCTTGGTCTGATCGGATAAAAGTCCGGGCGTTTGCTCTTTTTGCCGTGCGTGCACCAAATGACAAATCAGCTCCGACATCATGACTAGAGATACATGAGGGGGGGAAAAAAGAAAAAAAAAACATGATTGTCTTGCGGTCCGAAGCGGCCCGGCTAACTGAGATCTCTCATTGCAAACCTTCGCTCAACACAATGAACAAAAGTGTATGTTGTATGATGTAGAACTTGGACCTTCCATTGTCGGGCGATCGGGGGGCTGTCTCTTGTGTTTCCTCAAGAGCCTCGCAACCTCCTTGCCGTTTGGACCTGTCTTTCTTTTTCAAGACACCCCCTGGTCATACAACAATACCAATGATGCCAATGCTTTGGGAGAAAAAGTTGCTGGATTCAGACGGGCTGGAATCCACCCTCGATCACACGGCACATCTCACAGAATTTTGACAGAAATGCTGCATTCGTGGAAGTGGGCTCCTCCACTCCTTTTCGATAACCGGCTACATCCGTCTTGTTCTGCATCTGCACCCATCTGCCGGGACTACAACCTATGGATAATTTTGGCTCGTAAGATGGGTGGAGGGAACAAAAATGTGGTCTTCTATTTTGCACACGATCACTATGTGCCGTTGATGATGCTTCTCTTTTGTCATACCTGGGACGCCATACCACTATGAAAAAAAATCCGGTCCCAATGAGCCCCTGCCAAGCCCGCCCACACCTCTTTTCCTGTTGGATCATTGGGTTGGAGAAAGAGAGCGACGGGCTGACCATGACATCTACTACTAAAGTGATATGCCTGCCGTGTGCCCGCCCTGGTCCTGGGCTGTGTAAAATGATAACGACGAGAGTTAAAAAAAATTGCTGAAGTTCGTAGGTCGCAAAGATGGGGGAGAAATTCTCCCCATCGCAACCTAAAAAAACCGAGCCCCAAAAGGAGGCTTTCGAACAACACGCGCTCCAAGTCTTTCCGCACCCCCCCTGGTCCGGTATGCCGGTGCCCCCGCCGCGATGGAGGCGACCCTCGCCAAAAGTTCACGATCGAACTGGGGGAAGGGGAGGGGGGCTTTCGGGCCTCCAAAAATCCCAAAATCGGATCACTCTGAGTTTTTCTCTTCATTAGGTCCCCAGGGCCTTAGCGTAATCGCAACCTTGGCGAAAAAAAGGTAGGGGGATGGTTGGGGTGGGTGTAAGATTGTGAGAATCGAGAGCCCTTGGGGGGGTTGCTGTTTCTGCGCTCGAATCGAGCGGAGTGCATTACCGCGCGCCCGCGCTGTGCTCACCGACCATTCTTCATGGCCTCCTTTCTGCGCTTCTTCTCCGAGGCCCGGGTCAGCGCGGTCTTGACGATTCCATCGTCGAACTCTCCAAGGTCGTAGTAGGCGGGTGCGATTTCCTGGTACATTCATATTAGTTATGGGGTTTTCCGATGCAATGGATAGGATGAGGCAAGTGCCGAAGAATGCAGGACAGGGGGGGCTGAAAGCAGCAAGAGATCGATCGTAGCAGTCCATATGGGGGTAAGCGGCAAGAGGAAGGGAACAGGCAAGTGGTATTTGTTCGGGGGGGGGGGGGGGGGGGGGGGAAGGCAGGGGCATTGCTTACAAACAGCCACTCTGGCCTGATTCCGGTGCATGTACGGATGTACTGCTTGGAGGTGAGGACGAATTCGTTGTAGAGGACCCATTCGTAGTCGGTCTTGAGAACCGTGGAGGGATGCATCATGACTGCCTGATCGTCCTTGATGGTACGGTAAACCTTGCCGGAGCTCTCCTTCATGGCGACCTGCATGAAGAAGCCCGAAAGGAGCGCGCGCCGGATGTTGGTGTAGTAGTTCTTATCCTCAAAGGGGGTCGATACGAGCTCGAGGTCAGACTTTTCCATGATGCGCTTCAGTTGCGCACGAACGTTGTCGGCACTGCTGAGATGACGGAAGGAGAGGAAGTGCTCGTGACACCACCTCTTGGGGTCCACGTCGGGCTGGTTTGCCGTGCCCTTGAAGGCGTGGTAGGCGTTGAGGAGCGTGAGATGATCGCCCTCGGGGTGTGAGAACTGCGCCTTCATCTCGTCGGCACGCTTACGCTGAGCGGCAGGGCGGACCCAGATCTGAGGAATAGAGAGGAGAGAGACGATGGACAGGATCTCGTTGGAGCAGTAGAATTCCGGCGAGGAGATAAGCATGACGGCCAAGGCTGGGTCCAAGGGGAACTCGGAGGCGAGACTTCCGAGGGTGGTCAGCTCGCCAACATCGTCAAGGCAGGCGAGATAGTTCAGCTCCTCGAGCGCACGCATCATGGTCTCCGGCGCAGGAGGGTCCATGAGATCGAAGTGGACGAGATCCACGACACCAAGCTTCTTCAGCTCCAGGACCGTGTTGCACAGGTTGGAACGCAGAATCTCAGGATGGGTCTGCTCGATGAGCTCCTTCTTGAAGGCCTGCTCAGTGTAGAGACGGAAGCACTTTCCGGGCTTTGTACGACCAGCACGACCAGCACGCTGCTGGGCGGAGGCCTTGGAAATAGGGGAGACCAAGAGAGACTCGACACGGATTCGTGGGTTGTAGATCTTTTGCTTGCTGAAGCCGGGATCAACGACATACACGATACCGTCAATGGTCAAAGACGTCTCAGCAATGTTAGTAGACACAATGACCTTGCGTCCTGGGCGGCCGCCCTTCTTGTACGGGGCCGGAGCCTTGTCGAAGATCTTTTGCTGCTGGTGCGGGGGCAGAGTACCGTAGAGCGGGTAAACCACCAGCGGGCCGGCGTCGATTTCTCGTGTCATTTCGTCGGCCTCGAGATTGATCTTCCGGCAGGCATCCTCAATCTCTTCCTCACCTGTCAAGAACAGTAGAATATCGCCTTCCCCTTCAGAGGCATGGATCTGCAACACTGTCCGAATGGCAGCCTCGACGTAGTCCCTCTCGGGCTCGGGGGTGTAGAAGATCTCGACGGGGTGCGTACGACCGGGGACGGCGAGAAGAGGCGCATCGTTGAAGTAGCGTTGGAATTTTTGCGCATCGAGGGTAGCGGACATGACGACGATCTTGAGGTCGGGGCGGCGTGCGGCAATCTGCTTGAGGAGAGCCATGAGGATATCGGTGGCGAGAGTACGTTCATGGGCCTCGTCGAGGATGATACAGCTGTAACGCGACATCTCGTGGTCGTGGATGGCTTCTCGGAGAAGCATACCGTCGGTCATGTACTTGAGGATCGTGTTGGGGCTGGTCCTGTCCTCGAAACGAATGCTGTATCCGACCTCCTCGCCAAGTTGAACGTCCATCTCGTCGGCGACACGCTGCGCAACGGACATGGCAGCAACACGACGGGGCTGAGTGCAGGCAACCATCTTGCGGTTGAGCTGAGGGAGCTCGTCAAATACGACATATTGGGGAATCTGGGTCGTCTTTCCGGAACCGGTCTCACCGACGAAGACGAGGATTTGGGTAGAGTGGTACTTCTCGAGGAACTCTTCTCTGTTGGCAAGATGGTCAGTGAGGTTAAAAAAAAGTTTGTGGGAAAAACTCTGAGATAGACGTACCTCTGCTTCGTGACGGGAAGGTCGCGACGCGACTGCAGAATCTGGAAGTACTTTTGCGAGTGAGGGCGACCGGTGAAGGCGTTGTCGTCGAGGTCTTCGATCTTCTCGTGCTGCTTCGCAGTGGTGGCGCGTTGCTTGAAACCGTAAAAGGGCGAGCTGGCATCAATGACGCCATCCTCGGATTTGACGCCGTTCTCCTCCTTCAAATGCGCCAAGTAAGGGTTGTACTTGGACTCATCCTCTTCCTCCTTCTTGACCTCCTTCTTGATCTTCTTCCGGCTTCCCTCTCCGTCGGCGCTCAGGCGCTTCGATCCCTTATCCTCGAAGTCGGCCATTTTGGTCGCAGATTCCGCCATTCGGTGCGGGGGTGGTGGACGGGAAATGGGTTGAGAGAGATGATGGGTTGAAGTTGCGGCCCGTGGATTCGACGTCAACGAAGACAATCTTGGGAGGCGATTCCAAGCGAGGCTCCCAGAAACTTTTTGTTGTCGCGGGAAAAATTTGGGTGGATTCAAGCACGGGCCAATAAGAAGGTGGGATGATAAGATAAGCTAAACTCATGCATGAGATGTACCGTACTGAAAGCTCAACACACTGTCCACGAGACATTGAGTGTCTAGGAGAATGAGACCATCTGTGGCTAATCAACATTACAGGAAATCTCTATTATCTTGCTAGAACTCATTCAAACTCATCATATGTGTGTTTTCTATCCAGAATTTCTCACTCCGAGTCAGTTACTAGAAGTAATTCTCACAGAAAAAGATCTCTCATAATCTCATCGAATTGAGTGAGATGAAGGCTTGCAAAGTATACTTTCCTGACAGCGGGCACTGTCTCCTCTCGCGCTCTCTCCAGGGTCCAGAGTGCAACCAATGGCACCGAGTCGCAACTCGCAAAATCTGGTGCTTTTTTACCTCTTGGGGGGGTAACCAACAGCCTGACTTCTCAAATCATACAACATCAGGTCGCAACTGATCTGAGTGCAACTCCTCTGCTCTCCCGGACGATTATTTTCCTGAGCACAAACAACCTACCAAGAATGATTTGCTGACCACAAATCGTCTATTTTCCCCCTTGTCATATCCTCCTTTTTACCGAAGCGCCAGGGTCCTGACCAGCAGGTAATCGCTTTTTGCACAACCATCGCGTGGGGTATTTGTGCGCTGAGCAATTACACCATTCACAAGTCCTCTTTAGGCAGCACAAGGTCCTACAGCCCGAACACACTCAACATCCACCATGGACGGCGGCAACTTCAACCAGATCAGGCCCGTTTTCAGCCTCGGTCAGCATGATTCTGAGAGAGATCAGCCTCTTGATGATCTTCAGTATGGTCAAATCCTGAACGCTGGTGTAAGTCCACTACCGAGACCCTGATTTTCTCTTTTTTGAATTGTTACTAAGCTTTGACTTCAGGTCAACTTTGTGACGGCACCCATCACCAACAGGCACTTTCATGCACGAGTAAAGGAACTTGTTTCCCAGCATCTCGCCAAGGAAAAGAAGGGACTTGCTTCATTGGCAGATGCCGTGGTGCCTCCTTTGACCCCCAAGGACACCTCACTCTTCCCCAGCCATGCCGTCACCACTTACATCGCCTATGCTAGTCCCTGGATCGACTTGGCCTCAGTCGATCCTGCCGTTGCCAGCATTTCTCGGCAGGTCCTGAACCTCGAGATTGCCTACGCCAACTTTTGTGGAGTTCGAAGCATCATCATCCCCGGCCCCCGGAAAGACGCTTCCAAGAATGGCGGAAACCAGGGCCTGTCTCAATATGCCAGAGCTGTACAGGAGGCCATGACCATTGCGTCGCGCCTCAACTTCATCATCCACTTCCCAATGTATCGGGAACCGGGACTGGAGGAGAGCGTCGAGCTCCTGTCGACTTTGTCAGAGGTCCCTCACCCTGAGAATAGCAAGGAGATCGATATCTACAGCGCATGGGACTCTTGGCACACTGTCCGTTCAGTCTGCGAATATAGCATGCGTCTGTATGTTGGTAAGATATCTCCTCAGTCTCTTATCCTAGAAATAGGCACTGATCATTTTCAACAGCCATTCGCGTCCCCCGAGCTCTGCCTGAGAAGTCGCTTCAGGAGAAGTGGTTCGCCGAGCCCCTGCACTTCCTGTCCCTCAGCGGAAACGCATTCTCCAAGAACAAGACCGGACACCCTGCCCTGCCCAAGGCTCACCAAGAGATGATCTTCAACTACATGCGTCTCAAGAACGCGCCCTGGCTGCTTCTCAGCGACGTCGGTCCGGACGCCGCCTCGTTGACAGCCGAGGCACAGCTCCAGGCCGTCAGTCTCGGAAACCAGGTCCCCACCTCTGCAGACTTTCCTCCCCTGGGCGAAACTCCCACCCTCGCCACCGACTCCCTCAAGTCGTTCCGCACCTACGTGGTGTACCTCAAGTGGCTCGAGATGCAGCAGCGCCCGCTGTCGTACCTGGAGCAGACCACGCTCACCAGCTTCCAGGACTGGCTCCAATCGCCCCTGCAGCCTCTGTCCGACAACCTGGAGTCAGCCACGTACGAGGTGTTTGAAGGCGACCCGGTTAAGTACAACCAGTACGAGGCCGCTTGCACCGAAGCTCTGGCCGAGTGGCACCAGCTGGGCAGAGCCACCTCTTCCAAGGACGGCGCCGTCGTCATTGCCGTCGTCGGCTCTGGCCGCGGCCCTCTCGTGACGAGAGCCCTCAAGGCCAGCGAGGCGACCGGCGTCCCCGTCCAGGTCTGGGCCGTGGAGAAGAACCCTAATGCGTACGTCTATCTCCTGAGACAGAACGAGATGATCTGGGGCGGCAAGGTCACCGTCGTCAAGACGGACATGCGCGCCTGGAAGGGCCCCCTCATTTCGGGCACCCCCGAAAACAACCCGGTCTACGGCAAGGTGGACATCCTGGTCTCCGAGCTGCTCGGTTCCTTCGCAGATAACGAGCTCTCCCCAGAGTGCCTAGACGGCGTCCAGCACGTCCTGGCGCCCGGCGGCATCTCGATCCCGGAATCCTACACGGCGCACATGAGCCCCATCGCGACGCCGCGCATCCACGCCGACCTCCTCACCAGGGTCCCCACGGAGCCCAACGCCTTCGACACCCCTTGGGTGGTGCGCCTCTTCGCCCTCGACTTCGCCGCTATGCGCGTGCCGGGCCACCCGCGTTTCCAGCAGGCGTGGGAGTTCTCCCACCCGGTGTCCGAGGCTACGCTGAAGCAGATCGAGACGAGACGCGCCGGCGGCGTCATGGGCGGCGGAGGCGGTAGCATGGCGGGTGCCGTCGGCGCCAACGACCACAACTCGCGCTTCTGCCATCTCACGTTCGTCTGCCCCACGAGAGGCGTCATCCACGGTTTGGCTGGGTACTTTGAGTCTGTCCTCTACGCGCCCCAGACCGGCGATAGAGAAAAGGTGGAAATCAGCACGCATCCCGAGCTGATTGACCGCAAGAGCAAGGACATGATCTCGTGGTTCCCCATCTTCTTCCCCATCAAGGTAAGCAAAAAAAAAAAAAAAAAGGCCCCAATTCCTCTGTGCAATATGGACAGATCACTAACATTCACAGCAACCCATCTACTACCCTGCCGACACGGAGTTGGAGGTCACCATGTGGCGACAGACGGATGATTCGCGGGTGTGGTACGAGTGGCTCATCGAGGCGTACACGTGGGTGAGCGAGACACAGCGCATCAAGGTAGCGTCATCGGATCTCTGCAGTAGTCGCAAGGTTGCTTGTCTTATGTAAGTATTTGCGAAGGAGAAAGAAAAGTAGTACCATAAGGGGAGGGCACTGGAGGCGCCGACAACGGTTTGCGCCCCCTTTCTCTTCTTCTTCTATAGTTGCTGCGAAAGGGGGAGGAGGTAGATGGTTCTTTCTTGCGCAGCGCGACCTGGCGATATTCATCCTGACTTTGGGGGAAAAACTGCAATTTCCGTTCCGTCGCCGGCCTTTTTGGGGATTCCTTTTTTGTTGTTCTACCAAGCTCATCGTGAAGATCGTGTCCATCCCCGCCGCCCCTTGCCTCCTAGTCAAACCAAAGTGCGTGAGGGCGGTTCCCAGGCTGTATTGATGCTTTTCCGCTCGTGGTCTTTCCGCTCGTGCTGAGGGAGGTCTTTCCGCTCAACCTTCCATCCTGACATCGCCGTTCTCGCCTTGTTTCGCGCCGCGGATCCAGAGGACGTTGTTACACCTGTAGCGCGTCAGTCAGCTCTCTGCTCGAGGTCATGGTATGCGACGGTGGGAATGTCATTCGTCGACGTTGTTCGCGTACCGGATCAAAACCTGGCCCAAAGCTCCCGTCATCTTCTGGTCAATGTACTCCTCGGCGCCGCTGAGCTGGACGTTCATGTAGCTGTCGATGCTGACCAACTTTCCCTTGTACTCGGTCTCGCCCCACTTGAGTCTGATGACGACGTCCTGGTTGACACTATGGTTGAAGAAGAGGGATGTTAGCAACGCTGGGAAGCTTTGTGTATCGCGTAAGGGGTATGTGGTCATCGCAGATGGCGTTGGAGGAAGCGCGTTCGGTCGGGATGAGGGACGTACAGGTCTTGCAGCATAGGCCGCGGGTTAATGGGCACGAACTACAGGAATAACTTGTTAGCTTATTCCATCCTAGAAAGTTTTCGAAATGAAGAGAAGAAGGGGTTTGCATACGCTCATGGTGGGCGATTCGAGGGTGAGGAATGGCCCATGTAATGTGTGGATTGGGGGGAAGTTTGCGCGGGAATCGAGCCTGCGATGCGCGAGGCTCCTCTATCTCTCAATTGGGGGTCGGGCTTCCAGGAATGACAATTTTTAGGCGGGCACAGTGCACCTGAGGTTGCTTCAGTGGTGTGAGGCTGTCGGAAAATCATCGGGTCCACTGTAAGGTACCGCCTGGCGATGCAACCCAAAAAATCCGGGGGATGGAAGCACTGGCCTCCCTTTGTTGCTCATGTGAATGTCCCAGCTGTCCATTGCACGTTCATTGAGATCGTCTGAGTCTCATTCGAGCTTTCATGACTTATGTCAACTCCATCACATCGTGTTATCTGAGACTAAGTCTTCATACTTAGTGTTTTAGAAAACATAAGAGTTAGGAAAGTGTATTTTAGGTCTGGACGATCGACGTCTCTCAGTCCAAGGCACTGCTATATAAGGAATGAGTGAGATTGGACATTGATGTTGGCGGCAAAAGCTTTCTAGTTCGATGGGCAGCTACATTAATCGAAGTTGAGTTGAGCAATTTCACCTGCACAACGTGATCTGTGCCTTCACCTGAGATGCACAAAGGGCATCGACTGGGTATACTCAAATCGGGACGAAGGTCAAACAAGAGAGCAATGTGAGGATTCTTGTTTCTTAAAGAGAAATGTCAAATCTGGTTTGATAAGTAACTCTCAATCAATTGACATTAGGAAATTTGGTTGGTGAACATTTTGTAGCTCATGAACTCCAGTTCAGCATCATTTCGTGTCCTGATGCTGCTATGAAATTTTCGCGGGTACAACCGAACGCGAATCAACCTCCGCCTTACAACAACAACAACGCCCCCAGTGACCACGCAAAGAATGGCCACACAAACATTTGAGACCAACGGCGCTCGAATCGCCGTTGAGGGATGCGTAAGCCGTTCAATGAACCCATCTTACACACAATGTTCTCCCACTGACAATCCCGCCAGGGCCACGGCACCCTCAACGCCATCTACGCCGCCGTCGAGGCCTCCTGCACGGCCCGCGGCTGGGACGGCGTCGACCTCCTCATCATCGGCGGCGACTTCCAAGCCGCCCGTAACGCCGCCGACCTAACCGTCATGTCCGTCCCCGCCAAGTACCGCGAGCTTGGCGATTTCTGGGAGTACTACGCCGGCCACCGCACCGCGCCGTACTTGACCGTCTTCGCGGGCGGCAACCACGAGGCCGCCAGCCACATGTGGGAGCTCTTCTACGGCGGCTGGGCCGCGCCCAACATCTACTACCTCGGCGCCGCCAACGTCCTGCGGCTGGGCCCGCTGCGCATCGCGGGTATGAGCGGCATCTGGAAGGGCTTCGACTACCGAAAGGGCCATCACGAGAGGCTGCCCATGGGCCCGGACGAGATCAAGAGCTTCTATCACGTCAGGGAGGTGGATGTGAGGAAGTTGTTGCTGCTCAGGGAGCAGGTTGACGTTGGTATCAGCCACGACTGGCCAAGGGCTATTGAGAGGTGGGGTGACGAGAAGGCGTTGTGGAGGATGAAGCCGGATTTCGAGAGGGAGTCCATGGATGGTACGCTGGGCAACGTTGCGGCAGAGTATGTTTGCGATCGGCTTAGGCCACCATACTGGTTCTCGGCGCATTTGCACTGCAAATTTGCGGCGTTGAAGATTTACAAGGATGAGGAGACGACTACGAAGGAGGCAGCAGAGGGAGCCACGGCCCCAGCTACGGCTCCGGCTACGGCACACGAGCCGGTTCAAGCACCGGATAACCCAGACGAGATCGACCTGGACGGAGACGAAGAAATCACGGACGCTACTGCCGTTCCGGCGCCAGCACAATCGAACCCCAACGAAATCGATCTCGATGACGATGACGACGACGAGCAGCCCACCGCACCTAAGCAACCGCAGGCCAGCAAAGAAGAAGCAGCTCCCAACACCAAAACCTCGGTTCCGGAAGACATCCGCGCCCAACTCCCCGCCTCCTTCGCCAGGCCCCAACCTCAGCCGAAGAGGACACCAGGCCAGCCCGTCCCGCCGACAATCACAAACAAGCAGGTCAACTTCCTTGCCCTCGACAAGTGCCTCCCCCGCCGCCACTTCCTCCAGCTCCTAGAAGCGCGCCCCCACAATATCCTCCCCGCCGACCAACCGGCCCCGACGCGGCCCTTCCGCCTACAGTACGACCCGGAATGGCTCGCCATCACGCGCGTCTTCCACCCCACGCTCGTCATCGGCGACGACGCGGCGTCGAGCCACCCAAGCCCGGACCTGGGCGAGGAGCACTACGCGCCGCTCATCGACGCTGAGCGCCGGTGGGTCGAGGAGAACATTGTCAAGAAGGATAGGCTCGACGTCCCGCTCAACTTTGAGATCACGGCGCCGGCCCATGTGGAGGGCGAGCCCGAGTCTGTGTCGCAGCAGCCGTTTGAGTATACCAACCCGCAGACGTCGGCGTACTGCGCGCTCTTGGAGGTTGGGAACCTGTGGGATGCTAGCGAGGAGGAGAGAATGGAGAGGAAGGCGAGGGGTCCGCCGGCTGGGGAGTTCCGGGGACACCGTGGCGGTGGTAGGGGCTTTCATAGAGGTGGTGGTGGACGCGGTGGTGGACGTGGTGGTAGGGGCCGGGGTAGGGGCCGTGGCAGAGGCAGAGGTTGGAACTGAGTTTTGTGGGAAGTGGGTGAAATACTTCATGGCAATTTCAAGATCAAAGGGTAGCCACCATTGTGAGTTCTATAGGTTTAAGAGTAGTCTGGAAGTCAAAAGATACCTGCGTGGACAATTCAATACACAGCTTCGCATGATATTAGAGGCCCTTTAGAAATATTCAAGAATTCAGTTTATTCAGCTATACAAATGTGCATGTTTGTTTTTGCATTGGTTGATCTGTATCCCAACAGAAAAAGCGTAGATCTCAATGGTAAGAAGTTGAGTCAAGCAGAGTGAGTGGAATATAGTTCTTCTTCCATCTTTAATAGACGTTCAACCCACGGAAGAGTAAGGGGAGGAACGCATATGCTAAGATGGGGGTCGGGGGTTTTTTTTTTCACCAATGGGGTGATAGCGTGGGTCACCATCAATAGAAAGATCATGGCGAAGGATAGGAAACATGCCTTCTTGGCATGGAATTTCGTCATCGTGTCATGGCAATGGTATCTTGTAAGGTTGTACCACCCTGAACGCTCAACGCCCCAAACTCCGTCGTGAATAATGCAGCCAAAATGCAGATGGTCATCAAACGTCATTCAGACAGTGCCTGTATTTTGCTCTGTGAAAACGTGTCAGAACGTTTGGGTGATTCCCGTAAGACAGATGCCGTCGCTCTGGGATCAGAGGAGGTTGGGGGTGTCTTACTGTCCAGGCCCAGGAAGTCGGCTGCGACCAGCAGTTCCAGGCACAGCTCGACAGGAATGTCCATGTCAGGAACATCCTCCCGCTCACGGTAGCGGTACCAGTATTGAAAATACTCGCAGACCTTCTCGAGCACAACGCCACTGCCGGGAGAAGACGGTCAGACGTTTCCAGAACTTTTTGGAAAAAAAGAGACAAAAAGGAATGAGGGTGGCCTCTTTTGAGGTGGCTGGGTAACAAGAAGGGAAAAAAAGGAAGAAAAAAAGAAAGAATGTTGCTTGTTTCAGATCAAGTGTAGTTGGCAATCAAGCAGACCGGCCGTTGTAGCGGCGGTCTGTCAGTAAGACTCATCGATATAATCGGAGTTCATCATCGCAACAGCCGTGTGGTGTTCTCTACTTGAGAGAAAGGGTGGCAGTGAGAGCGCGGGATTGTGCTGGCTTACCTGATCTCTTCAAACACGCAGCGACCCAGGGTAGCCTCGCGGAAGTTGTTGCGTGTGTCCAACATTCCTTTGATGGCAGGGCTGATCATGGCGGCGTCCCGCAAGACGACAAACTCGTAGCCATCACTCGAGACCAGAGTCACGTACTTGCTGTCGGTTGTGCCATTGGTATCCATGATTGCAGATGATTGAGATGTGCTGCGTGTTCTTGTTCCGAGGGCTGAGCAGAGTGAAGAATGAGATGAATGCTTCCGTATGTGTCGGAGTATCCGTGTCTCTCTGAGTGTTTCGCAGGTCACAGCGGTGATGCTCGTGGCGAAATATGAGCCTTCGATGAAGGTCGACGACGCGTTCGTTGAAGGATGAGAGACAGAAAAATTCACTTCGCGATTTTGAGGGAGGCGGTGGTGGGGTTGGAGCTTGGGCCACCTCTTCGTCCCGTAGTCCCGCCGGTGAGGGAAGGCACCGGAAAAACTCTGAGCTGTCTGCTTTCAGAAACAGCAGGGGCGCAGGGGTTTACCTTCCTTGGTCAGACACTGCCAGGGGTTCGATTGATCCGCCTTAGCGCGCTTTGAGAGTGCCCCACTTTTGCGTTGTCGTTGTGGCTCCTCTGGGCGCCTGCCGTCATCACCCCGGCAAGAAGTGGCTGGTTGCCCCGTCGACTTGTTTACAATTGCCCTCCTTGCTCCCGCTCCTTCTCCTCAAGAACACAGCACAACCCGCCCATCCACCTCGCACACAAACCCACCCCCATACAATACACCATCCAAAGCCAGACCAAGCACCTTTCCAACATTCCTCAACTCAAACACGCCGCAACGTGCCAACGTCTCTTCCCCCGTATTGCATGCCTCGCACTTAACCATATCTCAACGGCATTCGACTGAACGCGGCAAGTAGCTGAACACGAAGCGAGGAGGCTCGTTGAGGAGAGGCGGCGATATCAATATCGGCAGTATTCGTTCATCGCAACAAGGAACAAGCAGCATACACAGAACCCGGGAAACATCGCATAAAAGCACAAACCACTCAAGTCTCCCCAACAACAACAACCCCCCTCCACACCCCCAGACGAGCGCACGCACCGGCCCCCGGTATCTATCTTAACCATCATCACATCAACCCATCTCGCAAACACGCACGAGGGGCTACGCCGCGAAACGACCTCCTCGTCATCGCATCACAACATCTCAAACACAGCTCGAGTCTGCCGCATTATGGCGTCCTCATACCAATACCGCAACTCATACCACAACTCGTCTCAGAACATCAGCGAAAAGTACGACGACGGCCGCCCGGCCACATCCCGCCGCAACACGCGCCTTAGGAGTAGCGACGGTACCGTCAGTACCACAATGAGCTCCTCAACAGGGCGCGAGAGCGCCGCAACCCACGTCACCGAAGGCCCTGCCTATTCTAAGAAGATTGTCGTCGTTGGCGACGGCGGCTGCGGCAAGACATGTCTCCTCATCAGCTACAGCCAAGGTTACTTTCCAGAGGTGAGCATCCAAACGGAAAAATACCCCCGACTCCTTTCGAGCGCAAGATTTGCGTGTCGCCAAAGAGCGAAATGAGCCAAAACAATGCTGACTTTGGCGACAGAAATACGTCCCCACTGTGTTCGAAAACTACATCACCTACCCGACGCACCCACCGTCCGGCAAGACAGTGGAATTGGCGCTATGGGACACGGCTGGCCAGGAGGAATATGACCGGCTGCGACCGCTCTCTTACCCCGAGACCGACTTGATCTTTGTGTGTTTTGCGATTGACTGCCCAAACTCGCTCGAAAACGTCATGGACAAGGTAATTTAACCACCGCCCCTCAGATAACATGCCCCTCCTTTTTTGGGGCACCACCATTTGACACTAACGCTAATTTCTTCTCTTACCAGTGGTATCCCGAAGTCCTCCACTTCTGCCCCTACACTCCTCTGGTTCTCGTGGGCCTCAAGTCCGATCTCCGCTTCAAGAAAACGTGCATCGACATGCTCAAGACACAAGGCCTCACGCCCGTGACCCAAGAGCAAGGCCGTGCGGTTGCCCGCAAGATGGGCGCTCAGTACGTAGAGTGCAGCAGCAAGGAGATGACTGGTGTGGACGAGATCTTTGAACAAGCCATCTTGACGGTCGTCGCCAATGATCGGAAAACCCAGGAGGCCCAAGCCGCCGTCTCCTCGTCAACATCCAGTGGTCCTCCTGGAAGCAGCGCAGGATTCCCTGGCGTCGCTCTTAAGAAGAAGAAGAAGAAGAGGAATTGCAAGATCCTGTGAGATACCTACTGAGGACCTCGGGCTTGGAAAGGAGAGGCATTGGGCACCGGCGGAGGGCGTAATGAATGACTTTTGTTTTATCTGCATGATCTCGTCACGACCTGCTACTATTACGATCTGGAGAAAGCATGCGCCGCCATTAGCGAGGGGGGGGGCGTCTCCTGCTCTAGGGCTGGATGAACTCTAGACCAGAGACGAAAGTTTTCCCTATACCAGGGATATTGGGAGAGGATTTTGTTCCTGATTGACGAAGAAGAACGGTATATAAGTGGGAAACGAAACAAAGGAAGTGGGAGGGAAAGTGAGTGGTTTTCTCATCCGAGTCTCTACCTTAGACTCATCCATACCCTTTATTTTATTTTGACGCCAAACACACAAACACACAAACGGAGCGGGTACAGGGGAGACTTTGATCAGTTCTTTTCTGTAACCATCAGGTAACTTTTTGGACCCTGAGGGGTAATTTTTCTTATTTCTTTTTTTTCCTTTCTCTTCCTCTCCTGTAGCAGCATGGGGTTTTCTGTCTTGATAAGAGCATTCCCAAAGGGATAGGAAACATGAAATGTTAAAAGCATCAAAATCAAGTGTCAAATCGTGCCATGAACGTGATGTATGTATGCGATGAAAGCGACCAAGTGAGTGAGTAAATGTTATCCAATCTGGCGAAACTAAGCTGCACACAATTTTGAGTTTCCCGGTGCCGTGGTTGAGGAGTTCGTGAAAGGTCAATACAGCCGGCAAGGTAACGTTGACATCTACTAAGAAAGGCATCGGAGAAAGGTCCGATGTGGATTTGATATAGAATGGGATTCTCCAGAACAGGATGCAGTTTTGAATTCCGTCGTAAACCCAAATCCTAAAAAAAATATCTGAATTCATCCGGTTTGCAATAAATTGATACCCAGCCGATCGTTACGTACCATGGACTCTTCTGCCCAGGCACGCCAGGTTCTGATCGCCGATCTCCCGCGAGAAGGTGATCTCGCGCATCACACCAACAACGGCCGACCCACCACACGGGTCCGAACCGACTCAACCGAGGGCAACGTTCCCAGCCCAAACCCAAATCCGAACCCCGATCGATCCGAAACGTCGTCCTCCGATAATATTACGAGCCTTACTGCCCAACTTGCCAAGCTCAACGACTCGCTCGCCGCGCTGGAAGATGAGGCGCGCGGAGAGCCCTACGAAACCTCAGAGGAAGAGTGCCGAGGCGCTGCGGGCGATGTCGAGGCGCTTCTGGCCAGCTTGACGCAGTGCGCTACCGAGAAGACGTTTTTGGAAAAGTGTTTCCCGTGTAAAGGGTGGAAGAGGAGGGATCTGCTGAGGAGGCATGTCGGTGTTGTGCAGGAGACGTTCAGGACTGTCGGTATGACGCATCTTCGGGTTGCTAGTGCGTTTGCTAGGCTATGCCAAACAGCTGATGGTCTTGGTGAGGATGCGGAGAGACTGGCTGGCGTTGTCGAGGAAGTGAAGAATGCGTTTCAACGGGAGGGAGTAAGACGCAAGGTCCTTGGGTGGCAGAAGCGGAATCTCAAGGCGGAGCTGGAGTGGGCTGAGGAACGTATGTCTGCCGTGAGCAGCAGCAGTAGCAGCAACGATGCGCCGTTTCATAGGGCAGATGAAGAGGGAAATGTTGAACATGAGTCCACGGCTACGACAAGGGAGCGAGAGGCCGATGTCGCGAAGATGAGACTCGAAAGGGAGCAGATGGCGAAGCTGCCCTCAGAATCGACAGACGACGCCCATAACCCCACGGAAGCTGGTATCCATAATCCTGCCAGGCAGCTCAAGCACCTCAAAGACGATCGTGACGCTAGGGCCGAACACGACGTAGACAACGTCCGTTTGGAGATTTTGGCGGCCTCGCTCGAGTCGGTGTTTCTGGTGAAGCACGAAGATCTCAGCGTCGATTTGCGGAAACGACGCGAAGCGCTGAGAGAGGAAGGGGAGAGATGTCTCGCCGTCTCTGAGAGATTGGAGAAGCTCCGGAAATCGAATTATGGCGATTTGGCGATTGGGTTGGGCGAGCTTGCGAAGAAGCCAGACGCGGAGGCGAGGCGTAAGCTGGTCAAGATTGTGGACACGGCTGGGCGTCTAGCTGCTGCTCGTCGCGGGGTGATGATGGTGGAGTACCATAGGATGAGATGACGCGGGCAGCTCGGCAATCTCCAAGAGAAAGGTATGGCAATGATGCGCGTGTAGAAACAGTATCATCATTCATAAAACAGTAGTCATTTCGTTGCTTATGGGGGTATCATGATCTTTGCTCGTTCTTCGTCTCGCCGTCGCTGCCTTCCTCGGTATCGCCCTGCTTGTTTTCCTCGGGCTCTTTTGCCATTACATTTTCGAACTGCGACCACAGCGCTTCGACGGAGGAGAATTCGTTTCCGACCTGCGAATGGTGGTGAAGACCCGAATTAGTGCTCGAGTTCTTTGGGGGCGGGGCGGCATATTTGGAACGGGAGACTGCATACCGTGATGACTGCCTCGAGCGATCGATTCAGCTTGTTGATGTTGGCAAGCACTTGCTCAAAGTTCTGGTTGACTTTCGAATCAGCATTCTCGTTGTTTGTTTTTTTGTTGATGCTTGTCGCTCTGGGGAACCAGGGGGGCTTACCATTGCGATCTCGCCGATGAGTTCTTCGCGCTGCTGCTCAAAGTAGGTCTTTTCCCTCGTTGCCGTTTGGGATTGTGAGTGGGAGAAGGTCCGTTGATGTGACGACATTTTTGTTTCTGGCTCGGTGATGTCGTTGGGAGGTAGAGGAAGAGGTTGCGAGTCGCGTTGATAGGTTTGTGGTTTTGGCGGCGATGGCGGGGTCTGAATGGAAAGGAAGGTCACTGCGGTGGGGTTAAGATACAGTTTCTGTCGGTGTTTAAACACTGTGAGGAGCACCACAATTTCCAAGTATCCACGGCGTATTGTGGTTGAGAACATCAACACTCGAGCGCAGTAATCATTCTCAAAGGCCAAAGGTGAACAGGAGATGATTTCAGTATCTTGCTACCACGGCCATAGAGCATAGATCAAACAATGAGTATATGAATTCGCAATTCCTCACATCAGAGATAGAAGAAAAAGCTGTATCCATGCAAAAATGGTTCCAGCAAATGACCGTGAGGAAGGGTATCGAAAAAGGGTATCATAAACGAAAGCCAGAAGAGAGTTCCATATCCATCATCCCACCGCGGAAAACCCTGTCTACTTGACTCTCCAATCAGACGCTCTCCCTAGGCTTCACAGGCGAAGCTCCCATGACGCTCATAGCATCATCGTCAATAGGCTTCGCCTGGAACGTCGACGCGGTCTTGTCCACAGCGATACCCGCCTGCCCGCCGGCGGCTCCTGAGACCTCCCGCCCGTCACGCAGCTCCCAGCTCCCCTGGCGCTCGTGGCGTACCCCGCGCCCAGAGACAGCCAGGTCCGGGTCACTCGCCATCTTCTCGGCCGCCCTGAACCCGCCGAGCCCGGCGATCCGGCCACTGCCACCGTCCTTGCTGCCTCCCGCTCCGCCTCCGGCACGATGAATGCGGAAACCGCCCAGAACGGCTGCTGAGAGAACGACCAGGCCCAAGACGGCGAGGACGATGATGGCGCCAATGATACCCGCGACAGCGGGCTTTTGCACGGCGGAGCGGATAGCCTCGCCGACGGTCGGCGTCGTTTTTGTGGTCTGCCAGTCACAAAAGGACTGAATCGAGCCGCAAATGCTGCACCACGTCGCCGTATCAATGCCGAACTTTAGCATTTCCTGCTTGAAGTAGCTGTACGTCACGCGGGTGTCGCCCTCGGCGAGGCCAAAGAGAGGGTACTCCAAGAACGGTGTGGCCGGGTCCGCGTTCTCGCGGTAGAGGAAGCGGACGTAGAGGTTCTCCTCAGTCGGGTAGGTGTCCGGCTGGTTGGGCTCGTCGCCGACGAGCTCAAAGACCATGGCGGCGCCGTTTTCGGGGAGGCTCCAAAATGGTGTTGCATCGAGCGTCTGGTTCGGCTTCTGGAGTCCTGCGAGGGAGAAGAAGGAGAGGAAGGGTTCCTGGGAGCTGAAGAGGAGCGTCATCTTGTTGGAGTAGCCGGCGAAGTTACCGTTGGCCTCGAGGGCGTCGACGACCTTGCGCGCGAATGTCCTGCCGGCGATGGTGCGAATCATGTCGCCCTTTTGGAGGCCCGAGACAGCCTGGTTTGAGGTCATGTTGAGTTGCTGGAGCCGGGCGTACATTTCGAGGAACTCGATGCGTTGCGCGTAGACGTCCTGCAAGCCATCGTAGACGGCCTGCTCGTGGGAGTACCGGTAGCGGACGTAGTCGTAAATGTCGTAGGCGTTCCAAAAGTTCACGTGTGCAAGGGAGATGTCGCCGTCATTCAGTGGCGGCGTGTTGAAGAGGGATGTGTAGCCGGGACGGGAGACCTGCTCGAGTGCTTGCATGTACGGGTCGAGCTGCATGACATATGTTGTCGAGATCTTCCACTGCGGGCATTCCGTGTTGCCCCGAATGCTTAACGATTTCAGGTCAGTTCAGTCTGGAGGAGCGTCTGTTTGCGGTAATTGGCACGTACTCAATCGATCTATCGTCGGACAGTCCCAACGTCTCAATGATGGGGTATTGGTAGCCACCCAGAGGATACTGCGTCGTGTTTCCCGAGATTGTCGAGTACGAGATGTTCGTTCCGCCAGTATCGGCAGCAAAAGCCTGCGTGATGGGCGGATAGAGACCCTGCATGAAGGCAGCAGCGCCAGCGGCGATGTGAGCATCGGGAAGGGAGAGAATCGAGAGCTGCTCATGCTCGTAGACGTTCCGCGCAATGCCCTTGATCGCGGCGCGGGTCGTGATACGACCCTCGGAGACGTTGGTGGGCGTTCCGCTGGCCAAGTAACGACTCCTAAAGGCGGTTCCCTGGGCGGACATTTCTTGAGCACCCAAGGGGGTCAGAGTATCTTGAAGCCCACTGCGCACAGGTGTGCGCTCCCCGTGCATTACCAATGCGACGGACGCCCATACTGAAGGAGTCGAGGGCGCGGCCGAGGTCGTCGCGATCAGGGTCCCAATGAAAACGATCAAAGATAGGGTAGACATGACGGGCGAAGCCTGAGTCGAGTGTCAAACGCTTGCGAAATTTGGGCGGGCAACTGAACTTGCAGCACGAGCATACACAGGCACAAGGAAGCTCAAAAGGAAGAGATCAATCCAATATAAGATGGGCACCTGTTCGGCAAAGGAGATGGAGGGGAGAGCTCGGCTTAAAAGAATAAAGCGACCACGACTCTAGACGCAGAGGAGAGAGCTTGGGAGGACCGGAGCATGCAAGGCTCGCATGCAGCAAGGCGGCGGCGGTAAGCTAGGCCAGACAGCTGGGCTTACACCATCTTCACCTCAGAGGGGACATGAGTGACAACCTCTCACCGCATCGTATCGATAAGCCATGGAGTGTCTCTCTTCCACCCCAGGACGCTTGTCTTGGAGGGGTAATGTAGGCAATACATGACGTGCTCGAGGCCCAGTGCAGCAGAACGAGTCAGGGTACAAGGCCGGACATGGCAGACGGGCAGCATTGTCCTTCTTGGCTACCGTTGCGACTCCAACAGATGCTGGCCGACGATGGCGGTGGTGACGGATGGTGCCGACGCGGGATGGCGTGGGAAGCGCAGCAAGGATCTACAGTGTCTGCATGCTAGCGGAGTGGAGATGGCGGCACATGGCTGACTGTCATGGTAAGCCGAGCCAAGTGAGTTGTCGCCCACAAACAGGGAGAGGTGAAGGAAGTTCGAGGCAGTTGAGGTGATAAGGTGAGAGAAAGAGAGAGGAGTCGTGAATGGAGGACCGAACTCAAGAGGCCAAGGTGCGGGGTGACTGCATGGCGCGATTGAGCTCCTAGCTACGTTATCAGCTGTCCTCGATAGCTCCGGCCAATGATGGAGCAAGCCACTCATGCATTTGGCGCTTCAATGAGAAAAGGTGAGAGGGAGCGATGAGATGCCGCAATCGGCTGCACCGACCGGAAGAAGCTGGTTGCAGCGGCCGTTCTTAACGTGCGGTAGCGACGATCAGGCGGGGGAATTGGCTGAATTGAGACTGCCTGACATGACTGTTGATCGACTTGCTTGTCATTGCTCTCTTGCGGTATGTCCTGGATCTCTCTCGATGACGACCCAGCCTTTGCCGGCCAACGCAAGGTAGCCAAGGTATTGGGCTCTAGGCAAAAGAGTATGACCCGAGGACTTGGTTCTAGATGCCGCCGACAAATACCCAGATCAGTTCACATCAGTGAGCCGTTCTGCTTAGTCTGGAAATGTGAAAATGAAGGAAGAATCTTGGGTGGCTGGGAGCAGAGCAATGGACATTTGGAGTGCTGTTTAGCTTCCAGCGTCGGTTCGTGCTATCAGCCACCCCCGGTCGAGTCTGTCCAATGGGCTTACACCAAAGTGTTCACATGCCTCGTCGACAAGGGACGGATAAGGAACTCTTTGGAGTTGGTCCAGTAAGCTTAAAGTCTTTTGGTCTAGCCGGGCGTCGCGGGCTAACAAGTCGAATCTCAGACATTGAGCAAAGAACGGATCGAATCGAGATCTGCGGTGAACCAAGTGGCTTCGTGGAGCAAACGGGGCAGGAATACGTTGGGCAAGATGAAGAGCAAACAAGATCAAGACGAAAGAAGTGTGAACGGAAGTCGAAAGAGAAGAGGACCGGAAACACATTCATTCGGTGGGCAAGCTGGTCCAACAGCCCTGGCCAGCTGGTCTCCCAAGATACTCTATCTTATCATGAAAATGGCATTATCTAATCTTCATCTTATCTACATCTTATCACATCCCATGTATCAGGCACGTCTACAGCGAACTCTCCAAATCAACCAAGTTCTTGAGCACTGCATCCTTTTCTCCCTCAAACTTGGCGCTCGCAACGAGGCCAAGCGGCCGCCTGCTCCGTCCACCGCCGTATCCGAAATATCTGTCTAGTGCAGCCTTCAACCCGGCGACTCCCAGCTGCACCAGCACCCAGTCGGCACGGCTCAGCTTCGTCTGCAACTCGGTCGCCTCCTTGAGCTTGCCCGCGTCGTACAGCTCCAGCAGCTTGACGTGCACCTTTGGCGTAAAGTTGGCCGCCGCCGCAATGACGCCATTGGAGCCGGCAACGAGCCCGTGCAGGAAAAAGTCCGA